GACAGTAACAAAAAAAGAAGCGATTCCCAGTTTGAAAAAAAAGGAGGAATTATTTCTCAATAAAAAAATTATCCCCAAATATAAAACAGAAATATAAACTGTCTTCAACACAACTAGAAGACACCTGTAACCTCAGCCACAGTATATGAGAAAGGGATGACATGTAGTCAAGGTCAAACAGGATGACGCCTGGAGAGGATGCTCACAGGGCAGATCTCAAAGTCACTAGACCAAAAGACTCCAAAATAGATGGCATAATTGGAGGGGCAAAGCCAATTCCTTGTCTGAAAAAATGGAAATGGGCTGAGTGCCAGCAGGAGGGAATTTTCTGAACACTACCTGGTACCACAGAGTAGCAGGAGAGGCAAAGCCAAAGAAGGAAATATAGACATGTCACATACAAGAAGCAATCTGTGGATGAGTCAGAAGGGAGGAAAGAGATTCCAAAGGTGAGTAGCTCTGCAGTTGCCAACCCTTGTTAGCAGGAGAGAACAAAAGGCTCAAAAAAATCTCTCAGACCCACAGTCCTGTCATAAGTAGCTTCACTGTAACCCAGGAAGAACTATTAATCCAAAATGGTGCCCTAGGGACTTCCCTGGTGGTGCAGTGGTTGGGAATTGCCTGCCAATGTAGGAGACATGGGTTTGAGCCCTGGTCTGGGAAGATCCCACATGCCGCGGAGCAACAAAGCCCGTGCACCACAGCTACTGAGCCTGCGCTCTAGAGCCTGTGAGCCACAACTACTGAGCCCACATACCACAACTACTGAAGCTCGCACGCCTAGAGCCTGTGCTCCACAGCGGGAAAGGCCACCGCAACGAGAGGCCCGTGCACCACAACGAAGAGTAGCCCCCGCTCACCACAACTAGAGAAAGCCCGCGTGCAGCAACAAAGACCCAACACAGCCAAATAAATAAATAAATAAAACAAAATGCTGCCCTATCCACCATATGAATTTATACCAAATAGGTGAGCCACAAAGAAACTTACCTCATCTAAAGAAGAGTAATAAATGAGAATGACCTCACACAGTGCTAACATAAACACACTCGAAGAAAAGGAGGAAAGGAACAGAAGAAACAACAGCAGATAAAACCATTCAACAGAGAAAATGAATTTGCTGAGCATACAAAATATGTGACCAAACATACTATCAAAATTCAAAAAATTTAAGGAAGTGAAAAGTTCATCCAGATATACAGTGATCAGAAACCACCTGGCAAAACAACCAAAGGCAATGCAATATGAGCTAACAGAGTTCAGGAAAGAAAGAGAAAAAATAAAGACATCCCAGAAATAAGGTCACACCAGAAAGAATACAGTGGAAATAAGCAAAACTAAGAGAAGGCAAAGAAGAGATAAGGTGAAATGATTTCTTCATCTTGATTAACCAGGGGTTCAAAATATAACATTTAAATTGATAAGCATGTAATAAGGCATAAAAATATTTATAAAAGTTAAACACAGGAAGAACCAAGGAAATCAACCAAAGCTGTGAAGTAGAGAAAAGGTAGAAGGAAGTGTACTAATTGGACATTGCTCATAGCAGGGAGTCAGTAGCACCTAAAAAATTAAATGTATAATACAAAATTATAGTTAAAAAGAAAACTATTAGTGGAACCAAAGAAACTATAGCAAACATGGATAATATAATTGATAGTGTACAGTTTATATTGATTACTTATTCATTATCCATCTCCCTACCTCTCCCTCCTATCAGAACCCTAATTTGTGTCATATATCCATCCTTTCTTCATGCTGTCATGGGCTCTAGGGCACTGTTTCTTAACTGAAGGTGATTCTGCCCCTCCAGGGGACATCTGATCCTGTCTGGAGATGTTGACTCTCACAATTTCGGGGAGGATGCTACTGGCATTTAGGGTAGAGGCCAGGATGACGTGACTGGCTCCAGGCCAAAATCCTGTATGTGATCTTTCAGACCTTATCACAGGCAATTACAAAGGCTTTGCCTGACAGGATTCATGGGGAAAAGCTGCCCTTCCCACATATAGTCTTCCAAGAGAGTTATAATCAATAACCTCTGGGCCTGCATGCTCATATGCATATCTGCATTCCTAGCCCAGGCTTATCGGGAGACCTTGGCTGAGACACACTTTAGATCTCTCCACTGAGACCTCCTTATGGGGCGGGCCTTGACCAAGACACTTTTCTCCACTATGACTCAGTTTTTTCACTCATAGCCTTTCCTCTAGTCCCCTTGGTTCATAAAATGGCAGGAACCTTTTATTCCAGGCTCCTCAGCAGTAAGACAATTTCCTCCACCTGTACTACCTGTCATTTGATTGATCCTTGCTCAGTGCCATTCTACGGGGAGTGGGGGTTTGGAACAGTGAGGAGTGGGCACTGTTTTCCTACTTTCCTTTTTGGCCTCTCGCTTATCACAGTAAGTAAATAAAGACTTGATTGTTACTTTCATTTTGGCTCACTGTCTTAAAACCCTTCCAGCTTGGTGCAGGGATACTGCTAAACATCTTACAACGCACATAACAGCCTCCCACAATGAATTAACTGGTCCAAAATACCAACACTGCTGAGGCTTTTGGGGAAATCTGACCCCATCACCAGCTCTAGGGCCAATAAGTTCATAGGATTCTCCTGGTGAATGTTATTCATCCAGAAAGTGGACAAATAACCAAATAAGTTAGCCCAATCACACTGAAGAAGATGACTTACTATTCCATGGTTGAAGGAGAATTTTCCTCAATTTCTGTTGTGCTGGACATGAACAAGGCAACATGAAGCCACTGGTAACCATCTTGTGAACATGACGGAAAACAACTTTGGGAAAAAGTTTATTCTATGCTAAAGGAAACAGGGAGAGAACCTAGGCCCTTGATGACATGACTGATAGAACTGTGGCTGAAGCTCACCATCTTTGGACCTTCAGAAATGTTTAACAGTGAATTTCCTTATGATTTTAAGTTAATTTCAATTGGAGTTTTTCCTACTTGCAATGAAAAGTATTCTTTTACAAAAAGATAAACTAAATAAGCAATAAAAACAAAACATAACTAAAAGCAAAGATATATTACATATAAATAAATACAATTAGACTACACTAATAAATGAAATAAGATACTAAAATAGAATCACAAAGCAAAACCCACTATATAGTAAGTTAAAATAAAATACCTAAATAAATTGACACTATAAAAAAATAAAAGGATGAATAAGGGTATATCAGGCAAATGCAAGCCAAAATAAAACAGGTCATAATCTTAATATCTGACATTTCAAAAGCATCCAATGAGGAAAAAAAATATTGTTATAATGGCAAAGGTAAAACCCACAATGGAAATTTAACAGTTGTGAATTCATTTGCAACAGAAAACAGCCACGTACTGTACAGAAAAAAGTAAAGTAAAAACCACAGATAATAGGAGGAGAACTTAACAGTAATCTGTAAGTGGAGAGTTTAACTTACCTCTCTCTCAAGTCATGACTAAGCATGTGGATCAAAGGAAAAGTCTATAGAAAATCTAAATAATATCTTTAATCAGGATATAATATATATAAAGTATAAAACAATAAAGAGATTTTGTATAGTACTCCATTCTCTGAAAATAGAGACTAGATCTTCCACAAAAATTGACCCATGTAAAGAAAACTTTACATGCCAATAGTTTGGTACCCAGGATTCCATACAAAGGGACAACTGTTTCTACTTGGACTCCTTATCACAAGGGACTCCTTCAGGAGTGTAAAAATTGTTCCCATGGGCAAGAATGCTGCTATTTGTGGTAGCACCAGGTACAGAGAAAGAGAATTAGAGAGAGGCTAGAGAGGGAACTGCTGGGCCATCACAGAAGTGATCCCAACCTGACCAAGAATAGTATGGCTGCCTATACTGTCCAGAAAATAAGGCAAGGGTAAACTGACAGAAAACTAATGAATGCTTTATGTAAGGCAAACTTTGATAAGCACACAAGTAAAGATTGAGAATTTTTTACCAAAGTATGAACACAAAACAAAAAAGTAAAATCTTAGTTCAAACTGGCATGGAAATAAATAATAGTGGACGTGCAGGGTAGATCAGAGTCAGCAGAACCTGGAGAAAAATCTAGGTGACCTTGATCAAAAAACTCTTCCTTTGTCTAAAGAGTTTTAACAAGAGAGTTCTTGAAGAAGAACTATCATTTAACTTTTCTCTCACAATTGCCATCTATCACCCTCTTGCTCTAGGTATGTATATATTAAGCATACTGCCACATGTTCTCTGTTCATTTACTGTCTACCTTCTGCCTCCATTTCCTACTCAAAGGAAACATGATATAAAGTGTTCAGCATACTTTTCTCCATAACCCAAGACTGTACAACACCCCCAAAACATTTTCTAATAGTTAAGAATGGACTACAAGAACTCATTAGAACCAGAGCAGCAGAACCTGCTGGCACTGGACTTCAAGGGCAAAAAATAGGTTTGAGTTCATATGCAGGGTTTTTAAGGGGAAAAGATTGAATAATGCACTATGAAGACTAACAGGCCAGGATAACTGAACAGTACCTCAAGCTGGGCTTTCTCATCTCTTTGCTGGATGGAGGATTAGCTATGAGAAGAAATCTCTTCTAGTATTTAAAACAAACAAAAAACACACTTTACAGGGATAGAATCAAGTGAGAAACAGATGCTTCAGTCAAACTTCCATTGAATGGTGATAACTATAATTTCTTTTTGTTTGTTTTGGAAAATGAATCTAAGGTTCTTGCAAATAAAACTGTCCTGTCTACACAGCAGTTATTACCAAGTTTGGCGACTACAGTGAAATCACAGTTCTTGTATATCAATGGAAAAATGTGACTTGCACTGAACTTTCTAGTTAGTTTCTATTGTGATAGCTATGGCCAATACTAAGAAATTTTATCTAATATCTAAGATGAGCATTGTTTAATATTAAAATACTTTTCCTCATTCTACTTTGAAAGTTAAAAGTAAACGGTCAAAGAAAAGAATAAAAAATAACTTGCCATTTAAGCCATCCTCTGATTCTAGAAATAAAATATTTTAATTCAGTTCCATTTAAAAAATAAAAGTAGTTTCTTTAATCTGACAATGAGCACATTAACCACATTTTCACATACAGAAAGCTTAGGTACATTCAACTGTTTACAAGACATGTCTCCATGTAATACATTTACATTCATGTGAAATATATGAACTTATAGAATTGTATATATTTGTGACTTTTGCATCTGGTACCTTTTAAAATGAACACGTATTATGCTTATTTTCTAAAGTCAATTCATATATGATGATTTAAGGTTAGGAGAGTCTCTACTGAAGGATTTTAATAGCTGCATTCATACGAGAATTCAATAATTTTTCTAAACATAAGCCTCAAACTAAAGCTTTAGCAATTTAAGTTACCTAACTGGCAATGGATGCAATTCTTATCAGGATGTACTGTTTGGTTTACAGTTTAAGTCATTTCAAGTGGTTTATACAATAATTATTTGTGCATCAGGGGAAAGTAAGCACCAAGGATAATAAATATTTTTTCACATTATAGATGAAATCACAATGCAATCATCTCAATTTCCGTTCAAAATCTAACCATTTGAAATGAGAATGTATTTCAAATGCTCAATCTTTAAGTTATCTTAGTGAGATCAACTGATATTCTAGAGATAAGAATGGAAATGGTAAAAATAGGTGCTATACATAGTATCTACTAACAATGGAATTCAGATACTCTTCTTACATTGATTACCTCCATTCTTGAACTCAGTTTTTTAGATCTAAAAAGAACTCTGAAAATAACTAACATTTATAAACTTGTCAACTATATCTTAAAGAGAAACTCTAAAGATGTCTTTCTTGCCAATATACAAAGAAAATTGTCCTGACGAACAAAAGCACCTTATGGTAAGGAAATATATAAAGAAAATATTTTCTACAAATGTATGTGCATAAAGGTATAGTTAACCCAGCTGCATATGTAATATTTTAAATAATACACAATAAAAATTCAAAGCATAGATTGAAAAAATAACCCATATGCCAATACTCCAGTTATTAAATATTGCAGCATATATGTAATCATAACAATTGGGGAAAAAAAGGTTTCTAATCTATATGGTCTATATGAAATCTCTTTGGAAATATGCTTTTTAAAAGTCCCCAGTATGGTCATCAAATTTTAAGCTATAGGTTTTTGCAGCCCAGATGTGATCCTCTGAAAGTGAAAATGTGTACAGAGGCCACCTCACAGGTTCTTCAGCAAACAGCATTACTGTGTGACATTGGCACAGGCTGTCTGGGTTTTCCCATTCCTCTTCTTTACCACAGGCACACAGTAAACATCACATTCAGAACAACAGATCTTTATCACCATAAGTTTTGCTACTCATAAAATGCTAATAAACATTGTTTTAAACATTTCCATATCATGACAAAGGCCTTAACTGAATATATACAAAGAATTCTCTAGATGTCATATATCTTTAAATTAATACAGAGATGTATAAGGAGACACAAATTACTTGCTTTGATACTTTTCAGTCAAGGTTTATTACGTGTCTCTTTCTACTGAACACGTGATTTTTTATAAGTATAATGAGTTCCAGCTTCTGCTAAGAAGATTTCATTTTTTTTTCGCAGTGTTTTTTTTGTGTTCATGCATTTCTGTTTTGCTACTCACACCCTTTTTCCGAGATGAGGTATTGGGAACAACCATACTAGAAGGTCCGCTGGGAGCTATACATAAAAAGAAAAACTACTGTTTAGATTTTCACAAGCAATCCAAGTTCAGATAATACAAAATAATCAACAGAAGTTCAAATAACATAAAACAAACTTCTCTTTTTCCCTGCATTCTTCCTGGGAAACTCATTTATTCCATCATTTTTAATTAACATCTAATGTCCTAATGACCTTCAAATTTATACTTCTGGTCCAGACCTTTTTCCCTTACCTCAAGATCTGTATATCCTGTACATCCTACTACAAACCTCTATATAGATATTTGACAGGAAATATAAACTTACCATGTTTAAAACGGAACTCATCATTTTCCCTATAAACATCTATTTTCTTCAGTATCTCCTATCTTACCACTATCTAAAAAGCTGAAAGATTAAAGAACTAGAAACATTCTTGACTTGGGAATCATCCTTTTATATCCAAACCAACATCAAGCCCCAATGAGTTATCAAAAAGTTATTCTAAGCCAGGTTACACTTTTGTATGGATGGGCAAGTTCCTGCCAGACCAATCCTCCTCCTGCAGGTAACAAGTATAAGTGCAGGATAAAATATGAAAAAAACAACTACCTGAAGACACTGAAGAATGAACAAAAGCAGGCATATACTAGAAAAGAATCAATATTTGGAAGAAGGGAACAACATGGAGTTAGTCCCCCATGACCTTTTTAAAAAAGCTTTAGGCTTAAGGACAGGATCCAGTCTGCCCCATGTGGAATGGCTAAAACTACAACATAAAACTCAGTCCTACTAGCATGAAGAACCAGAAGAAAAGTATTGGGGCAAAAATAGCTGCTTGGAAGTCCAGTGGGGAATCCCAAATCTTTGTGTAAACCCTGATCAAGTGTGTGACTTGAGCAGAGTAAGCTCCTAAGAAGTCCGGCTCAGGCTAAAAGAAGTGAAGTGAAATTTGAGCTGTCAGTCACTTCAGAAGACATAGGTTTTCAATCTGAGTTCAGCCAAGGTTAACTCTTTGCTTTAAAAACAATCCAATACTCTTTGGAGGAACATAAGAGAAACAACAGAGTCCAGTGTTTGTCTAGGATACAATCCAAAATTACTTAGTATATGAAAAACAGGAAATAAACCTTCCTTCTTGGGAATGAGAAAATTTATGAGACCAATCCTGAGATCAGCCAGATTAATAGACAAGAATTTTAAAGCAACTATTTTAACTATGCTCAAGAACAAAGGAAAATATGCTTATAATGAATAAAAATATAGGAAATCTCTGAAGGAAAAAAACTACAAAGAAGAATCAAAACAAATGTCTAAAACTAAAGAATAAATATATGAAATAAAATTTCACTGGATGGGTTTAACAGCAGAATAGAGATGACAGGTAAAAGTGACTATCAACCAGGATTTTATTACCAAAAAAAAAAAGTCCTAAGCATGCCGCAGTCAGACTTCTGAGAACCAAAGATAAAGGGAAAACACTGATAGCAGGCAGAGAAAAATAATCCATTAACCCATTGCATACATAGGAACAACCAATTCAAATTAACAAAGATTTCTCATCAGAAATAAGAGGAATGACAAGATAGTGGAACAACATCCTTAAAATGCCAAAAGAAAAAACTTTCTTCCCAAATTCTTTGTCCAGCAAAACTACCTTTCAAGAATGAAGGTAAAATAAAGATTTTTTTTTTTTTTTGCGGTACACGGGCCTCTCACTGTTGTGGCCTCTCCCATAGCGGAGCACAGGCTCCAGACGTGCAGGCTCAGTGGCCATGGCTCACGGGCCCAGCCACTCTGCGGCATGTGGGATCTTCCTGGACCGGGGCACGAACCTGTGTCCCATGCATCGGCAGGTGGACTCTCAACCACTGCACCACCAGGGAAGCCCAAAATAAAGATTTTTTTTTCAGATATAGTAACAGATCTGAAGTATAAGAAATGGTAAATAGATTCAAGTTGAAGGGAAATGAAACCAGATGGAAACAAACACTTAAGAAATAAAGAACATTAAAAATAGCAAATATGTGGATAATTAAAGACTTCTTTCTCTTTTTAATTTCTTTAAAATACATATGACTCTTTAAAGCAAATATCATAACATTGTACTGTAGCCTTTATGATACATGTGAAAGTAACACATATGGGACACTATGTGTAAAAGATGGAAAGAAGGGAAGGTAAACACACCTATACAGTTGGAAGGTTTCTACATTTTACGTTAAGTGGCACAAAATTGACTCGAAGTAGACCATGAAAAGCCAGAAATATGTATTTACTGCTACTAATAAAAGAATAATGCAAAAAGGTACAGCTAAAAAGCCAATAGATAAGTTAAAATGAAATTCTAAAAAATACTGAATTAATAAAAAAAAACAAGAAGGAAAGAATAAAGGAATAATAATCAGAAGGAATAAACAGAAAATATTTAATAAAAGAGTAGACCTAACTCAACCATATCAATAATTACATTAAATGTTAATGGACTATAAACACTAACTGTAAGGCACATACTGTTAGAATGGCCTTTTAAAAAAGCCAAATATATGCTGTCTAAAAAAGATCCCCTTAAATATGAAGATAGTTTGGTTAAAAAAAATATACACGTGCATGAAGACCTAAATAGTCATTTCTTCAAAGAAGACATACAGATGATCAATAGGCAAATGAAAAGATGCTCATCATTGCTCATTATTAGAGAAATGCAAATCAAAACTACAATGAAGTACCACCTCACACTGGTCAGAATGGCCATCATTAAAAAGTCTACAAATTACAAGTGCTAGCGAGGGTGTGGAGAAAAGGGAACCCTCCTACACTGATGGTGGGAATGTAAACTGGCACAGCCACTATGGAAAACAGTTTGGAGGTTCCTCAAAAAACTAAAAATAGAGTTATCATATGATCCAGCAATCCCGTTCCTGGGCATATATCCGGAAAAAAACTATAATTCAAAAAGATACATGCACCCCTATGTTCACAGCAGCACTATTTACAATAGCCAAGACATGGAAACAACCTAAATGTCCATCGACAGATGAATGGATAAAGAAGATATGGTATATATATATATATATATATACAATGGAATACTACTCAGCCACAAAAAGAATGAAATAATGCCATTTGCAGCAACATGGATGGACCTAGATGAACTTCATGGACCTAGATGGACTTCACTTATCACACTAAGTGAAGTAAGTCAGAAAAACAAATACCATATAATATCACTTATATGTGGAATCTAAAATATGACATAAATGAACTTATCTACGAAACAGAAACAGACTCACAGATATAGAGAACAGACCTGTGATTGCCAAGGGGGAGGGTGGGTGGGGGAGGGATGGATTGGGGGTTTGGGATTAGCAGATGTAAACTATTATATATAGAATGGATAAACAACAAGGTCCTACTTTAAATTAAAGCACAGGGAAGTATACAATATCCTGTAATAAACCAGAATGGAAAAGAATATGAAAAAGTATATATATATATAAAACTGAAACACTTTGCTGTACATCAGATATTAACACAACATTGTAAATCAACTATACTTCAATAAAATAAATTAAATATATATATATATATATATATATATATATATACACCATGCATACAGTAGTCATAAGAAAGCTGAAGTAGCTAAATTCACATTAGATAAAATAAACTTTAAGACAAAGCATTACTAGAAATCAAAGAGGGAAATTTCATGATGATATTGGGGCAATACATTAGGAAGTCATAACAATCAAATGTGTATGCACCTAATAACAGGGTTTCAAAATTCACAAAGTAAAAACTGACCAAATTAAAGAGGGAAGCAGACAATTCCACAATTGTGAGTAGAAACTGCTCTCTAAGCAACTGCTAGAACAATCAGAACCTCCTCTCCCTTGTACGTGTTGCCATCCCCCAAAATGGTAAATACGCAGAAGATCTGAGTAACATTATCAACAATCTTGACCTAATGGATACTTACAGAATGCTACATCAATAAACTATGGAATAATTCTTTTTTAGTGCACTTGGTACATTTATTATGCATCTAAAACATAGAGAACAATGCACCATGATTCAAAGAGTATTCAGGTCTTAGGTCTACTGACTACTAGCTACATGAACAGGGACAAGTCATAATCTCTCTGCAACTTTCTTCATCTGTAATGGGCAACAACACAATCAAATAAGCCAAGTAAAAACAGAAAAAAGCTGATAAAACATAGTTGAATTTGGTAGTTACAGCACCAGACTGAGAATGGAGAGATTAAAATACTCTAGGGAAAGAGAAAAAAAAAATCTTTCAAACAAAATGACTAAAGTGATGCCTTGGCTCAAGAGAAAAGCAAAAGAAGACAAGACAGTCCATAAATCAGTTTGGAAAAGTATGAGTATGAAGTATATTTTATTAACATATGTGAGGGAAAGGGGGGATAATTAATGGAGGAAAAAAACCCCAAATATGTAAATAGGCTACAATAACAGAGTTCCTAGAGTCTAATGATCCTACTTAAAAACAGATCTTTACATCTACAAAGCAAGCTATTATTACTCCTCTAATTGCTATATATATATATATATTTTTTTTTTTGTGGTACGCGGGCCTCGCACTGCTGTGGCCTCTCGTGTTGCAGAGCACAAGCTCCAGACGCACAGGCTCAGTGGCAACTGCTCACAGGCCCAGCCGCTCCGCGGCATGTGGGATCTTCCCGGACCCGGGCACGAACCCGTGTCCCCTGCATCGGCAGGCGGACTCTCAACCACTGCGCCACCAGGGAAGCCCCTCTAGTTGCTATATATATATATATATATATATATATATATATATATATATATATTTTAATTGCTATATTGAATCCACAAATTCACACACACTCCTAACCTGGTTTGCTGCTTGCTTTAGTACTCTTTATGGTAGCTTCTGGCATTGGGAGGATCTTTGCAGGTGTATATGTATTTAAAGATACTTTTCTTCTTATTATTGGACTGGAACGTGAAGCTGAAGAGGCTGGAAAAAACAAACAAACAAACCCAACATGGTAATTCAATAATTTTCTGACAATTCTATCAAATCTAAACTAACTAGATTACAAATAATTAAATCAGATTGTCTTCCTATATCACCCAGATGAGATTTATCTTCAAGCAAAAGAAATTTAAATATTTTTTTTTCTTTCTAATTAAGGTGGGGAGATTGAGAGGTATGAAAAGGACAAGTAGGTACAATTCTTAAGTATGAAGTCCTCTGGGAAAGGATAGGCTGGAGTGGGGGAGCTATTGGCATGACCTTTTGGGTTCCTAAACAAAGGGAGTTAAGGAGATAACAAAAGACCAATTTGCCTATTACTGCAATTTTGGAAGAGGACCTGATAGCAATAAACACTGTGTCTCTGAAAAATCAATATGTGGGCCAATTATGGCAAATGTGCCTTTGGTGGTTGATACCTACACTGAATGAATACAAATTTCACTGGCAGAAGATCAAAGCAGCCATTAATAAAATAATACACAAATGATTAAAAAGTGCCTAAAACATCCTATAAAGCACCACATCATTACTTAGCTCTTTTCTGCTTGCATTTTTTATCCTATTATAACTTCCACCTCTAACTTATCCAATTAGTATTCTCACACCTTTTCCACCAACATGATATTGTCAGTGCCTCATTGTAAGCTATCTACTAGTTACCACAAAATTAATTTTGTCCTAGGTGAGAAAAAAATCTGTGAATGACAGATATTAACAATGTCTTCTCCCTTGTTATGAATGCCACAAATTCAGTATAGTTCTATATTATGATGTTACTTCCTTGACAATCCAGGGAATTAAGTATAAATTACATAAATATATTGTGACTACTAAATATTTATTCTGCAGTTACACTATACAATACAGGATTCAGATACTTCCATCATAATTGGAACCCTATTTTCTTTAATCAAAGAGAATGGAAAAACCATACACTTTAGGAGACCTGGGTTTTAGTCTTTTTTTGAGCACTAACTGGTTAATTTCCTCAATGGTGTCTCTAAGTTTTTCTCTTAAAACAGTAAGCTTTTCTCAAATGAAATCTTAAATAAAACAAATCAAAGCAGAGACTCTGATTGAAGCAACCACAGAAGACACAGGCCTAATCACTCAGCATCCTTCTCTTCCTCACGGAACTTCCTAAAGCTCTTGGGAATATACTTTGAAGACCAATGAATTAGATTAACTCTAAGGTTTATCCAACTCTATGAACTGCATTAACTATACTTACTTTCTCATCTAGTTCCCTTAGTAAGTAATGGAATGAAATTTTAAGAGAACTAGAGGGGTTGGGGTACAACTTGTGTCCATAATATAGAGAAGAGTTAATGAGAACTAGAAAAGGAATTTAATATTTCATTTCATTAATATACCTCAATAATACACTCTGAGGAACTGAATTCACTAACCACAGAAATGAAGCCATCATAAGGTAGCAATGCCACAGCATAAACATTCAAAGATTATCTTTTTGTAAATATTCCACCAAAATTCCCTTTCCAAAACAGATGTCATTACTGCTACTTTACCTTTAAGTCATTTACTGAAGATCTTCTAAACTCAAAGCAGCATTAATGCCTACCCTAAATTCTTATTTACTAATTACAGTCTTTCTTTAATCTCTATTTTAAGATTATAAATCCCTGACCCAGGGAAGCACTGAAATGCCAAGTATAAAGAAAGGTAAAAGAGAAAATGAGAATTTATTTATTCAGGTTCTCTACTACGTTCTGAGGAGTAGCATTGTCCATTCTATCAGCTAACAGAGAATATAAAAGGAAGAACATCCTTCAGTTTCCTGACTTTGACTTTATAGCTTGCAGGTTATTTCATTTGGAGTATTATCAATTCTCAGAATCAGACACATTCATATGTACATTTAAAACTGAAACCTACTTCCCCAAACCATTCCTAAAGTGAAATATTTTAGAACGTTCACACCAAGATACCTCTCCATTACCCTTAATGGTTAAAAGCTGACCTCTGCCACCAGATGTGAAAGAGAAAGGCAAAAATGCAGGGGGCACTGTTTGGACAGAATACACTGAATAGAACTCTGCAGAATAATACATTGTGGTTCCCCAGGAAAGGGAGGAGAGTAACAGCAACACACAAAAGTGGCTTTCATCCCAAGACCTCCAATTTCATTCTTGGGAAAAACATATTTACAACATTCTCCTTACAAAAAGGAGTTGGTATACATAGAAAGTTTGTACCTTTCCTAAGATATGACTAGGACTAGCAAGACTTTTAACTCTAAGCAGAGCATTCTCTTTCAGGATGAATGCTTCCTAAACTGGAAATTCCAATGTGTCAAAGAATCCTACAGAGCTGAAAATGACAACAGCCAGCTGACTTCTCACATCTAAAAAGGTAGCCCTGAACATTTCCCAAACTGAAGTCCCTCAGAATAGTTCTACATGATGTTTAAATGCATTACCAAAAAAAGTGTTTTCTCAGCAAGTAAGTTCTGGAAAATGTGGGTGTATAGTTTTCTTTATAGAAAGAAGAAACTTAGCTGTTTATATGCTGATGAAACTACACCTCTTGAAAGGGAGGTGGGATATAATAAAGTTTCCAAAACTTACTTAGCCACAAACCCCCTTTTTTTTTTTTTTTTTACACAGAGGAATTAACCTCTTCAGAATATTTTCTGCAGAACACAATTTAAAAAACTGTTGTCCTAATTTGCTCTCTTTAGTTAAGGGCTCTTTCTGAGTCTATATGACTGCTTATCAAAAGTGGTGAAGGGATGGGCATGTGGCATGTGTAGGTTAATATAGACTGATGTTTTGTCATTTTTAAAAAGCTTATGATAAAATGACATACAATAGGAATGTGAAAATAAGACCATGACTCTATATTACATGTTGCTGATTTTATTGCTGGGTCTTAGATTTTTCCCCCCTTTCTGTAAAAAAAAAAAAAAAAAAAAAAGTCTTTGCGGAAGAGTCAAGACAACAGCCTGGTACATTGCATATTACACCAAAGAATTCTAAATAATGTTCTTCTCTTTCTCTCCTAAAATTCTATTTACTATCACTATTGAATTTATGTTTTTATAATTATTTTTATATTCAGATAATCTCTATTGCCTAAAAATCAAATAATAATAATAATTTTCCTACAAATTTCAGGGGTCTTCTGTGGAACTTCACTTGATGGAGAAGCAATGGAAGCAAGAAATTCATCCACCTGCTTTAAAGACAGGGCATTGTGAAGAGTTTCTAGAGGACAAATAGATGGCACCATCGAATACAATTCAAAGCCTGAGGGGAAAAAAACAAAAACAAAAACAAGAGTTGGATATCTTAAAAATCATTAATTAAAAAGGAAGAAGACCATTGCTTAGAACCAGACAGTTTAGATCTTTTCAATCTATCACATGCAAACACACGAGATCTCTGAAGTCATGACACCAGATGCTATGCAGTATGGGGTTGGATCAGGATGTGACAAAGATTTCATTTTAAATGTAACCACATAGTACAGCATGCACACAATTTCTTTCTCTATTTTGGTAAAATCTAAGAATAATACTTAAAGAAAAAAACCTGGGGGAATAATAAACAGAGAAAAATACAGGTTTTTTAGTTTTTACTTTTTAGAATCAGCTCTATTTGATAGGTGAATAAGCTGATGCCATAATGTGTCCCTGATGCCAGAATGCTAAAGGTAATTTCTTGTTGAAAAACAATTAAGCGATTACTTGTGAAGAGTGATTTTAAATACTTTTCTAGTCATAACAAGGCCAATAATACTCTCTAGTGTGACCCCAAAAAAACATCCATTCATTTACGCTGAAATTAAAATTCCAAAACATATTTCACCTACCTTTATTGAATTAACACAATAATTCTATTTTTGGAAATTGCTAGCTGAGTGAAGTCAGGCCAAGTAAAAAGCAATACAAAATACATATATGTTTGCATTCAACAACGGCACAGGAATACAAAAATTTCATGAAACAAACCATGCAGATATGTATTAATACCATCAGTGAAACAAAAGCACTTAAATATACAGTTTTTTTAAACAAATAGGACATAGGTTATTCACTTTTTATAAATATTGCCTACTTTATTCAACTGAATGGCTTTTAAAATTGCTTTTATATACAACTAAAATAACAAGTCTTTCTGCATGTACTTTTTCAAAAATTTAAACTAGTTTTCCTCCAAAAGAAATACTTTTAATGTTTAGTTTCTACATAAAGTCTAATATTCTTAACTTAAAAGTAAAAATTAATTAAACTCAAATAGACTGGAAAACTCTCTGCTTCAATAGGCATGTGCTCATTTTAACACTGACTGATACTTATTTAATTTTGGGAGAAAATACTGACCTAAGAACTGTCTAATTCTTAGTTGCAATAGGGAAACTCTGGTTAAAAGAGAATCTATCTTTCAATGAAAACAACAAATCCTTTGATTAACAAAACTGGTATGTTTGATTTTCAGGTGCAAACCAAAGCATGACAGAACATTACATATACTTAAAACAAAACTATAATACCATAGCAGCAGCTAAAGCACCTAAGTTAAGCACTAAAGAAATTAGGCTTCCACAAGTACTACATTTCTTTAGAAGTACAAGATTCATGCAAATAAGCGCAAACCCTTTCCTTGCATTATGCTAAACTTAATACTGTGGCTTTTTTATCCTTTCCTCAGAATGTTTATAAGTCTTTTGTAACAACTATTTTCTTGCACTTGCCTGTTAGATTTTATAACAGGCAAATGACAATATAATCAAGCCCCTTTGGACTACATCTTTTTCCATCTATCCTTAGTAAACTTTTTCTTTAATGCACAGTGAAAGGGTTAGCGCAGCAGTTTAAAAAGCCACCCTGCTGTCATGTTTAGAAGCTATAAAAACATACCACTGGAGCCTAGAAATTCCACAGAGGAAACGGACCAGCACCTATAGAGGTGTAGGTGTTCTGCACAGAGGCCCAGAAAATAAGGTAAAGCACTGTCAGAAGATACTTGTTTCACCATGTTCTTTGAACTAAAGATGAAGGGGAGGGGTAAGTCCATAATATGTGTTAAGATGGAAAAAACATGAAAGTTAAGGAAAAGAAAAAGAAAGAGTCAAATGACAACTCATAGGACAGATAAGACAACACAGCATAAAAAAGAAAATTTGAAACCCAAAAGAAATATTTATAGAATTGAAAGGGATGCATTTTATATGCATCAAGTCACACAATGTGTGGAAAATCCACATTTTTAAAAAAGTCTAAACCAAAAGAATATAAAATTACTCTATTTTCTGTTAAACTTAACAAAAGCTTTTTTATTTTTAAGCTTCAGTAAACAAAGATTTCTCCTATATAAAACTTGCAATACTGGCTATAAACACATAAGCATTTTGTATAAAAACTATAGTCAGTCTTAAATCTTCAATGTCTCTTCTTTAGAATTTTGTGACTTCGGTTTTCCTTGTGACTTCGGTTTTTCTTGTGACTTTGGTTTTTCTTCTAAGAAGTTCTTATGCATGTGGGTTCTTTAGAAGCTGCAGCTGTATCAAATAAGGATCTTTTTCTTCAAAAAGTAGCATTTAAACAGCTACAATGGAGGGAAAGCACATTTAGCTTTAAGGCTAAATTTTCACTTGTTGAGGATTAGATCTTCTTACTCCACCTTCAAGAAGTATTAGTGCACTGTTAACTTAGGTGTGCTGTTAAAGGATCCAGAAGGAGAAGAATGACTATAAACTTGTGTTCAATCCCTGAGCTTCATAATAGTTTCTGAAAGAACTGACCTGAGTTTTTGAAAGACTTACTTACAATTAAAAAGAAAAAGAAAAAAAATTGCATGGATAAAAACAACTTCATTCCGAATAAAAGCAAAAACATGTATGTTTTCTTTTAAATTCTTTGATTCTGAGTTATTTAAAAATGATTAGTAAATATTCCCTCTTGTCCCACATGAAAAAAGCTCTATGTAAGAAAGCTGTAATAGTGCAAAATTCAGCTTATAAATAATGGCCACAAAACCTTCCTGTTCAGCCTCAAAAACTGAATTTAATTGAACTGGTTGTCTAGATTTTTAGCCTAGTCTTCTTCCGATCAGGAGCCCTCCAAATCCTAACAAAAAGCAATGATACCCCCCCCAAAATTGGTTGCTCGACAGCAGCAAACCATATTGCCACATGAGGACAAAGTGAACGCTGAATGAAGTTTTCAGAGTGCTCCAGACCAAGTTGGGTTTTGCTTTAGACAGGGATAAATAATGTTACACAGTGAAACCTGCATCCCCTGGTTCCCAAGAAGTTTTCAAAGACACATCTCATTTGGCTATTTGACAAGTGTGGTTCTGTATTTTTGTTAAATAGCTCAATGAAACAACCATGTGATCATGGTTGGGAGAATTGGAAGATTGGGATTGACCTATATATACTAATATGTATAAAATAGATAACTAATAAGAACCTGCTGTATAAAAAAATAAAATTCAAAAATTCATAAAAAAAGAAAATAAATTAGAAAGAAAAACACATTAAAATTATTAAGAATTAAAAAGAAAATAAATAATACTAACTGTATTTTTAAAATTACATAGATTGATCACTTGAGAAATCAGAAGGAATTTTTAGGTGCTAATTAAGTATTAAAACTCATCATCATTGTGGTCATTTAAAAGTTTGATGAGTAGTGCTAAATTATTGTCTAAATTACAGATGAAACAGGGAGCTAGACAGTATCAATATTTTGGGTGAATAATAAGTTAGAATTGTATGCCAATTGAAATTAAGGACTGAGAAATGAATGATACTGTATACCCCACATATTTTGAAACAGAAGAAAAATAAAAAAGGATGAAGCAGGGGATTATCTTTTAAAATAAAAGCAAAACGTACCATTGGTTGGGTGTCGAGCAAATGAGATAGAAAACCTTTTAACAGCAGAACCGCGTGTGGCGTCTGAGAAAGAGAAAAACAGGTACCTGAAATTCATAACAGCTACCAAAAGAAGGACACTTAAAAAAAGAGGAGGAAAAACAAATATATGAGGAGGTTAGAATTAGGTGACATGCAGAAGGGATGGTGAGAGAGAGAAATAAGCCAAAAACTGGTTAAAAGAAGTAAATGGCTTGATGATAGAGGCAAAGTGTTTAACGAAATATACAAAAGAAAGAAAAGCAGGATGAGCTGGCAATTCTGGGAAAGCCATGTTTTACTGAGTAAAATAAATTTGTGGATACATGAGAAAAAGTTTCAAATAAAGCTAATTCAGAAAGGGCTAATAAACACTCCTATTAACAAAAGGGGCAAGCTTCTGTGAGCCTCAAGAGATGTTCTGAATACTATAATTTAAGGTGTATTAACAGTAATGAGAGGATTTCCTTCTACTAGGCATCCTAAAATATTCTCATCTTATGTTTATTCTTATAAAAATATTGCCAATATGATATTTTCTTCTACTTATAAACATTCCATTCACTTTATTTATTTAGATCAATACTAGTAAATAAGGTTTAATAATGAACAACCGTTTAAAAGATCAAAGAAAGATTTATTCTTTATAATATGGCTTATCAACTATTTAAAAGAAGAATACATATGATGTAGTTCTAAATTTCATATTTCAGTGAAATACTCACTGAACAAGTACTGTAAGTCTAACTACAATTAACTATTTGATGAAACATGGACCCAAGTAGTGAATAACAGAGCACTGATAGTCACTTAGGCAAAGGGTGCTAGGATTCCACTTGCATCAGTTAGTGGCCTTAGGCTTGTCTTTGAGAAATATCGTATGCTCATGGGTGTGTGCATGGGTGTAGGTATGAATCTGTGTGTGCATGTGTGCACATACCATCTATGCAGCCAGAAGAGGTCAGCTTTTTACGATGAGTACGAGCATAATCCTGTAGGTTAGGTGCGCTTGAAGAACCCCCGAGCACCGAGGTGCTAAACAGGCCCGCACAGTGAGACCCTGATGGGAGTTAGAGAAAATACATACAACAACGGGTGTTCTTCTATTCACATTGGGAATTCATGCAGCATGCAATAACATGGCTCTTACCACACATACTTGGCAGTGCCCTGAACAGGCTCACAATTCACTTTTAATGTCAACTTAATACAATCACCACCACCATTTATCATATGTACAAATGGAGGCATTTTACACTGGAGAAAATGTTCTTTGAGGAAAATAATATGCCCACACAATAATTAGACATATACATATTTAAAAAAACACTATCATAAAAATTAATTTAGGATGATAAGGAATTCTGTCAATCAATTTGCGTGAGCAGGCCATATAAAAAAACTTCTCCTAGCATAAATTAAATCATACTAAATCAATATTTTTGAATGTATATCTGTAAATGAAGAAGCTTTCCTGATGCCCTTGAATTTGAGTTATCAATATCTATTATGAAATTTGTGAGAAGACCAGGTGAAACAATTCCTTTTAAGTGGTCATTCAGGCCTAAATCACTCTAAATTCCTAATACTTAAATGATTTAAGATCTTAATTAATAAGACCCCAATCTAATGCTTAACTTGTAGTAAAAGTCTTTATACCCAAGTAAAACTTTTACCACTGGGTAAGGATTAAGTAAATTTTTATCAGATGCATTATGATATATAAAGAAAGGAGTTTTTTATATATATATATATAAATAAAAATAAATAAAATATGTATGTATATATATATATACACACACACATATATATATACACACACACGTGTGTGTGAATGTGTATCTGGCAAGACACTGTGGGAATATCAAAAGTTATCAATTAACAAATATGTAATTAAAGAGAGATTTTTCAAGTATGTAGGCATCAATGGACAGTTCATAAACTTAGTATAGAGATCATAGTACATACATAGTCGAAACATAATGAAATTTATTTATGCTGTTATTAAACTGATTTAGACAACTATTTACAGAAAATAATACGTCATTACCTCATGTAGTTTATCTATCATGACCTTAAAACTAAAATAAGTTTAGAAAGGTCTTCTTCAATGTTGCTTTGCTTGAGTGTTAGCAAAGAAACAATTACGTTCTGTAGGTCAATGAAGAATTAACATTGTCACTGTACATTAGTTTTGCTTTGGCTTTCCTTAAGAGATGACCAAAACCAAAAGGATAATTAATATACCCAGACAGGGTTTGAAACACTCCCCACTTAAAAATTTTTTTAATCAGAATAGTAGATTCTTTTTGTATGTGATAGCATATTTTCATCTTTATCAGCTGGGAAAAATGAAGTTTCCTTCCTAAATTAAAACATGTTGGGATTTTAACTTATAGAATACAAGATTAAAAATGAGCACTGGCAATTAGACTAAGTAGTTTACATTATGGGCATTCAAAAGGGTTATGAAACAAAATTAATGCTATTTCGTATTTATTTCATCAAAACTTTATATTTTGAGCTTTATGACTCAACATTTCTGAATTAGTGTATGTTAAATAAAAACTAAAGCATAGCATTTGGTCATGCTTTCACCTCTGAAGAGTTTTACATGTGTGCAAAATAGTGAGTTTAAGATTTGGAATACAACTTCCTTTAGACCACATACCTACAGTAGGGTTCTGCTTCTGTTCTACAAGAGTTCGTGGTGTTCGCAAGTAATTAGCATTTTCAGATACAACCTGCACAAGGAAAGCAAAATAAATGAACTAAAACAGTAAAATAAATTAAAAAGTCCATACTTCATTTGCAGCCTGTTCCAGACAGACAAAGGTTAATAAGCTGTATGATAAATATTAGTAGAAATACACAAATAATGAAAGATCATGCAAGATCCCCTTCTGAAGGGAGTCCATTTCATATGAGGTCCTTGCAATGAAGTGGTGCGAAGCAGGCATTCAGAATTAAATATCATGTATGAAACAAGACAGATGAAAAGAAACAATTAATAGACAATTAATAATTTCACTCTCTCTTAAAAGAAGCCAAATGCCCACTCTTAAACGGCTCCTGTATTTGAAGGGGGAAAAAACAATCACAAACAAAAGAAAGGACAGACAGACTGTTGAGATCACCATACAATTACTGATCCATGCACAGGCTTTATCAGAGTAACCTTTAAATATTCACAGCCTTAATGGATACCATAATCCCTTTTCCTATAATCAATGCATTATATTTCCAAAAGGAAATTGCTGAAATTCTCGGAAAAGTCATGTGTATGAGCAGACCTTCCATTGTGAAAAAACAAAAAACTAAAAAAACCCACAGTATTTTAAGTTTCCAAATGTCATCACAAAAAGTCCTTCTGAAGAAATTTTATTTTGACCCCTTTTGTTGGGGCATATTATTGATGGGCACATATACATTGTCCCCTTTTATCTTAAAGAGAGCATTAAGATATTATACAACTAAAAAAACCCATACTGTATGTAATTATTAGATACTTCCAGATAATAGAAAGCAAGGGAGAGAACCATCAGTATTAGATGTATCCTGCTAATTAACATAGGGCCACATAAATTTTGATATTTAAAAAAATGTTCACATTCTCAGCAAATTCCAAATGGAATCTATTTTTCAATTATGGGGGAAAAGGTTATTAAATTTTCTTATCATCAAATTATGTAATTTCATTTCTGAATGTTTTAAAGAATAAGTCAAAAAAATGATTTCTTTACATTTAAAAAATTTTAATTAACAAGCTAAAGTTCCAGGAGTATAAAATTTATTGACTAATTTTAAAATCCTGGATATTTAAAACCCCCCCAGTAAAAATGCTAAACACATGCAATGTAAGTGGTTTCTTTCCCTCAAATATTGTGAGACATTACAAGCATTTTTAAATGAATTCAAAATTTAAAAACAGAATTATTTACTCTGATGTAAAATATAAGGGATTAGATGTCCTCAAAGACAGCTGTTTGTTGCTCTGAATGCGGGGAGGAAAAATGTTTAATGAAGTAAAGTTTAAAAACCTGTTGCCATGAGCCAAAAATACTGGATGTGAAAGCCAATGATTTGGGGGAGACAGGGGAAGAAGTGATTTGTTCCCCTGATCTGCGTCTTCGACGCCCAGTACCCACACCACTGGTGTAATGCAGCCAGGTACCAGTACCCTCTGGGCTAGACACACTCAGGGGGCTCTCTTCCTGGAAGTGAGAAAGGGGCAAAAAAAAAAAAAAAAAAAAAAGCAGAGCATGCAAAGTTAGATACAACAGAGCCAAATGATCAGAAAGAAAAAAAAATACAGTTTGTTTGCATTTGTTTATCAATTTTTAAAAAACTATTAAACAGTAATTTGGGAGCCAAATATTTTAATATTTGAGAAATTGATCGGAATGAGTTATAAATCTAATTGTAAGTAATAATAATTATGAGAATTACATTACTATCTTAAATATACAAAATATTTATACTGCTTAATAGTTGTCACTTCCCTCTTAGAACTTGAAAGATTTTAACAATTTTTTATCTTAGCAATGTTAAAAATATGATATTCAGGAGGTTTTATGCTATACTGGGCAAACTTTTCAACCCAAAGCACTAAAGAATCCTGCAAAGGGTTAAAGAGACTTCATTGTATATATGTATGAAAGGAAATCTGTCTGCCAGACAAAAAAAATTAGAGATCGTAAGATGGAGGATTCAAATTGCACTTGTTTACACTTTCAAGCTATCTATTTATTTACCCCCTCCAAAGATTATTTATAGAGTTCAGTAGGCAAAACATGCAGCAAACATTCTCATTTTACATGTTTGCATGTTCAGGTTTCAGACAGTGAGGACAGAGTAAAATCTACTTGCACAAAATGAAGAGAATAGTCTTTTTCTCTGTATGTCTTTTGGAAGTACAAACTTCTGATATCCATGGAGATGATGGACGCTGGAAAAAGTCTTCAAGGTTTTACTTGAATAATTTACCTTATGGAAGTAAAAGTTTAGCATGGCATAGAAATAATCTCTTGAAAGCAACTATTTAAGTATTTACGAGAAAAAGGTTTATAAATGTGTTCTGCGTTTTAAGAGTTAACAAAGGGCAGTGATTTTGTTGAAGATTTCACAAATACAGATGAGACTCAGAATACGTTTGACTGTATCAGTGTTACAGACTTCTTCTGGAGTTCAGAAAAAAGGTTTAATGGTGAAATTCTGAACAGTCTGATGAATTGCAGATTGCTTTGTTCAACAACACCAAAATCACTGCCCTCACGCAAATGGTATTTTAGGTTACATTAATAAATGTCATTTCCCAATTTTCTGAAATTAAAGATAACTGAACATAACCCCAGGTTTCTCATTCTTAAATTAAGCTATAATAGAATAATCCCAAATTCTACAATTTTTAATCATCCTCTTTTTATTGGGTTGGCCAAAAGAGTGCAGGAAAAACCCGAACGAACTTTTTGGCCAACCCATAATTAACTTAAAATATCCCATTCACGGGAATCCTAACTAGTATACATTTTCAGCTGTAAAATTACAACAGTCTGTTTTATCGAGATGTTTTTCCTATACACCATTGTCAAATTGGGACACATACATTTGAAATTTGAGAATCAAAAGCACATATGTTTGTATAATTTGGGGCTATAGAAATGAGCATAATTCTCATTTGTTGGTGTTTACGTTCCTATTCACCAACTGCTAGATGTTATACCTAACTTAAGATTTGGCATATTTAATCATCAACAAAAAGTATTTTTCTAACTTAAAAGTTGATGGTTCTTCCTATCTTATACTTTTACTTGAGCATTTAGAGAACATTTTTAAGCACTGATCTCAAATCAGTGCTGGGGGAATCATCCTATAGAGAATATAAATAACCCAAAAAGAAGGTATTCAGAGTATAAAAATGTATACAGATGTTAAAGATTTACTTAAACTTTACTCCAACTGCTCAACTTTCCTTTCTTTTTTTTCAACTTTCCTTTTAAATGTTATTTTAGTAGTTATTTAAATGTTATTTTGTTAGTGAGCATAAGAATTAGCCTAAGTTATTTAATTATAGACCTTAATATAATACAAAGGTAAATTTTTCAACCATAGCATCAAAATTTCAAATTCCTATACTGACTTTAGCAATCAGGTTAACAATTCAGAATCTCACATCTTATTATACAGTGTCATTGGAATCAGTTGTTGCTGAAGCATCTCTGGCAATTCCTCACTACTTTTAACCAAAAATTATTCCTGATCCATTATATCAGACTTTGAAAAAAGTTCTTTATTAGAATAACCTAAAGTGACAAGAAAATAATGGATCAAGTCTTCAAAAGGCCTTATTTTACTACTTCTATTCAACTTTGCTATGAAAACTATAAAGCTCCAAATTCTAAAATTAATCTTTGCATTTTCTAACTGCCTCTATATTTTAAAAAATTTATTTGAAAAATAAAGTTGACAATTAAAAATCTGTTAGGTTCCCAAGCTTGATAATTACAGCTGTATTTTCTTTTCTGTTTTATTAAAATATAGTTAGTTTACTTCATAAAAAACATGCTCTGATATATACTTACTTCATTTGCAGCCATCTTCCTAGATCTTGGAAGTGGAGACTTCCTGTGTATATGAATTGGCTCTGATACCATAGGTTTAAACAATATCACAGCTCGATCAACCTCATCTTTTTTAGAAGTATGTGGCTCATCATCACTATCAATTTTAAAAGATCTCCTGCCTTCACTCTGTGCAGAAAGAACATAACATAATAAAATTCAGATAAAACAAATCAATCTCTTCAGATGAACAAATTCAACCACCAACTGGTGTAGTCACTTGCAGTACATATACAAGTTTGTTTATTCAAGTAAATTAATAATTGAATTCTTATGAAAGCCTAGTATTATTCTGGATATTGTAAGACAGATGACAGAGTTCCTGACTTCAAGAAATACATACTCTTTGGATACATTAAACCATAAAACGACAATAAAGAGCCATATAAAACAAAGTACTTAATTAAATTTCATCCAATGCCCAAATAAATAAGCAATAATAATAAATGACAGTAAGAAAAAAGAGATCAGTTTTGTTACCAGTAATGCCATCAACTCAATCACAAACTGAAACAGTATCTGAAGTTATAAATTTTAGAAAATTCAAACTCTATGCCAAATATTTCCAACAAATGTAATGACTGCATACTTAAATAACAACCATTTGATGACTCACTGAATATTTAGTGAGTATGTACCACGTGCCAAGACACAGATGAATAAGATACTGTCCCAAATTATAAGAATCTCACAGTATAGTACAGAAAACAGATACGTTTAAAAAAGTTACACTAAATATCCATCTAAATAGAATGGGTAGGGCTTCCCTGGTGGCGCAGTGGTTAAGAATCTGCCTGCCGGGCTTCCCTGGTGGCGCTGTGGTTGAGAGTCCGCCTGCTGATGCAGGGGACACGGGTTTGTGCCCCGGTCCGGGAAGATTCTCACATGCCGCAGAGCAGCTAGGCCCGTGAGCCATGGCCGCTGAGCCTGCGCGTCTGGAGCCTGTGCTCCGCAACGGGAGAGGCCACAACAGTGAGAGGCCCGCGTACCGCAAAAAAAAAAAAAAAAAAGAATCTGCCTGCCAATGCAGGGGACACAGGTTCGAGCCCTGGTCTGGGAAGATACCACATGCCGCAGAGCAACTAAGCCCGTGTGCCACAACTACTGAAGCCCACACGTCTAGAGCCCGTGCTCCACAACAAGAGAAGCCACCGCAATGAGAAGCCCACACACCGCAACGAAGAGTCACCCCTGCTCGCCACAACTAGGGAAAGCCCACGCACAGCAACGAAGACCCAATGCAGCCAAAAATAAAAAAATAAATAAATTTAAAAATAAACAGGACGGATAAATTGGGTAAATTACACTAAAACACATATTTTAAAGCACTAAGAATGGGCAAACTAAAACTAATTACATCAATGAATCTTATGAACGTACGTTAGTTAAAAGAAGCCAAGCAGAAGTACATAAAAACCTTCATCAAACTAAGGGGTATAGAAAATAAAGATAAACTTCTTCAACCAGGTAAGGGATATCTAAAAACTTGAAACAATCACCACAATTAATAAATCACTGGAAGACAAGAGTGCCCACCATCACTAAATCTATTCAACATTTTGCTGGACATTTGTCATCATTCACAGATATGATCATATACATAGAAAATTCAAATGACTCTATGTATAAATTATTAGAATGAATAAACAGCATGCAGTAAGGTTGTTAGTTATAAAACCTCTCTATAAAAATGAGTTAAAATTCAATATGAAAATAGCAAACAGAAAATGAAATTTAAATAAGCCATTTATGATAACATAAAGAATTTAGGAATTACCCTGACAAAGAAAATACAAGACATTAAAAAAAGTCTTAATTTTATCAAGAACATATAAAGAATAGCTCACTAAATTCAGAGCTGTATATCAAGTCCTTGGACTAGAAGATTCAATTCTGTAAAAGTGTTATTTCTCTCAACACTGATCTGCAGAGTTTATGTAATTTCAATCAAAATTCTAAAAAGTTCACTTTGAAACATGACCTTTTGCTTTAGTTTGGGAATGAACAAGGATGATACTAAGGATGCTTAGCATCAACACTTCTACTCAACACCATACTAGTCCTAGCCAGTAGCACTTCACAAAAAGCATATTCAAATAACCAATGAATATAAGAAAAGGTACTAATCCTTATTGGTCATGAGGGTAATGTAAATTTAAGCCACAACAAGATATCACTACATAGTCCCCAAAATAGCTATATTAAAAACACTAATCATACCAAGTGCTGATAAAGATATGGTAGTATCTTTGGAAAGTTATTTGACTGTATTTTAAAAAGTTGAACATATGCATACCCTATAACCCAGCAATTTTACGCCTACATATATATCCAAAAGCAATGTGTACATATGTTCAGAAAAAGACCTGAACAAGAATCTTCATAAAAGCATCCATCTTCAAACCTTGAACTGGAAACAAATCAAATGATCATCATAGTGAAATGGATTAATAAACTGCACCATATTTATTTAATGTAATCCTACATGGCAACAAAAATGAAGAACCGATGAATCTCAAACACATAATGAAAGAAACCAAACCCACTCTCCACCCCCAAAAAGCACATATTTTGTGATTTCATTTGTGATCATAAAGTCCAAAAATAGACAAAATTAATCTAAGTCATGATAGTAGGTAACTTTGGGGAGAAGGCAGGGAGGTTGTGAGAAAGAGGGGGCACAACTGGTTCTTCTAGAATGATCTTCTATCTATAACCTGGCTAGTTGTTTTACAATTGTGTTCATTTTGTGATATATCATTAAACTACACACTTATGATTTAGGTATGTTTACGAATATGTATTATAGTTTAGTAAAAAAGGTTTAAAGCTGAGTACATATTTAACTTTTGTAAGGTTAAGAATTAAACTGCAGTAATTCGTAACAAGTGCTTAGCATAGTAAAGAATGGACTAGTCCTCAAGTAGGACTTGAGGACAAAAACAAAAATTATAGTTATCCATTCTAACTACTGATCTTAAAAATCCAAAAAATCTAGAGAAAAGATAAAATATAAAATTCTAATATTCATAAAAATGTTGTCTACCCAAATCATACTTCAAGAAATTTAAACCATCTTGCTACTTAGTTGAGATAAGAATTATAGTACGTAATAGAAAATTCTTAAAGAAACCTCATTTATATTTAGAACTGTAGTAACTAAGCAATGAAAATTTCATCTTCATTACCTCCCTTGAAGCTGGTCTATATCCATAGCCAGATGGTAAATTTTTGTCTTCTTCACATCCTTTGGCTCCTGGACTAAAATGTAATTCAACATGAAAGCGTTCCTCAGAGGAAAGATCCTAAAAAATATTACAGAACACTTTCAAAATGAGAAACTTCAAGTTATTTATTTACCTCTGGTAACACACGCAAATCAAGACTCTGTTACCTTGTTAGGATCCTCGTAAAGCATGATAACAATCTGAGTCATGTAGTTGAGTTCACTGACAACATTTAAATAATCCATAGCTCGTTTCCACTGTTCATCCTTTGATTCCTGAACAAATGGTAAGCATTTTCTCATATTATGTTACTTTAAAACCACTTTATTTTCATTATGGTAATTTGTTTAATCCTGACTGATACCACACAAATGAGGTGAATACTTAATACTCAACAAGCTTATATATACTCAACAAGCTTTCTTCTACTGCCACCACCCTAAGTGTAAACTACATCATCTTTCTTTAGATCACTGTGATAGCTCCCTAAATCGTTTCCTCATATCTACTTCTACTTATCTATTGTCTACACAGAAACCAAAGCCATTCACTTCCCTGCTTAAAACCTTTTAATGGCTTCCCAATCCTCTTAGAATCCTCAAGGCATGGCTCTCCAAACTTATCTGTTACAATTTTATGCATCATTCACTATTACGCTTCAATTATAGGCTTTCTCTCCATTCTTACATCTTCTATGTTCTTTCTACCTTATAAATAAGTGCAAGAAAGTTAAAAGGTGACCACATAAGAGATGTATCTCTCCTCCCCTAAAACAATTCCATCATTACTAATGGATATATAAGCTCTTGCCTTGCTAATTAAGGGTCATTTTTTTCTCTATTTCTTTTATTAAAGCTCCACTAATCCTCATATGTATGCAAGGGATGCCACTTTGCTATCCTATTAAGGAATAAAAAAGAAATAAAAAACAAGAGAAAAGAACATATGAATTGGAAAATTTGATGGGAAAAGAACACTTACATAGTCTTAGGGTAACTCTGATAATAACTATTCATCAAGGCCCAATGATAAGAGAAATTAAGAATCAGGAGACATATACCAAATCTTCATACATTTCACTGACTGCCCTTTATTTTAAAAAGTACAAAAGAAAACAAAGTTGAATTCATTTTCTTTTAAAGATTATTTTTTATAGATGTGCATAAATGTATATGCTAATATATATATATACACATAAAAAGTTTTTTAATTCTTATTTTTTGCTAGTTTGGAGATGGCTGAAAAGATATTTTTGATATATAATAGAAGTGACATTGTATTCTAGATAATTTGTGGTTTGAGTGTACTGAGAAAGAAAGGGGATATTAAAATTTCTAAGTCTGTGTGGTTATCACTTCCACTGCCAATCTCTAAAACATCATTTTCTTTATTTTTTCACATACAAACTTCCTGGGAATCTTATTAATAGCCACTGCTTCAGCCATCATTAATATGTTGGCTTACCAACTCTGTACCTTTAACCCAAACCTCTAGCCTTACATATAAACATACTACTGGTCATCTTCACTTGACTAGCCTACTAGTGCCTCAAATTCAAGCTATCTAACCTCATTACTTTCCTTCTAATGCCTGATACTCCCCCAAGTGTTACTTATCAGTGAATGATGAGTAATTTTGTAGATGATCCTGTTAGAAATATGGGAACCTTTCTTGACTCTCTTTTCTTTCTTACCTTCCACACCTGTAAGCAAAGAAAGGGCCTCAAGGATAGTGTTGGTGAAAGTTAAAATGCCTCAAAAAGAGAGTGTTAGTGAAAGCCTGAAAGGGCACTGAGGAGGTTGTTGGTGAGGGACTATAGGAAGGTTAAAAAAAAATCTTACTGGAAACTATAGGAAAAAGAACCCTTGTTATGTAGTGGCATAAAGTGTAGAAACACTATAGCCTGCAGACAGTGGAACTCAATGAGCTAGCTACCAAAAACTCCAGGAAAAATTCTCAAAAGGCCACCAAGATTCTTCTCACTACCTGTGATGAACTATGAGAGGAGGGAGATAAACTACAGGAAAATGGTTAATTAAAGGAGCCAAGACTTGCAGAGTTCAGAAATAAAACTGTTTCTCATTCCTAGCCTCTCCAGAGAGCAAAAAATGCTATAGTTAAAAAGTGGCTTCCAGGAAGAACAGAAACGCAGGAATCTGTCATGAAAACATGGGTGTGATTGTAAAAACACTTGCTAAGACTTCAGAAAGATTTAAGGCTCACAGACCTTTCAAAGACGCAAAGACTTTCTCAGGATTATACTACCATGTCTCTCAGATACTCACTATTAAGCAATAAGGACTGCTGAGTACTATCCCTCAGTAGACACAGAGGGAGCCCAATGTAAAAATGGGCTTATTCTTAAGATTTGTGGGTGTGAACTGTTTAATAAAGTAGATTATAAATTACTCCTTTTTGTTTTGTTTTTTAAATTATACCATCTTGAACTAAAAATAAACAGACCTTTGGATCCCCAAACTTCCTTGGACAGGAAGCAGGTTAAAGAAAACTACTTAGCTGCAAATGTGAGCTACTTTTTATGGAAAAGGAAGGATGACCTAGATGAAGCAATTAAGAACCCAAAGTATGAAGCCATGAACCATTATAAACAACTCCCTGGCAGTATGACAGAGCCCTAATTAAGGAATGGGCAGTAAGTACCTAGGCAGATTTCAAAATTGCTATGGACCAGTGACCACGGTGTACCTTCTGTTTTCCCCTCTTTTGAAAAGGTTATCTACAGCAGTTATTCTATGCTTATCCCACCACTGTATGTCAAATGTATGAAGGACAGACAATTGGTATCTTCAGTTCATAGGTCTTTGAAACGAGATTGAGTTCTCCTGAGCACTCAAGGAGCTCTGCCCAAGGAGTCCCATCCACACCTGGACCTGATTTAGATAATGAGATCCTGGATGTCAAGTTTATGCTATAATAGATAAGCCTGAGGGAATACTGGAGGAGCGATCACCTGAATTTTGCATGAGGGAGAAATATGGATTGTGTGGGTAATGGACATACTGTGATAGACTCTGTTTTCCAAATATGGCCACCAAAATACATCCAATCCCAAGTATTCATCTTACAATAAGTAAGTGACAGTGATACTCCACTCATCTAGTAATATGGGTCTATTCCCCACCCCTTGAACCTGGATGGGACTCGGTGACTGCCTCCAAAAATGCTCAGCAGAAGTGATACTACGTAACTTCATAAGTTAGGTCATAAAAATGCTTTGTGCTTGCTCCTTGCTCTTTTAGGAAGTTCACTTTTGGAACTCAGCTGCTATGTTCTGTGCATCAAGCACCAGACATGAGAAGAAAGTTGTGAGATGACTTGAGCCCGAGCCACTGTCTGACTGCAATATCACGAGAGGCCCAATGCAAAACTGCCTGATCACAGTTAGCCTTTAAACCATGAGAGAGAAAAATAAAATGACTGTGGTTGTTTTAAGGCAGTAACCTTTGGTATGATTCATTACCTAACAGTAAATAAGAGTCACAATGTCCAACCAAACACCAAGTCCTATTGATTCTAACCTCTAAATAATGCAAATTCATCAGTTTGTCTTTATCTCACTGCCACTGGCCTGTAACATTACCTAAAATATTTTGTATTATTGTTTGCTTAAATGGATCTTCTCCAAAGGGAAGAGAACATGTCATTATCTCCAACATCTAGCAGAGTGCTTGGTATAAAGTAGACCCTTGACAAATGATGGTAAATAATGAATTATTAAAAACTGCACAGTAAAAAAATGGTGTTAGTGATTTGATTATAAATTCAATAACACATATTTGTTAAATAGATTTATATAACTTATCCTACTTACATCACATAAGGCACCATAGCGAAGAATAGACAGTAAAGAATGTACATGACTTTCACTGGTGAAATATAATCTGGTACGGACATGACGTTCAGGTGACAGAACACCCCTGGAATACCTAGAGTAAGGAGCAGACACTGTTAAAACGTAACCATGCAGTTAAAACTTAATGAAATTATTTTGTAAAATGGAATTTAATCTTACTAGAAGTAAAAGAACATAGTAAGCAAATCTATCACTCTTCCAATAACAATTGAGGCGTTATCTTAGCAGGTATTCCTCTAACATGAAAATAACTGGAACTAACTGGGACCACTGAGATTAGTCAAAGAAGCATTAATATTAGTCAAGTTCACTGTAAATAGGTTATTTAAGCACCTTTATTAACAACGAAAGAGGTCATAGCACTAAAGAAGCTCACAGATGTTAATGCTGCTGAATGAGGATGATCACTGATGATCACATGTGAATGATAACACACATCCTCTTTCCCTGTTTGCCTCAGTTTTTTCTCCAATTTGGAGCCAAAAAGAACCTTGGTTGGAAGTTAACTATTAGAAATACCTAGGTAATATTTATTTCCACAGTGTGCCAAGTGATACACTCCTGATTTAGCCATAGGAACATTAAAAAGTAATTAGATTTGAAGAATGCAAAAACAGATGCCTATAGACTTAAATACCAGTACAGTCTCTTACACAGGATGGAGTTTATTTACAGTGTCATCATCTTGTGTCCTTTGAAGATCTGAGCGAATTTTTCTAACTAGAGGAGTACAGTAGCCTTTGGCAATCTCCAGTTTTTCAGCTTTAGTTATACCATATTCCTGAGCAGAACATACACAACATTAGAAAAAGGGTATAATAATAAAGAACTCCAATAAAGGTACTACTAAATTTAAGAATTTTAGTGAGCGACAAGTATTTTTATTTAGCCTCTTTTGAACATTATACAATGCTCCTAGTTTACATTTCTGCAACTTCAAGTACACTATTCCCCAAAGTATTGAGTGTAATTAGAAGAATTTTATTTTGGTGTAAATGAAAAAGAAAGTAATTTCTAAAGAGGATAGGATGAATGGATGAATGTAATCTTTATGAACAGTATTCAACTCAACCAGGTTTTAAATGTAGAAACAACCCTAAAAGAAAGATGGATTAAGGGCACAAACATTAAAGCACAGAACAAATAGTCAATAAACATACAGAAAGAAATATAAATTGAAACCATGAAATTTTTGTCTATTTGAATGTCAAAGATTAAAAAGGTTAACAAATTATTTAAAAGCCTTTGGCCAATACTGTAAAGGTTTTAACTAGTGGTTAGCCAAAAATGCCGTGAAATTATCAAACTTAATGAGCTCTATAACCATTATAAGTTAATTAAATGAGGAATTACAATCCAAAGTGTTAAGAAAACATAGTAATTGTAAGAATTATAATAAAAATTACAGTTCAAAGAGGTAGATGAGAAAATGACCTGATATAAGAAAAAAATCTGTTTTGTGTGTATAGATGGGAAGAGAGGGTATAAGAGGAAGAGGGCAGAAAGTGGGGTGGAGGCGGAGGAAGGCAGGGACAGAGAGAGAAAGAAGGAAGAGTAGAGAAGAGGGAAGAAATAAGCACACTCTTTCTCTCCCAGTTCCTTCTGGGATACCTGTATTTAAAGGCTACTTGCTGTTATCAGGTACTTCCCAGATGGCAAAACTTTAGCATGGATAATAAATCTCAAAACTGCCTAATAAAGAAAAGGCTGATTGATTAGATGGAAGACGTATGAAAATGGAACCTCTTGGGTCATTTACCTTAAACACAAAAGCTTGGTTGGTTAATTATCTCACCAACATAGATGACTGTGAAATTGGTATGAAAAAAAGAAATACGTATGCAATTGTGTATGTATGTGTAAACAAAAGGAAAATGTTGAAATTAACATCATCAAAGGAAATTTTTCTGTTGTTATTAGCAAGGTGTAATGAAACAGGCACTCTCATACACTGCTGGTCTGTAACAAAACTGGTAAAAGAGTTCTGGAAATCTTCTTGATTTTACGTAGAAGACATATGTATAAGGAGAGTGAAAGAAAGTAAAAGAATCCACATTTCCAAATGTGAGAAATTGGTTAAATAGCTATTATTACATCACATCATTCAGCCATTAGGAAAAATGAAGTATATTTAGCTTTACTGATTTGGAAAAAATTTCTTGATGCCAAGAAAAAAAAATCAGGTTATAAAATAGTATGCATTTCCTGGTTCCATTTTTGCAAAGAATACATTTGTCATATATACGAATTTATGAAAAAAATTTTATCCATGAATTTAAGGGAAAAGGCCTTTTAGAATTTTCCAAAACAGTGAAATGTTTTTCTCTAGTTGGTAATGGCATACTGATTTTTTTTTTTTGGCTATATCTATATTTTATAACAAAGATATATTACTTTCATAACAAAAAAACCTTTCCCTTCAAAACAGTGACATATTTTGTAGAGCTGAAAAAGCAAGCTGCCATAACCAACTAGGACCAAATAATTAATTGTTGGATACCCAAGTTCTCTTATTTCTTCCACAAAAAGAACTGATTAAAATAACCGATGAAGATATTTGAAAGCTTATTATATGGTGATATTTAATGAGAGTATCATTGGACTTTATATTGCAAATGCTATTATAAAGAATCCTCTGCATTTCATAATACAATCACCAAAGAAATGATCTTCAAACTTCAATAAATGTGTGCCATCTCAATTAAGACTCTTAATAACAAATATAATCTTTAGATGTTCTTATCTTCCATCATACCATCGAGGCTCTTTTACTATTTACTTAATTTACTGAGGTAACATTGGTTTATAACATGTCTCATGTGAACATTATATTTTGACTTCTGTATAAACTACAGTATGCTCAACACCAGAAGTTGTTTCTACTCATCACCATACAGTTTACCTCCTTTACTCAATTCACCCCCTTTCCCTTCTGGTAATTATTACTCTTTTCTCTATAAATACATGTTTATTTTGCTTGGTTTGTTCATTTATTTAAAAGAAATTTTAATATTCACATTTGAGTGAAATCATATAATATGTTTTTCTTTGAATGACTTATTTATCATAACACCCTCAAGGTACAACCATGTTGCCACAAATGGCAAGACTGTATCTTTTTTATGTATTCCACTGTATTATATATACTACTTCAACTATCCATTCATCAATGGGCACTTTCCATATCTTGGCTATTGTAAATAATGCCACAATGAACACAGGGTGCATGTGTCTATTCGAATTAGAGTCTTCATATTCTTCAGATAAATACCCAGAAGTGGAATACCTGGATCATAGGGTAGTTCTAGTGTTAATTTTTTGAAGAATCTCCATACTGTTTTCCATAGTGGCTGCACCAATTTACATTCCCACCAACAGTGTACCACACTTTTTTCCACATCCTCTCCAGTACTAGTTATTTCTTGCCTTTTTGATAACAGCCATTCTAACAGGCCTGAGGTGATCTCTCACTGTGGTTTCGATTTGCATTTCTCCAATAATTAGTGATGTTGAATATCTTTTCATGAGCCTCCTGGCAACCTGTATGTCTTCTTTGGAAAAATATTTAGCTCCTCTACCCATTGTTTAATCAGACTGTGTTTTTGTTGTTGTTGAGTTGTATGAGTTCTTCATATATTTTGGATATTACCCCCAAATTGAATATATGATTTGTAAATATCTTCTCCCATTCCGTAGGTTGTCTCTTCGTTTAGTTGATGATTTACTTTACTGTACAGAGCTTTTTAGTTTGATGTAGTCCTGTTTGTTTATTTTTGCTTCTGTTTCCCTGCCCAAGGAAACATATCCAAAAAGATATTGCTAAGACCAACTTCAAGGAGCATACTATGTTTACTTTTAGTTTTATGGTTTCAGGTCTTACATTCTAGTCTTTAATCCATTTTGAGTTTTGTGTATGGTGTGATATAGTGGTCTAGTTTCATTCTTTGGCATGTGGCCGTCCAGTTTTCCCAATACTATATTGAAGAGACTATGCTTTTTCCATTGTATGTTCTTGGCTCCTTTATCATAAACTAATTGTCCATATATGTGCGGGTTTGTTTCTGGGCTCTCAATTCTGTTCCATTCATCTACATGTCTGCTTTTCTTATCTGTTATAAAAATACAACTTTTTATTGTGTAAAATAAAACCTCTTTTGCAAAATAAAACTTCTATTTAGCAAATGAAAGATGTTGTCAGAGACTAAGTCCTTGTTTTCTAAGCCTATGTTTCTTATAGTGAGGCCCAAAGACATATTCTTGCAGTATGAGATATTTTTATCCTCTTTTAAAGAGAATTTATTTGCAAATCACTGATTTATACAATATACTTAAACCTGTCTACATCATATACACTGACCAAACAAATAAATAGTTGTTCTTTCATGCTGCAAGAATAAGCTAAACTTTAACGTGTACACAAATACTTATAGGTAAGTTGTGCAGCCTGAATTCCCAGTTTTTAAAAGTCTCTAGTTTTTCCTGGATATTCTGTGAATATTAGGAAAAGGACACTGGAGGGTTTTTTTTTTTTTTTTTTTTTTTGCTGCGCTGGGTCTTCATTGCAGTGCATGCATTTCTCATTATGGTGGCTTCCCTTGTTGCAGAGCACGGGCTCTAGGCATGCAGGCTTCAGTAGTTTCAGAACGCAGGCTCAGTAGTTGTGGCTTGTGGGCCCCAGAGCACATGGGCTTCAGTAGTTGTAGTGCACAGGCTCACTAGTTGCAGCTCGCGGGCTCTAGAGCACAGGCTCAGTAGTTGTGGCACATGAGCTTAGTTGCTCCTCAGCATGTACGATCTTCCCGGACCAGGGATCAAACTCATGTCCCCTGCATTGGCAGGTGGATTCTTAACCACTGTGCCACCAGGGAAGTCCTGAAGTATAGTTTTAATTGTAGTAGATTTACAGTATTGTGTTGGTTTCAATTGTACAGTAAAGTGATTCAGTTATATATTGGGTTGGCCAAAATGTTCGTTCGGGTTTTTCTATAACATAAAAACCCGAACGAACTTTTTGGCCAATCCAATATTTTTTCAGATAATTTTCCATTATAGGTTATTACAAGATATTGAATATAGTTCTCCTTGAAAACTAGTATATAGTAAATCCTTGAGAGAATATAGTAAATCCTTGTTGCTTATCTATTTTATGTATAGCGGTGTGTATCCCATACTCTTTATCATTCCCCCTCTCCCTTACTGTAAGTTTGTTTTCTATGTCTATGAGTCTGTTTCCACTTTTTAATATAGATTCATTTGTATTATTTTTTAGATTCCACATACAAGTGATATCATATAATATTTGTCTTCCTCTGACTTAATTCACTTAGTATGGTGCTCTCTAGGTCCATCCATGTTGCTGCAAATGGCAATATTTTGTTTTTATGGCTGAGTAATATTCCATGGTGTGTGTGTATGTATATGTGGTGTGTGTATGTATATATACGTATATGTGTGTAGAGAGATATATATATGTATATATACATACACACACCACATCTTCTTAAACCAATCATCCACTGATGGGCACTCCAGTTGTTTCCATGTCTTGGCTATTGTAAACAGTGTTGCTATGAACACCGGGATGCATGTATCTTTCTGAATTAAGAGTTTTTATCTTTTCTGGATATATGGGAGTGGGATTGCTGGATCATAAAATAGTTCTATTTTTAGTTATTAAGGAACCTCCCCACTGTTTTCTATATATGAGTATCTTTAAGTGAGGCTACTTTTATATACAATCTTTACACTTTTCATGTACAGTGACCCTTGAAAAACGTGGAGGTTAGGAGCACCAACCCTGCACACCACTGAAAATTCGAGAATAACTTATTTGTGGTTCTGCATCCCTGGCAGATTCAACTGTGGATATGTGGATCATGCAGTACTGTAGTATTTACTATTGTAAAAAAATCTGCGTATAAGTGGACCCACTACAGTTCAAACCCACATTGGTCAAAAATCAACTGTATTTCATTTTTCCTGCTTTTTAACTTTGGTTCACAGTTGGAATGTGTGATTTACTCCAATCTCCCTTTTACAATGTCCAAATGATCTTTTAGTAATTGAGTTGAAAAAAGTTCTCCAAAGGGCATCTGCAACTGTTTTCTTCTAACACATTTCTTATCTCAACTTGTCTTGTCACCTGTCTCTTTATTATCATCTGATTCTCTGTTTAATTACATTTCAGTTAACTGAATTTTGGTTACACCTCTATTTTTACTCTCCTATAATGATAAGGCCCCCCGTTCCACCTCTACCACACCCCACAAATAACTACTTACATCCTGGCCTCTAAATATTATTTTCAAAATACTTCCACATAAGGTAAAAAAACTTCCAAAATTTATATAGGGACACAACTATCTTTTTCTCCCACTTTGCACACATTCCCATAGCACAGAGCTGGTAGGTGCACAATAAATGCCCAATAAATACTTAAGTGACTTATCCCATCCTATTTTCAGTTGTCTTGTTTGTTGTTAGCATATTAGTATTAAGAGTATCAATTCTTAAATTTTAAAAAGTCACTTTAAACTATTAAAAAATCAAACAATGATTTAATATAACAAAAAGTTTAAAATATAAATTCATAATTAGTTACTTTCCTTTTTAAAATTATAGGCTTACTGGGACACAAAAACCAACTATCTTTTATCCACTGATAGACGTTTTAAAAGTATCTATATAACAGTACAAGAAAATTGATATGCAGGAATTACTTACCTGAGGGATAACAATATCTGCTAATGCCTTTGAAAGCCTATATAATTCCATTGTGTTTTCTAATTTCAAGGAACCATTATGCTGGACATCATATTTTATACAGTCATATATGTCAGGGATTTTACTAATATCATATCTTCCATTCTTTGTTTTAAAGTCTTTCTCCAACTTGGACCATCTACGTAGCATGAGCTCTAAGGTCTCACTATGATAAAGCTGAATATCTAAAACAACATAACAGTTTTAGTGTATTAAACTTCAAAATCAGATAAAGAATATATATTAAAAATTGGTAGTTAGAAACTTCTTAAATATCAAAGGTAAAATTGTTAACAAGCTAGGAAATGTTATCATAGGCATATACTATTAGCAACCATATATTTTGTAGACTTGAATAAAGGTATAAATACATGGGTTAGGAACTGGTTTTATAGAAGACCTTCCATATGTTACATACGTTAGTTGCCCAAGTTATTAACTAAGCTAGTCTCAGAGCCAGAGCACTGATCACCTTCCTGTTGCTTGCTCCTTCTTATTATGCTGCCTATTTGCTGCTGAACTGTACAGTAATGCTACATAATTAACCAAATAAAAATGTTTTATTATCCCTTTCATGCTACCACAGATAAAAGCAATTATAACTTCGCTATTATTCTTTTGCTGGATATATACTAACTCAAATTACACCTAGACATACCTATCTAATGCTAAATATAGCATTAAAGGCTTGAATTTTTTATGATTGGCACATCTTATTTAAAAAATGTTTATAGCAACTGGATAGTGCCTTTTATTTGTTTTCTAATCTAAGGAAAACAAAATATTTACCTGATGATTTGGGATCTTCCATTCGATGTCTGATTTGAGAAGTCAAACTTTGTATCAAGAAATACACTTTGTCACAGGTCTTCACAGGATTTTTAATTAAATGCATTGATTTGATAAGAGAAATGCTTCCAGATGGAGTAAGCTACAAATGAATAGAGTATATATTTTTACATCTGGTTATGCTCAATTGGCCAAGAGAACAATATACAAAATTTTCCAGTAGCTGCAGAATAACTCAAACTACAAATGAAGATACCCCCAAAATACAGAAATAAGATCAAGGAGGAAATAAAAACCTCAAAATTTCATGTTAAAAAAATCCTAAACCTTAGCTAACATTAGATTATCCACAGGGAAAATCTAATAGAAGTACTCTAATTTACAAGGAGATTTTATTCTAATATTTTGCAGACATTTTGCTGATTCACTTGGTATTTGCAAATATGGTTTAACCATTTGACATATATTGACATGGAATAACCTCGAGACTATTATTTTCATCACTTTTTCCAGATGAGGTACTTAACAGAGGTTAAAGCACCTTCCCTAAGATCAAACCACTAGTATGCAAAGAGTGAGATTAAAAAAGCAGGTAATCTGGCTAAAGAGCTGTGCTCTTAACCACCATGTAAATGCCTTTGTGATGAGATTTTTTGCAAGTCAACAAAAGCCATTAATGACAAATAGTTTCAATTTTCACTGTTGAAACTTTGCTTGGCAAGTAATTTAACCCCATCAAATAAATTTGTATAAATATAAAAAATGTAAAGTGGAATTCCACTTCTTGTTATGGTGAACTAGGTAGTTTAGGCCAATCTAACCACTGAAGATTAGTAAAACTCCTGGGCAAAGAACTTCTATACTTCTGCTTTAAGGTATCTGAGAGATAAGATATTAAGAATTATTAAGAATTATGGAAACCAAACTCTCTGGTCAGAGATCCAGAGAGTGATACTGGCTTTTAAGGCTGTTTTTGCATTGGAGACATCTGTTGATTCTGAATAGACAGCAGAGAAGAAGAATAGAGCTTTAATATCATTTTATGTTAACAGGACAAAAAAAGTGAAGTCCAGGATTTTCAAAGGTGAAACTCTGGTAAACTCTACATTTAGGGTTCAAAAAAGGGATAAACTGGAGTCTGCATTTTTAACAAGACCCCAGATGATTCTTAGTCAAGTAAGTTTGAAAAACACTTTAGTTCTAGAGTCCTTGCTTTGTCCAGGAAGAGGATAAAAGCATGATGTAAACATTCAGTTTGCAGATGTCATAGAAGCCTATTGTTCTCTCTTGGGTAGTGACAAAACAAATAGTAAAATCAAATATAATTTTCTAACTACCAGGGAAATAAATAAATAAAAAGTACCAATTCCAATGAAGCAAGAAAGGAGAGAAAAATAAAAATAGGCAGTATAAATATAAAGCACTTAAAAGGATAATAGATTCATATACAAATTTCAGTAATTTATAATATAAATAATTGTCCTAAACAAAGATTTTCATGACAAATTTTTTAAAAATCTATATGCAGATTTTAAGAGATACATCTAAAAGTATAGTTTCAGAAAGACTGAAAGTTAAAAGATAAAAAAGATACTGTACAAACACCAAGTAAAAGAAAAAACAACTGTTTTAGCTATATTAATCTCAAAGTAAATTTTGAGGCAAAAATACTGATTGAAATATACCAATTCTTAATTTGTATGCATTTAATAGCATGACATCAAAACATGTAAAGCAAGGCTTAAGAGATTACAAAGACAAGAAAAATCCACAATTATAGTGGGAAATTTTAACACACAACAGTAAAGAAAGAAAAAACAGACCAAAAAAAAATCAGCAAGAATTTTTGTTTTTACCAAAATGATATAAAGTTAGAAATAACAAAAATATAACTTAAAAATGCATAGGTTTGAAAATTTTAAAAGTACACTTCTAAATAACATATGATCAAAGAAATCACTAAGGAAATTAGAAAATGTCCCAGATGGCATAAACCTCAATTTATGAATACAGTCAAAACAGTGCATAAAGGGCCTAGAGTGTGTATTTTACAAAAGATTGAACATTCATGAGTTAATAAGCATCCATCTAGTGACATCAGTTTTTAACAATTAGAAAAAGAGCAAAATAAAACTACAGAAGTAGAAGGAATAAAATATTAAACAATAAAAATTAATAAAATAGAAAACAAGTGCATAATTTAGTGAACCAACAAATCTGAAAGACAGTTCTTTTAAAGGACTAATAAAGCTGATCAACTATGGCAAAACTGATCAAGGAAAAAAAAGGGGGGGAAGACTGTACAATGTTACAAAACAAAAAGGAATATCTCTACTGATCTTGCAGACATTATAAACAACTTAAGAGGAGTATATACACAAATTTCTGGAAGAATGTAACTTAATACAGACACAAGACATAATAAATGCAAACTACTAAATTACTCTGGAAACCACAATTACAAGCTTTCCCATAAAGAAAATGCCCATGGGATTTACCAGTAAATTTTACCAAACATTTACTGAAACATATATACATGAATTATTCCCCCCAAACAGGACTCTCTAATTAATTTTATGAGAACAGCATAATCTTGATATTGAAAGCAGACAAAGACAACAAGAATAAAAAAGTAAAGGTCAGTATGACTCATGAACACAGATGTAAAACTCCTAACCAAAAATATTAGTAAACCCAAACCAGTGATATATATATATATATTTTAAATGAGCTTATTCTAGGAACCACGGTAGCCTCTCCCCCAAATCATATGATGTTTAACAGATAAGAAAATATAAAATTTAAAAACTTGTCATGATAAAACCTCTTAAGAAAACAGGAGTAGAATGGATTTTCCTTATTTTGAAAAAGAGTAGCTTTAAAAAAATCTACAGAGACCATACTTAATGGACAGTGTTAAAAAGATTTCCCTTTGAGAATATAAACAAAAACAGAAAAGCCACTTCTATTTACTGTCACTTTGATGGTACTAGCTATTAAAGTAAAGCAATAAAAAGAATTAAAAACATAAAAACTGGAAAGGAAGACAAAAACCTGGGGATATGCTTTGAAAAGATTTTTTTTAATCTACAGATAAATTACTAAGTTAATAAATAAGTTCAATAAAGTTGACACATATAAAGTCAATATTAAAAAAACTATTTGTACATAGCAGCAACAGATAGTAACCTTTTTAGAGGGAGCGTTTACAAGTACACAAAATTTTTTTTTAAAGATGTAAGTTTTCACAAACTATAGATCTAATGCAATCTAAATCAATATTCCAACAGGATTTTAGGCCAGGTTATTTTAAAATTTATATGGAAATACAAGAAAAGCCAAGAAGAACTTGAAGAAGGACCCATGTAGGATTTGGGAGATCTTATTCAATGGCCCAAGAGTCAACAAAAGAATACGTTCTAGAAACAGAGAACACACATATGATAAAGCTGGCACTACAGAGTAGTGGGGAAAGGATGGTCTTTTCAGTATGTGGTGTTGAGACACCTGGATGTACATATGGTTGGGGGGAAAACATCAATTTTGACATCCTTATCTAATAGCACACACAAAAGTCAATTTTAGCTAGATTGTAGATAAATGTGCAGGGAAAAACAGTAAAGTATATAGAAGATCGTATATGGGAATACCTTATGACCCCACATTAGAAAAAGGTATTATACTGTACGCTAACACACATATATGGAATTTAAGAAAAATAAAAATGTCATGAAGAACCTAGGGGTAAGACAGGAATAAAGACACAGACCTACTAGAGAATGGACTTGAAGATATGGGGAGGGGGAAGGGTAAGCTGTGACAAAGCGAGAGAGAGGCATGGACATATATACACTACCAAACATAAGGTAGATAGCTAGTGGGAAGCAGCCGCATAGCACAGGGAGATCAGCTCGGTGCTTTGTGACCGCCTGGAGGGGTGGGATAGGGAGGGTGGGAGGGAGGGAGATGCAAGAGGGAAGAGATATGGGAACATATGTATATGTATAACTGATTCACTTTGTTATAAAGCAGAAACTAACACACCATTGTAAAGCAATTATACTCCAATAAAGATGTAAAAAAATATATATATATAAGAATAAAATATAGGTTTAATTGTTGAACCTATGATAAATTAAAAAAAAGAAAAAGGTATTATAAAGAATGCATTAAAATGCACTGAACGTAAAGGAAAAAATTGACCTTGAAATACATGGGAAAAAAAAAAAGAAATTCATGGAAAATAAGAATTTCTGCTTATCAAAGGAAATCATTAAGGCTCAGAGTAGATGGCAGTATTTAGAACACATAACAAAGAGCTCATATCCAAAATATACAAAGAAATTCTACTATTCAATAAGAAAAACACAGGCAACTAGTAGAAAAAAAGGACAAGACTTGAAGAGCAGGCCTTATGAAAGAAAATACCTAAATGGTCAACGAATATTAAAACCACAGTGAGGTACTACTATACATCCACCTTCAGAATAGGCAAAATTGAATGGTCTGAAAATACCAAGAATAGAGACTATGTAGAGCAATAACAATTTCCATGGACTTCTGGTGGGAGTATAAATTGCTTCAATGACTTTGGAAAACAGTTTGACATCTACTAATATTGAAATATTAGCACACTGTGGGGCACAACACTTCCACTCCTAGAATACACCAAAGAGAAACATATGCTCATATGCACTAGGAGGCATATATGGATATTCACGGCAGTATTAGCCTAACAGCCCCAAACTATCACAATATTAGAAAGCATATATAAATTGGCATATACTCATAAAATAGAATATGGATCAACAAACTAGGCCAAACATGACCTGTGATAGCCTGTGAGCTAATAAATGGTTTTTACATTTTTAAAAGGTGGTGTAAAAAAGAAAAGCATATGCAACAAGCAACTATATGTGATCTACAAAGCCTGAAATATTTACTATCTGGTCTTTTATAGAAAAAGTTTGCCAACCTCTGAAAACAATACTACATAGAAATGAAAATTCTCAAAACTATGGATGAATTTCACAAACATAACACTGAGAAAAAGAAGCCAGACATAAAAGAAAACATTCTATTACATGAAGCTTAAAAAATACCCCAAACTGAGACTATGGTAGCTACAGATACATACTTAGCCAAATAAGCACTCTGGGTATAAGACTATAAAAAGTTAGGATAGTGATTATTTCTAGCAGATAGGGAAGGGGCTGCAACTGGGAAGGGACACACAGAGGCTAGAGTTGTTCCAACGTTCTGTATCTCCGTACTGATTATATAACTCTTTGCTTTATAATATGATAAGCTCTAAGTTTACATTTTATGCACTTTTCTATGTGTATGTGCATGTAATATTTGACAATGCAAGAGTTTGGTAAGACCCACCTTTTCATAATCTTCAGCAGTAAAATCTCTGTCTTTCTGAAGTATTTCATGAAGTCTTGCTTTCACACGTTGCTGACAACTGCTCAAAGAGTCACTATCACTATCCAAAAGGCCATTCATGTTTGCACTTTTCACCATCTGAACAAGAATGGGTGTAAGTTCTCCTTCTAGAGCTAATAGCCCCTAAATACATAAAATAAAGCCAAAACAGATTAAGAATTAGTATGCAAAATAGAAGGTATCTTAATAATTATCTTGTTACATGCTGAATTTCACAAGGTGTAAGCTTACTATTTACAATAAACTTTATTAATAATGCAACTTGTCATTGCCATTTCAGGGCTTTAGTTAGAAGTTTCAAATTTAGAATATTAAAATAATACCTTAGTAAAAATCTTTTAAAATGCTATATTAGATGAAAATTCTAATAATTCTAAAAAACATTTATTTATACCTTTGCAAAAGCAGCTGCAGTCATCTGGACTCGTCCTTCATCAGAGGCGTATATTTTAAGGTCATGTCGGTAGGTACTGTGTAATCTAAGTAAACCACAACCAGGAAATCCTGCATAATCTCCTGAAAATAAATCCTCAGATCACTTAAGCTATATTTTTACCTCACTGTATTTCTATAAATATTTAATAACATCTCAAAATTAGGATTTGAAAATATGATGTATGAATTTAACTGAATTAAAGAAACTCCAATATTTACCTTGACCTCCAGGATACATACACCTCAAAGCTCTTCCAAGTTCTTCAGCCTGGACCCAGCCTGTATGAATTTAACTGAATTAAAGAAACTCTAAGATTTACCTTGACCTCCAGGGTACATACACCTGAAAGCTCTTCCAAGTTCTTCAGCCTGGACCCTGCCTGCAGGGGTTAGTTCTCCTCCCCATTTTAGAACCAGAAGTAAGGATGGCTCTTCTCTTCGGCTGTCTAAGATACATGTGAATGAATAAAGCAAATGTCAAGGTTTTTTCTTCTAAACAGACATATTTCAAGATTAATTTTTTCTTTGTGTCTCTTCTGCAGTGGAATATGGCCCTTATGTAAATTATTTTGTTCCCTAAATATACCTTTCTTGTAGGCTGTTGCTTCTGCTAGGAATACCCCTTGCTCCACCTGTTAAAATCTTACTAAAATTTCAAAATCTCTCCCACACTCTAGAAAGAAGGCTCTTTCCCAGTTCTCTAAAAGGAAACTTCTCCCTTCCCTGCTCTCAGTGGTATGAGAGCAATGGTATTTGCCCAATGTATTTAGTTGTACTACATATACTAGATTAAGAGCTCCTTGATGACAGGATTCAGATCTTGGCTTTATATTAAGAGCCTCCTGCAGTGCTGTCACATAAAAGTTAATGTTATCTGAAGTGAAGAAGATATACACATTTTTATGATTAGTAATCAGTGATTTGCATAACTTTCAAGATGTGAGATGACAGAGCTTAATATTTATTATAATTTAAACTTATGGGTGAGATATACAATAAAATATAGCCAAGAACAGCTTTTTAAATTTGGAGTTGTAGAATCTGTATGTTCCAGACCAAAGTATATTCTCAGATATAGGGGAGGTCTGAGTTTCTATATTTAATTTTGACTTGCTCTTTATCACGTCCTAAGATCTGTGCTGGATTACAGAAACAAAGGTCATTTAAAAGTTAGCACTATAAGCACTAAAGAATTTGATGATTCATTAAAAGTGATAGAAAATCACCCTTTCCCCTGGGGCTAGTTAGTAGCTGTATGTGCTTTATCATGCAAGCCAACATTTATAGAAAGGTAATTAATTGACTTGTTAATTATAGTTGTTTATGGATTTTTTTGATATAAACATCAAAATATAGAAAATTAATCTGTGTTGCTATTAATCACAAGGTGTGACAAGAGCAATATATCAAATTTTAGAATATATAAAGATCAACATAATCAAATTTGTTTGCATTTAAAATAATCATTACTTCAATTTTTGCTACTATAAATAATGCCACTGTGAATATCCCTATAGAACAATCTTTCCCTCAATATCTGATTACCCCCTTGGGATAGATTCTTATAAGTAGAATTAAGGTCAAAGCATATGAAAAATTTCTGAAGTGTTTTTTTTCCCCCCAGCTGCACTGTGTAACATGCTGGATCTTAGTTCCCCAACCAGGGCTCGAAACCGTGTCCCCTGCAGTGGAAGAGTGGAGGCTTAACCACTGGACTGCCAGGGAAGTCCCCTGAAATGTTGATATATATTGCCAAATTACTTTTCAAAAAATTATGTCAACGCTTCCCTGGTGGCACAGTGGTTAAGAATCTGCCTGCCAATGCAGAGGACACGGGTTGGAGCCCTGGTCTGGGAAGATCCCACATGCCACAGGGCAACCAAGCCCATGTGCCACAACTACAGAGCCTGAGCTCCAGAGCCCACGAGCCACAACTACTGAGCCCACGAGCCACAATTACTGAAGCCTGCACACCTAGAGCCCGTGCTCCACAACAAAAGAAGCCACCGCAATAAGAAGCCGGTGCACCACAACAAAAAGTAGCCTGCACTTGCTACATTTAGAGAAAGCCCACGCACAGCAACAAAGACCCAATGCAGCCAAAAATAAAATAAATAAAACAAAGTTAAAAAAAAAAAAAGAGTTATGTCAATTTACAATCCTACCAGTAAACTGAAATCTTGTCACATTGTACTCTCATCAGCATTCTTTATTATCATTTGAAAAAGAAGAAAATAAGAAAACACTTTGCCAGTGTGATAGGCAAGACTGATTATTACTATTATCATTATTGTATTGGGCATCTCCACTTCTCCGTAAAATGGCTTCCCAATCCCTGCCCATTTTTCTTTTGAAAAGTAAATGAACTTTTGTGCTCACTGCTCTTAGGAGACTAATTTTAAATGCTTATTCTGATTTATTGGCAGAGAAAAATATCTATTTTAGAAACAAGGTGATTACGTATTTTTTTAAACAATCTTTTCATATTTCTTAAGTTTTCTTCCTGTATACCCTGTATGGGATAGGGACCCATTAAGTAACATTTAGTTACAAACAAATAAGCTTTCAGAAGAGTAAAAGAGAAGTCCTAGACAGTTTTCAAAATAATAAAAGGTATCCTTTACCTAAAGGATAAAACGTAAAACATCTTTTATTTAAAGGATAGAAGGCATAGTTAACACAACTCCATGTTATTTTTCCTCTATTCAGCATGCTAACCCCCTAAACTATTAGACAGAAGATTACAAAGGTAATCAACAACGAGTAGTAAGTCCCTACATATAAATAAAACACAATGGGCATTAATAGTGACATACCTTCTTCTTCACTAGATGTCTTAGGACAACCATGAGGGAGATAGGTTAATTGGACCTTACGATTTATTCCAGAAAAATGGCCATACCTGAAAAATAAAATGGCAAACAGAACAGACAATATTCAATAAGCATGCGATGCAACCTCCTAAAGAAAAACTAAAATCCACCTGGACAAAAACTAAATCTTACATATTAATGCTTCCTATTTGTAATTACCTTGCTGAATTCTTCAAAATATCCTAGCGCAAAATCTGTATCCTAGGTAATTATTCTAACCACGTTAAAAATAAAAATACAATAAAGTTTCTCTATAAAAGCTGGAGAATTTTGAATAGATGCCAAAGTATATAAACATACAAAAACATAAATGTATGTGTCTTTAAAAAAATAAAAGAAAAAACGATTTTAAGTGGTCAAGGAAATAAAGTTTATAAGAGGAATATTGGTGGTACCAATTTCATTTGATTAAAACATAGTTCAAAATTATTTTTCACTTAAACAGCACTGAATCTGTGGTTAACTTAGCAATGTGGCCTTCATCCTAAGTAGTACTTCATACAAGATCTAAATGTGATGCCCTCTTTTGATCTTCTCATCAAAATTAAAACTAAAACAGAAACTTCAATACAACAATCTCTTTTCTCACTGTTGAAAATAAAGTTCTTGTTAGATTTCCACTAATTTCTCCTCAGCTACAGTGATAAAGAGAAAGAAGATAAAACTGTGAAGGAAATTAACATGAAAAGTCACACATATTAAAAAAAAAAGCACTATAAGTAGTTACCAAAATTATAGGTTTCAAAAAGATACTTACATCTCTAACACGGTCTTAAGTTGTTCAAGTTTTGACTTGTTTTCTTCAATTTCAGAATCATTATTTTGTCCCAACTCTATAAGAAGTTGTCGTGCAATATCCAGCACTTCCTGTAAAATAAATAAAGAATTGAATTTTTATGTAACTTTGCGATTAGCAATTTAAAACCCAACAAGAAATCAGATGCACTTACCTGTAATTGTTTTGGTTTTTTCAGCTTTAATTTCCCAGATTTATATCCATCACACTTTTCAAAAAGATCAAAGAATCTTATAAGAAAGACAGAGCACTGTTAGGCATTTGCAACAATATTACCTCTATAAACTAACACAAATAATTACAATAAATGATAGATATGGGACTAAAACAATAATTAATAATAGATATGGGACTTGGGGTCTATGGACTTCAAACACTGTGTGCCCTCTTTCACTATATGATGTCGCTCCTCTACTTTGATTGATAAAACTTAGTATTTTCTTAAATCATATCAAACTAATAATCACTAGATTCACTGAATAGAAGCAACAAACTTTCATTCTACTAATTTTCATCTAGAAGGTTGAGAAGTTAATGATTCTCAGAAAGCAATGTAAGAGAATAATAACAGAAGACTGAATATTTACAACAATAAATAAAAGCTAGGTCAGGATGATGACCATATATGGATATTGCTACAGTAATTTTCAGATGCTAAAATATACAATTTAAAATGGATTTTGTTGGATTTTATTGCTTTCCAGTGGTTTAAATATTAATGGCCAAGAAGTAGTGGTAAACAGTTTTTCTATATGAAGTATTAATCAAAATAACTAAGCACCTATCAGAAATCTTAAATTATCTCCTAGGAGTTAAATTATTCCCCTTTAAACATACTTTTGATGCCTCACTTCCATTTTCATTTTTTGTTTTGGTGTTCGGTCCCCATGACGTATGACAGCTATGACACATCTAAGTTCCATCCTAAAATTTAAAAAATAACGTTCAATTTTCTGACAAAGATTTGTGTTATATAATTCAGATTAATATATCTAATTATATTATAGAACCATCTTTTACCACTCTAAGATATTCTCCATGAAGCATAGTGCTTATAACAAATAGTCTTAATTTTATCAAATCAAATCCTAAAAAGAATTTAAGAGGCTGGAGGGGGAGTAATATTAAGCTACACAATACCTGCTTCTTCTCTTGAGATGACTATGCTAACTCTAGGATAAAAGTAAATGGAGGGGAGACCTTAAAGATGGTGAAAGAGTAAGACGTGGAGATCACCTTCCTCCCTACAAATACATCAGAAATACACCTACATGTGGAACAACTCCTACAGAACACCTACTGAACGCTGGCAGAAGACCTCAGACCTCCCAAAAGGCAAGAAACTCCCCACGTACCTGGGTAGGGCAAAAGAAAAAACAGAGACAAAAGAATAGGGATGGGATCTGCACCAGTGGGAGGGAGCTGTGAAGGAGAAAAGGTTTCCACACACTAGGAAGCCCCATTGCAGGTGGAGACTGCGGGTGGCAGAGGGGTGAAGCTTTGGAGTCACGGAGGAGAGCGCAGCAACAGGGGTGCACAGGGCAAAGCAGAGAGATTCCTGCACAGAAGATTGGGGCTGACCTGCACTCACCAGCCGGAGAGGCTTGTGTGCTCACCCGCCGGGGCGGGAGGAGCTGGGAGCTGAGGCCCGGGCTTCGGAAGGTCAGATCCCAGGGAGAGGACTGGGGCTGGCTGCATGAACACAGCCTGAAGGGGGCTAGTGTGTCACAGCTAGCTGGGAGGGAGTCAGGGAAAAAGTCTGGACCTCCCTAAGAGGCAAACTTTTTCTTGCCTCTTTGTTTCACGGTGTGTGAGGAGGGGATTCAGAGCACCGCCTAAACGAGCTCTAGAGATGAGCGCGAGCCACAGCTATCAGCGCGGACATGAGAGACGGGCATGAAATGCTAAGGCTGCTGCTGAAGCCACCAAAAAGTCTGTGTGCAAGCACAGGTCACTATCCACACCTCCCCTCCTGGAGCCTGTGCAGCCCGCCACTGCCAGGGCCCCGTGATCCAGGGATAACTTCCCTGGGAGAACACAAGGCATTTCTCAGGCCGCTGCAACATCACGCTGGCCTCTGCTGCCGCAGGCTCACCCCACATTCCATACGCTTCACTCCCCACAGCCTGAGTGAGCCAGAGCCCCCTAATCAGCTGCTCCTTTAACCCCGTCCTGTCTGAGCGAAGAACAGACGCCCTCAGGTGATGCAGAGGAGGGGCCAAATGCAAAGCTGAACCCCAGGAGCTGAGCGAACAAAGAAGAGAAAGGGAAATCTCTCCCAGCAGCCTCAGGAGCAGCGGATTAAATCTCCACAATCAACTTGATGTACGCTGCATCTCTTAATACCTGAACAGACAACAAATCATCGCAAATTGAGGCAGTGGACTTTGGGAGCAATGATATATATATATATATACACACACTTCTTTTTTCTCTTTTGTGAGTGTGTATGTGTATGCTTCTGTGTGTAATTCTGTCTGTATACCTTTGTTTTTATCATTTGTCCTAGGATTCTGTCTGCCCATTTTTTTTTAGTATAGTTTTTAGCACTTCTTATCATTGGTGGATCTGTTTTTTGGTTTCCTTGCTCTCTTCTTTCTTTCTTTTTTTTATTACTTAAAAATTTTTTTATTTTTAATAATTATTTTTTACTTTAACAACTTTATTTTATTTAATTAATTTATTTATTTTTCTCCCTTTTATTCTGAGCTGTGTGGATGACAGAATCTTGGTGCTCCAGCTGCGTGTCAGGCCTGTGCCTCTGAGGTGGGAGAGCGGAGTTCAGGACGTTGGTCCACCAGAAACCTCCCAGCTCCACGTAATGGCAAATGGCAAAAATCTCCCAGAGATCTCCATCTCAACACCAAGACCCAGTTCCACTCAATGACCAGCAAACTACAGTGCTGGACACCCTATGCCAAACAACTAGCAAAACAGGAACACAACCCCACCCACTAGCAGAAAGGCTGCCTAAACTCATAATAGGTCATAGACACCCAAAAACACACCACCGGACATGGACCCACCAACCAGAAAGACAAGATCCAGCCTCATCCACCAGAACACAGGCACTAGTCCCCTCCACCAGGAAGCCTACACAACCCACGGAACAAACCTTAGCCACTGGGGGTAGACACCAAAAAAAACAGGAACTACGAACCTGCAGCCTGCAAAAAGGAGACCCGAAACACAGTAAATGAAGCAAAATGAGAAAACAGAGAAACACACAGCAGATGAAGGAGCAAGGTAAAAACCCACCAGAACAAACAAATGAAGAGTAAATAGGCAGTCTACCTGAAAAAGAATTCAGAGTAAGCATAGTAAAGATGGTCCAAAATCTTGGATACTGAATGGAGAAAATACAAGAAATGTTTAACAAGGACCTAGGAGACCTAAAAATCAAACAAACAATGATGAAAAACACAATAAATGAAATAAAAAAGTCTCTAGAAGGAATCAATAGCAGAATAACTGTGGCAGAAGAACGGATAAGTGACCTGGAAGATAAAATAGTGGAAATAACTAAGGCAGAGCAGAATAAAGAAAAAAAAATGAAAAGAATTGAGGAGAGTCTCAGAGACCTCTGGGACAACATTAAAAGCACCAACATTCGAATTATAGGGGTCCCAGAAGAAGAAGAGAAAAAGAAAGGGACTGAGAAAATATGTGAAGAGATTATAGTTGAAAACTTCCCCAATATGGGAAAGGAAATAGTTAATCAAGTCCAGGAAGCACAGAGAGTCCCATACAGGATAAATCCATGCCAAGACACACATTAATCACACTATCAAAAATTAAATACAAAGAAATAATATTAAAAGCAGCAAGGGAAAAACAACAAATAACATAAAAGGGAATCCCCATAAGGTTAACAGCTGATCTTTCAGCAGAAACCTTGCAAGCCAGAAGGAGGTGGCAGGACATATTTAAAGTGGTGAAAGGAGAAATCCTACAACCAAGATTACTCTACCCAGCAAGGATCTCATTCAGATTTGATGGAGAAATTAAAACCTTTACAGACAAGCAAAAGCTAAGAGAATTCAGCACCATGAAACCAGCTCTACAACAAATGCTAAAGGAACGTCTTTATGCAGGAAACACAAGAGAAGGAAAAGACCTACAAAAACACACCCAAAACAATTAAGAAAATGGTAATAGGAACATGCATATCGATAATTACCTTAAATGTAAATGGATTAAATGCTCCAACCAAAAGACACAGACTGGGCGAATGGATACAAAAATAAGACCCGTACATATGCTGTCTACAAGAGACCCACTTCAGACCTAGGGACACATAGAGACTGAAAGTGAGGGGATGGAAAAAGGTATTACATGAAAATGGAAATCAAAAGAAAGCTGGAGTACCAATGCTCATATCAGACAAAATAGACTTTAAAATAAAGACTATTACAAGATACAAAGAAGGACACAAATAATGATCAAGGGATCAATCCAAAAAGAAGATATAACAATTGTAAACATTTATGCACCCAACATAGGAGCACCACAATACATCAGGCAAATGATAACAGCCATAAAAGGGGAAATCGCCAGTAACACAATCATAACAGGGGACTTTAACACCCCACTTTCACCAATGGACAGATCATCCAAAATGAAAATAAATAAGGAAACACAAGCTTGAAATGATACATTAAACAAGATGGACTTAATTGATATTTATAGGACATTCCATCCAAAAACAACAGAATAACTTTCTTCTCAAGGGCTCACGGAACATTCTCCAGGATAGATCATATCTTGGGTCACAAATCAAGCCTTGGTAAATTTAAGAATATTGAAATTGTATCAAGTATCTTTTCCAACCACAACACTATGAGACTAGATATCAATTACAGGAAAAAAAATCTATAAAAATACATACACATGGAGGCTAAACAATACACTACTTAATAACCAAGAGATCACTGAAGAAATCAAAGAGGAAATCAAAAAATACCTAGAAACAAATGACAATGAAAACAAGAAAACCCAAAACCTACGGAATGCAGCAAAATCAGTTCTAAGAGGGAAGTTAATAGCAATACAATCCTACCTCAAGAAACAAGAAACATCTCAAAAAAACAACCAAACGTTACACCTAAAGCAATTAGAGAAGGAAGGACAAAAATCCCCAAAGTTAGCAGAAGGAAAGAAATCATAAAGCTCAGATCAGAAATAAATGAAAAAGAAATGAAGGAAACGATAGCGAAGATCAATAAAACTAAAAGCTCATTCTTTGAGAAGATAAACAAAATTGATAAACCATTAGCCAGACTCAGCAAGAAAAAAGGGAGAAGACTCAAATCAACAGAATTAGAAATGAAAAAGAAGTAACAACTGACACTGCAGAAATACAAAGGATCATGAGAGATTACTACAAGCAACTCTATGCCAATAAAATGGACAACCACAAAGAAACAGATAAATTCTTAGAAAAGCGCAGCCTTCTGAGACTGAACCAGAAAGAAACAGAATATATAAACAAACCAATCACAAGCACTGAAATTGAGACTGTGATTAAAAATCTTCCAAAAAACAAAAGCCCAGGACCAGATGGCTTCACAGGTGAATTTTATCAAACATTTACAGGAGAGCTAACACCTATCCTTCTCAAACTCTTGCAAAACATAGCAGAGGGAGGTACACTCCCAAACTCATTCTACGAGGCCACCATCACCCTGATACCAAAACCAAAGATGTCACAAAGAAAGAAAACTACAGGCCAATATCACTGATGAATACACACGCAGAAATCCTCAACAAAATACTAGCAAACAGAATCCAACAGCGCATTAAAAGTATTGTACACTATGACCAAGTGGGGTTTATCCCAGGAATGCAAGGAATCTTCAATATATGCAAATCAATCAATGTGATACACCATATTAACAAAAAGAGGAATAAAAACCAAATGATCATCTCAATAGATGCAGAAAAAGCTTTTGACAAAATTCAACACCCATTTATGATAAAAAACCTCCAAAAAGTAGGCATGGAGGGAACTTACTTCAACATAATAAAGGCCATATTCGACAAACCCGCAGCCAACATCATCCTCAATGGTGAAAAACTGAAACCATTTCCACTAAGCCCAGGAACAACCCAAGGTTGCCCACTCTCACCACTATTATTCAATATTGTTCTGGAAGTTTTAGCCACAGCAACCAGAGAAGAAAAAGAAGTGAAAGGAATCCAAATCGGAAAAGAAGAAGTAAAGCTGTCACTGTTTGCAGATGACATACTATATAGAGAATCCTAAAGATGCTACCAGAAAACCACTAGAGCTAAACAATGAATTTGGTAGAGTAGGAGGACACAAAATTAATGCACAGAAATCTCTTGCATTCCTATACACTAATGATGAAAAATCTGAAAGAGAAATTAAGGAAACGCTCCCATTTACCACTGTAACAAAAAGAATAAAATACCTAGAAATAAACCTACCTAAGGAGACAAAAGACCTGTATGCAGAAAATTATAAGACGCTGATGAAAGAAATTAAAGATGATACAAACAGACAGAGAGATATACCATGTTCCTGGATTGGAAGAATCAATATTGTGAAAATGACTATACTACCCAAAGCAAGCTACAGATTCAATGCAATCCCTATCAAATCACCAGTGGCATTTTTCACAGAACTAGAACAAAAAATTTCACAATTTGTATGGAAACACAAAAGACCCCAAATAGCCAAAGCAACCTTGAGAAAGAAAAACGGAGCTGGCGGAATCAGGCTCCCTGATTTCAGACTATACTACAAAGCTACAGTAATCAACACAGTATGGTAATTGCACAAAAACAGAAATATAGCTCAATGGAACAGGACAGAAAGCCCAGAGATAAACCCATGCACATATGGTCACCTTATTTTTGATAAAGGAGGCAAGAATATACAACGGAGAAAAGAGAACCTCTTCAATAAGTGGTGATGGGAAAAGTGGACAGCTACATGTAAAAGAATGAAATTAGAACACTCCCTAACACCACACACAAAAATAAACTCAAAATGGATTAACGACCTAAATGTAAGGCCAGACACTATAAAACTCTTAGAGAAAACATAGGCAGGACACTCTATGACATAAATCACAGCAAGATCCTTTTTGACCCACCTCCTAGAAATGGAAATAAAAGCAAAAATAAACAAATGGGACCTAATGAAACTGAAAAGCTTTTGCACAGCAAAAGAAACCATAAACAAGATGAAAAGACAACCTTCAGAATGGGAGAAATATTTGCAAAGGGAGCGACTGACAAAGGATTAATCTCCAAAATTTATAAGCAGCTCATGCAGTTCAATCTCAAAAACAAACAACCTAATCCAAAAATGGGCAGAAGACCTAAACAGACATTTCTCCAAAGAAGATTTGCAGATTGCCAACAAACATATGAATGGATACTCAACATCAGTAATCATTAGAGAAATGCAAATCAAAACTACAATGAGAGGGCTTCCCTGGTGGTGCAGTGGTTGAGAGTCAGCCTGCCAATGCAGGGGACACAGGTTCGTGCCCCGGTCCGGGAAGATACCACATGCCGCGGAGCAGCTAGGCCCGTGAGCCACGGCTGCTGAGCCTGCGCGTCCAACGCCGTCACCCAAAAAAGGAGAGGAAAAAAAAGAGAAAGGCCAGTAGAACCGCAAAAAAAAAAACAAAAAAAAAAAACCTACAATGAGGTATCACCTCACACGTGTCAGAATGGCCATCATCAAAAAGTCTACAAACAATAAATGCTGCAGACGGTGTGGAGAAAAGGGAACTCTCTTCACTGTTGGTTGGAATGTAAATTGATACACCCACTATTAAGAGAACAGTATGGACGTTCCTTAAAAAATAAAAAATAGAACTACCATACAACCCAGGAATCCCACTACTATGCATATACCCTGAGAAAACCATAATTCAAAAAGGGTCATGTACCACAATGTTCATTGCAGCTCTATTTACAATAGCCAGGACATGGAAACAACTTATGTGTCCATGGACAGACGCATGGATAAAGAAGATGTGGCACATATGTACAATGGAATATTACTCAGGCATAAAAGGAAACGAAACTGAGTTATTTGTAGTGAGGTGGATGGACCTACAGTCTGTCATACAGAGTGAAGTAAGTCAGACACAGGAAAACAAATACCATATGCTAACACATATACATGGAATCTAAGAAAAAAAATGGTTATGAAGAACCTAGGGGCAGGATGGGAATAAAAACGCAGACCTACTAGAGAACGGACTTGAGGACACGGGGAGGGGGAAGGGTAAGCTGGGACAAAGTGAGAGAGTGGCATTGACATATATACACTACCAAATGTAAAATCGATAGCTAGTGGGAAGCAGCCGCATAGCACAGGGAGATCAGCTCAGTGCTTTGTGGCCACCTAGAGGGGTGGGATAGGGAGGGAGACGCAAGAGGGAAGAGATAGGGGGATATATGTATATGTATAGCTGATTCACTTTGTTATAAAGCAGAAACTGACAAACCATTATAAAGCAATTATACTCCAATAAAGATGTTAAAATAAATAAATCAAATAAATATTAAAAAAATAAAGTAAATGGACTGTAATCCCCTAACTTCTTTAATTATCTGCCCTGTAGCACAGATCACTATAGACTGAGATTTCATTAAATCAGATAAAATAAAGCTGCTATATTTATTTTGCCCACGTAAGAAGAAAAATATTTCAAACTCAAGTTACTGGAAGATAAAACTGTCTTAGCAGGAATGGTAGGGTACAATTTAACACTTGCCAGACTGTGAGACATAGAACATAACTCTATAGAATAAGTTACCCAAAAATACGTTTTGTGTTAAATAAGTTTGGAAATATTGGTTTAAAAACAAAATTAAGTATTTTTGCCCTCCTCTCCGCCCCAATCAGGACTCCTAAGAATATTTAATACGCTAAGATAAAGCTCTAAGCTGTGAATATGAAGCATTTGGTCAACTCACCTGAGTGACAGGTGAATTTCAAGCAGTAACTTTCACTAGAATTTATGAAACACTTTGGCAATGTTGGTCTAATTAATTTACTTCAAGATATAACTGTATATTTTTCCTTTACATGATGAGAGCACTAAAGTTGTATGACCACTGACCACGAACCTTTAGGGAACACATCTGTTGGCACCTCCTTTATTCTTATGGCTTAATTCAATAGTTCTATAACTATATAAGCATTTTTCAGGATTTTATTTGGAACAACAGAAAAGATCTTTAGTCTAAATAGCCCTATGTAAAGCATATAATCTATTTCTCCATCTGCAAAGTCAATCATATGAAAACATACACAGTAGAGTGTCTAATAATTATTCAGAAATATAATCTTCACTGTAATAGCACTAACCAATGGGGAAAACCCAAGGAGTTTCTAAATGAAAATATTTAAACTTACATAGTTCCAGATGTAGTTGGTACAATCGGGATATCTTCAGCTTCTAAGGGTATGGACCAGGGGATATGAAACTGTGGAGCAAGCTCTCGCATTACAATATTCCTTCAAGACAAAAAGAAAAGAAAAATTAAACTAGTTCATTTCAAGACAAACCTGGGTATTTAATGACAAATAACTGAGTATTATAGGAGGTAAAGTCAAACTATCTAGTGATTATGTGAATACAGCACATAAAAAGTAACCTAAAAAATCAATCCTGGTCAAGAAAAATTAGATCAGCAGTGCTAAACTGTTGTATAGAACACACTAACAGGATGTCGTGAATTTGGCTTTACTTATTTACTCTCATTTTAAAAATATAAATTACACAGGATTCAAGTAAATCACTGTAACTGCGTATCTACTTACAAAGATTCTGAAATCCAAGATTATCTCTTCTGTGTGGCCATTGATCATTTCTTTCAGTTTTTATTTATCACCTGCAAAGCTATTTTAAACTATTGCTCATGTTTAACAAATTTCTTATTACTCTTTGCTAATAAGGTTAATAATGAAAACATGTTTAAGTAATTATAAGACATTTTTTGTTTTGTTTAAATTTAGCATTTATTCATGCTAAAATTTAGTAAGCTCCCCCAAATTTCACTTTAAGGGTAAGTTCACAAACCTTTGAAATATACTATAACAGCTGACCCCAATTATTAAAATACATTTTAAAGTGTAAGTTTTTTACGGCTTTGTCAAATATACTTTGAAATGGTTTAAAAATAGTTCTTGTCTTTCAAGTCGTCTAAATCAGGATATAAGAAAATAAGTCAAAGAATATAAAAATGGCATTTCTATATGCAATAATTTCTTTTATATTCACTTCATAATCTCATGAGATTATTTTAAAGTAACATATGCGTGTAGAAAGCAGAATCATTCAAAAGAATTCTAAATTCCAGATATTTCTATTTTATTCTGGTTACTTATTCTGGTTAATTTTGAACCATTAAGTACTATAATTACATATCAAAAACTTGAGAAACAAAATAATCAAATAAATTAGCCATTTTGATGAATAACCACTGTAATAATCACTAAAAATCACTGTTACAGCATTTCTAAATCTATGAAGTTAAATACCTTTAAGCCTTTATCTATACTGGTCATATATTGATTTGTCTTTCATAACCCAAAGTGTAATTCAGGATTTGGCATGGTCTTTGGGCATGTCATTTTATGAACATTGATTTTTACTCTGCAGTGTTTACAAAACCCTGATCACTTGATGTTTACCATTATTTGGTTTCTGAATAACCAGTATGCATTAGCTGTAACAAAAGTAAAGAGGAAGAAGTATAAAGAAGAAAATCTTACCCAAGTATTTTTGCACAATCATCATAATACTTCATGGAATTTTTCACAAAACTGAAGCCATTGACATCACAGACATAGGACTGTCCATTGGCCCGTAACAAATCAAAGCCACAAACTGTTTGCTATTTAAAATAAAGTATAAACTTTAAAGTTCCATTTGAATTATGACTTACAGTTTTCCAGTCTTATTAGAAAACATCAAATTTTATAACTGCCTAAAAGTATATTACTGCTTATCAGTTTACTTCATAGCAAGTAAAAACAAAGAAACTACGTATCTGTAACTTGAATACTCTGAAATATGCATGTCATATGATTATTTAAGTTCTTCCTATGAAGTAGATGTAGAACAATAATGCTTATGGGACTAGAGAGGCCAAGAAATTCTTCAATTAACATTTTATTAAAAAATAAAAGTAAAAATTTTTAAAGGCTTCAATAAATTCTGTGCTAGTAGAAATTATATCATTTTAATCCAAAAAAAACCACAAAAAGCTAAACAGGAGAAAGTTTTGAAGACATATCCCAGAGGAAATGTCCCATTATCCCTATGAATCTTTTAAACGCTGATAACCACATACTTGTGAGCACCTGAAGTAAATTTACTTTATTTGGGAGAAAACAGTTGAAGGGTATGAATTTCCTGCTCGGGCTCCAGGAATTTTCTGATCTTCTACATTTTATATTCACATATCACATATTAGTATAATATTATTTTAAGTCAAGGCTTTTGGAATCCTGGTATTACAAAATTAAAACAATTCACATAAAGCTATTAAAACATATTTCAGGCTAAGATTCCTTCCATGAGAGACTTCAAATTACTAAAACACAAAGAACTTATTTATTATTTAATAACCAGTAATATACACTAGTCTTTAAGTTACATATCCAAGGCAAGGCTTCAACAAGGTAAAGTTTATCCTTTATTAGATTCAAGTTGAACTACTCTATTTAAATCTTTACTGTACAGTACAGGCAAAGCCTAATAATACAGATTGAGAGAACTAGTCAAATGTCATAAGTAAAAAGTTTTCTTTAGGAAGTGTATTAGTATAGCTTTCATGAACATATTTTACTATACATAATAGGCTAAAGGATCAACTGCAAAGGCTAGAAGACTGATGACATTTTTTATTTAAAAAAATCATTTATCAACTCTGAATAGATACTTGTAATCAGTTTTGGTTATAGGGGTATGTTAAATAATACTCCTGTAATTCTACTGTTTCAGTTAAGTTTTCCTCTGTAATTGTAGTTTCTGAATAAATTGACACGGTTTCCTTCTATATAATACAGAAAGAATAAAGAGAAACAAAGGTCTTCATTTATTATATATTTTTAATATTAATGGCACTACAAGAATCCCTTGAAAAGTACATAAACCATTCAGATATACCACTTTATTTTCTCTGCTTCTCTCTCCTGTTACAAGCCCAAATAACATCTCATTTACTCAAAAAAAAAAATTAGAATTTTTACAAGAGTCTATATGGCCTGCATAACATCTCACCTTAAATGCAAGGCAAACTCTCCAAGCAATTAATTTCTCTCGTGCATTGAGAATAACAGGGTACCTTACTTCTTTTCCTTCACTATCTCGTTCCACCTTGCCATCAAGTGCAGGAGATTTTCGAGCTTCAGCATGGGCATAATCTGGACCTACTGTATAAACCTTTCAGAAATATTAAAATACATATTTTACTTAAAAATATATATATATATATATAAAAACAGCAGACAACAAATTCAAATAAAAATAATAAATAAAAAATACCTCAGTGTCCAGACTATTTTTTCACACATCTTTCTATTTTACATGTGAAAATTTTCAATACACTGGAAGAGGTTATAAATAATTAATTATACAGCAAAAATTGGTAAAGTAAGGTCCTGTTCTCTATAAAAAATAATTATACTGAACATTATGAGGGAATACTAGAATGCATATGATGTGACCCTTCTCAAATTGTTTTAGTTTAACAAAGTAGAGGTACAAATAAATTTAAAAATTACAGAAGGAAGTAACTGCCAAAATAAAGATTTAAAAGGGGGTGGGGGATGAGGGACAGCATGAATTCAAAAGCAGACAAGAGACGGAAACGCACTCTAAGCAAAGGTAATAAACACAGACAAAGGGCAGAGAAACAAAACAGCATGATGTATTCAGGTAACAGTACGTATTTGATATGGTTTATAATGTAAGAAATAAGGTTTGTAGGACAGAGGGCAGACTGTGAAGTATCTATGCCAGCCTTATAAATCTGATTATTACCCTGTGGTCAATGAGGATCCACAAGAGAATTTTTAAAAAGAAGTTCATGATCAGGTTTACACCTAAGAAAGAACTCTCTAGACACAGACTGGCTGAAGGTAAAGCAGTTAAGACCTTATTTGTCACCAACAGAAATCACACCTATTTTTTTTTAAATCACATTATAGTTGTCAAAGTTCTCAAAATATCATTTACACTGATCAATGCCTGGAAACATCGTGGTGGCTATTAGACCCTTAGCCACTATATTTTGGGTTGGTTTTTAAATATTCAATAAAATCTATCTCCTTGGTAATCCTGTGTGGTTTATTTTAAGCATTTAAGAACATTATCCTGTATAAAGGGTCCATAGGCTTCAGACTGCCAATGGCATTCATAATACAAAACAGATTAAGAATCCCTAGTTAAAAAGAAAGAGATTCAGAATAGAGGTTATATATAGCTAACTAAAAGGTAATCTCTTTTTCTGAGATCACTGGTAAACTCAAAATACAAAATAAAAATATACTTTAATCAATCCTACCTTAACATCAGTACCATCTGTGGGCATAAACTCTTCATATATATATGAGCCTGTTTTTCGTACATTGCTTTCTGGGGAATAAACACTACTTCTACTGCCAATCTGAAAATAAAAGAAGTCTATCAATGTAAAAACTAAATTATTCTCCTCATTTTTATAAAATAACCCTTTTTACCATCTATTTCCATCACTGATATTTCCAAAAATTTTTTTAATCAACAAATATTTAACAACACATTACATAGTTGACACTATATTATTTTTTGCTCTAATGGTAACTTGAATAGCGTAAAAATACAATGAACACTAAGAACAGTGTTTCTAAGATTCAACCATATTGCTGCATGTAACTACTTTCTTAATACTATAGAATTTTCCTCTGTATAAATAGCCCATAATTCATTCATTTGCCTATCAATATATATTTAGGTTGTTTTCTAAGCTTTAGCTAGTAGAGCAATCTTGCTTCGAACTTTCTTTTAAATATCCCCATGGCACACGTGTGCAGGAGTGTTTCTAAGGCATATACTAGAAATGGAATCGCTAGGTGATAGAATATGCTCACATTCAACTTACAAAATAATGCCAAAATCTTTTAAAAACTGTTTTAATAATTTCCAGTCTCTCCAGCAATGTATAAGAGTTTCTACTGATCTACAATTATCTATATTTGGTATTGTCAGACCTCCTAATATTTGCCACTCTAATGAATACAAAACAAGTACCTCATTGTGTTCTTACTTTGCATTTCCATGACTGTTTATGAGTGAACGTGCACATTTTTTTTTTTTTTGGTACGCGGGCCTCTCACTGCTGTGGCCTCTCCCGTTGCGGAGCACAGGATCCGGACGCGCAGGCTCAGCGGCCATGGCTCACGGGCCTAGCTGCTCCGCAGCATGTGGGATCTTCCCGGACCGGGGCATGAACCCATGTCCCCTGCATCGGCAGGCGGACTCTCAACCACTGCCCCACCAGGGAAGCCCTGAACGTGCACTTTTAATCCTGATATATTGCTAAGTTATATTGCTAAGTAGAAATGTTGCTAACAAAGTTTGGACTTGTACTTGTTTTCCAACTACCTCAATCTTTTTGATCATGCTAATTCAAAAAGTAATTCAATGTCATTACCTTTTAGACTTTACATTTATTTTATTATGGGTGTAAAATTTTGAGCATACTTTCATGTATTTAAGAGTTCATTGGCATTACTTTTTCTATGAACTATCCATTTGGAAGGCCATTTTTCTTAAAAAAAAATGCTGATCTTTACCGAATTTCTCACATGACAGATACATAAATGGAAGGTAGAAAGAAGATCAAATAATTTTCTTGGTATTCTGTAGGTAAGCTTTGCTTTTCTAACAAAGTATTGATATGATATCAGTTTTATTAATTTATCTCTAAATGATACATTGTTAATCTTAGTTTTACTAAATACTTCATTACTTTTAGTAAAATTTATACAACAATGTATTTAGAATAGTATTCACTAGGGTAACAAAGGTTTACCTTTCGAAAAAGTCTTTGACTTCCACCACCAGCAGATGTTGGATAATAAATGTAAACATTGTGGTCTTCTGCACTGACTGGCTTTTCTACAAATGGCTTTTGGAAAACTTCCCCATTTACTTCTACATGATCTTCCCCTTCAATCAGATTACATTCTATAAATCAAACACAATAGCAAGAAAAATTATATATTGTATATTACCTAGATATATTATTAAGGACTTTTTTTGTTTTTACTATAATAGAGATTACAAAGAAAAGTAACCTTGGATAATGTACTGATTTGATTTTAATTAAAAATATTTATGCAAACATATGATCTGTGACATTAGGAACTATATTCTTCAAAAATCTAATGGACTGGCCGTTTTACCCTGCCACCCCATAGAATTCAAAGTTAGATATGAAATGATACACAAGAAAGATTGAGAAATAACTACATAATGCTATCATCTTCTGAAAAATGTATGGAATCATTATACCACAGATACCATAAAACATGAAATTATTTAAGTTAGAAAATTAACCAATATACAGAGTAACCAAGCAATCCAATCAGCAAGTTGTACCTCTAGACAAATGAGAAAAGTTCCCTGTTACAGATGGTACTATATCTGGTTTTTAATAAAAATTCCTCTAATGTACAATAAAGTCATCAAAATTCCCCCAAATAGTTATCAGAATATTAAATATTAAAACATATAAACATTTATCTTGCCTTTTTAGACTAAGTGTAACTTACATGCTATGCTTTAGATAACCAGGAAAATGAAGCAAAGGGTACTTTAAAATATTAATAAATAGTAGTATTTCAAAATTCCTACTCATCAGAAGTTTAGTTGTGGCATACTAACATGAAGTTTCTAATACTTAAATCAATAGTCATAGATGAATCACTCATTTACCCCAATCAATACAAATTTATTAAGCATGTAATTTAAAAATTCTTCTTTATGATTCTGATATGTCAAATGTAGACCAAAGAAATGTAGGACATACAACTCCTGATTATTAGTTAGCCTTGTAGTTCATAGTGTCACATTTTTATTGAAATTTAATTGCCTATTTGGATCATTTTTTAAAAATTGAATAGAATAACATAATTTAAATTCTTTCCATTTAATTATAGAAGACAGTGGCTCAAAAGTATGTTAAGTGACAAAAGATAGCTTGTTTAAAATCTCTTACTCTTACCTTTGGGATTATTTGGGTCACGATTCAAAATTGCGTAACGAGGAAGTAAAATACCTTCAGCTTGAAGAATACTATATACTTCTCTCCTGAAGAAAAAAGAAAATATCCTTACTGTTTTATTGTTCTGTTTCACAATGAGTATATTGCTGTACTGTTCATAAAGTACATTATTACTGTTCTATCATTAAAAAAGTCATGCATATAAAGTCTTTTTTTAAGTAAACAAATATGTCATTTAAAACATTGAAAAGCTGTATTCTAAGTAAATATTCAGCAATATTAGAACAAAAGTGTATGTACAATACTTTTTATGGCATATTAAAATACTAATTTTTAAAATTGGGAATGTAAGTGTATAAAAAGAAATGGTTAAAGTTACTATATCACAATGACAGAATATTACCTAAGTATTAAAACCCTTATACAGTACTCAAAGAATATTTAACAATGTGGGAAAATGTTTATAGTCTTTTAATAGAAATGTGATGCTAATTTTGTAAAATATAAGTGCATATATGTATTGCTTTCTATATTAAAAAAATATGGTAAACGTAGTGGCAGGGTTAAATTCCTTTCTTCATAATTTTATTTTTTAAATTTCTTAAAATGAATATGCATTTATATATATACATATATATATTTATACTATATAAACATGTAAACCTAGGAAAAATGTTATAAAAATTGAGATATTAACTATCTGGAAAAGGAAAAACAAAAATAGAAAAACAAAAAACTATAGGGCCTTACACTTCATATAGCATTTTCATATGTATAACCTCATATTGTAATGCTAAGACAGAATAAAATAGAATACCGGTGAAATTATAAGGGTAGCCAGTAGAGTGAAACACCAATTAAATGAAATATATAAATGCATTTGTATTTTACAATTTCTTTTAAATATCTATGTTTTTGACCTGTTAAATGAATTGCTAAGATATACAGTAATATATTTCTCAAAATGGTTCCACTTGGGCTTCCCTGGTGGCGCAGTGGTTGAGAGTCCGCCTGCCGATGCAGGGGACAAGGGTTCGTGCCCCGGTCCGGGAAGATCCCACGTGCCGCGGAGCGGCTGGGCCCGTGAGCCATGGCCGCTGAGCCTGCGCGTCCGGAGCCTGTGCTCCGCAACGGGAGAGGCCACAACAGTGAGAGGCCCGCGTACCACACACACACACAAAAAAAAACAAAAACAAACAAACAAAAAAAATGGTTCCACTTTACCATTAAAAACCTAGTTATAATGGGTAAAGCCGTAGCTTCATCATCAGTCACATGATAGAAAAACTGTTCATAATTTTCAATGGTTTAGTAGGGTCTGGAAATTAAACAGACCTGGTTTAAGTCCTTGTCCCACTACCTGAGAAACTACTTGTGACTTTTGGCAAACTAAATGATCTGCCTGATTCTCAAGTTTTGTCATCTGTAAAACTGGGTATAAATACCTATTTCTAAGTATTATTTCAAGGATACCACAAATTTATATATGTATAAAAACACCTGATACCATGTCAGTTTAAGTAGATACTAAATAAATGTTAATTTTCCTTCCTTAATTTAGCCAACTTAACCACTCACCTATCTTGTATGAGATACTGCATATTCAAGTCATTGATTACAAATGGATTCCTGAGTTTTGCATAGGCAACTGCCTTGTCCAGTGGAAATCCTAAGAACACATATTAACATATTCTGTAGAATCTCAAGATAAGTTGACATCTATAACTTAATCAACTTGAATTTATGCCATTTCCTATAAAAGACTAATTTCATTATGCATGTAACTGCTTTCTTTAGAAGATAGAATTATAAATACACAAAACTTGATTTATCTTGTACTAGTAAATAAATCTTATTTTTTCTTAGTGAATTTGATAGATAAGGCACAGCAAGCCAGTGGTTACATAACCCAATTTAGAGCACTGACATGTTAGTTGATGCCTGATTATTCAAAGTCACCTGACAGAAGGTAAGACTACCTCATACACAAATAGAAATCTATATACAAATAAGTGTATCACAATCACCTGGTGATTTTTAAAAAATTTATATAACTCCTCTTCTTCTAACGATATTTTGATGCATATACATATAAATTAGCTGATAATTCAAAGAACTTAAGCATCTTCAAAAACAGCAAAAGAAAAATTAATTTACATTCAACAGATATGCTCAAAATATAAAATATATGAGCAGAATCAAGCTTGCTGTTAACTAAGTCAATAACACAGCAGAAATTAAGTCCTTACCATTTCTAGACTTCGGTAAAATTACTAATTACAATGAAAACAAATCAAATGGCAGATATAGTAAGAGATCTAAAAAAAAATCTAAATAATTTTAATGATTATACTTCACTCTCTGTATTAACACTAAAAGACTCCAATTTTATCCATCAACGTATAGTTTATGATTAAGAATGGCAGTATACCATAGATGTTAAGAGCATAAACCAAGGTTCAAACCCTAACTCCACCTTTCATTAGCTATGTGACCGTGGGCAAATTTATTTAATATCTCCAAGTCTCTGATTCCCAGCTGTAAAGGGGTATTTTAACTAAAAGGGTTTTGGGGAAATTAAATATAATACTGTATATAAAACACATTACAATACCTGGCATAATAACTGCTCCATAAATGTTAACTATTATTATTCCCTAAACAACAATATTTTAATAAATAAGCAAAAGCGTAACAATCATCAGGCATACATAGCTTTAGCATTTAACTATAGTATGCTACAGTGTATCTGTGAAGACACTGTATTTTGTAGCATTATCAGAATAGTTAGTAGAGGAAGGAAGTGTTAAAGCCTACTGAAGTTAAAAAAACAAAAACAAAACAAAGAGCTATGGTCAGTTAAAAAAAAGATTTAATCCTAAATTCCTCTTAGCTTTTAACATTTAATTAGAAGTACTCTATACCAAGAATCAATGGGCCACAAATCACAAACCCATCTAGTGTTATAGACTCTTAAGAATTCATCACTTACTGTAAAGATGTCTCAATGTCTATGGTTTGAAGCCTTGTAACAGAATTCAGGAAATAAGAAACGCCTATACAGTCATTACCCTGCTTTTGTTGCTGTTAAAGAGGCAGCATGTGGGACATGACCTTAGGTAGTATCTAGTTTTTACAAGCAAATAACTAGCTTTAACTTAATAAATAGGAAGAACCACGTGACAGTAAGGGAATAACACCTTACCATCAAGGATAAGCAAGTTTTAAGATCCTCTAAAATGAATGACTTCAGTCTGTAAAGAAGACCAGGGACTTGACTTCTCTATGAAATAATGAAAATCAATATAGGGTATGGGAGCACAAAAAATCTTAACCTGCTCCATCCCCTTCTTGCTGAAGGGGATGCTTTTTAAACACCTAACTGAAGTGAGACTTTAACACACCTGGAGGCTACATTAGTTTGGTAACAAAAACGATTTAATATGAATACATTTATAACTGAGTGCATATCTTTTAAATTAGAGCTCTTAATGAAAACTCACTTAATTCACAGATTCTTAGGTTATAAATTTTCAGACATACACTTAATAACTTTTGATTAGTGGACTTTACTTTGAAGAAATACTTAAGCTTAATTGATATTTCAGTTTGATTTATAAAAGCAAGGAAAATATAAAATTCAAATATTAAGTTCTTAAGAAATAAAGCATGAATATGTATTGAGGAATGATAGATCATCTTCTATATGGCAAAACATATGGGTTTATAGTATTTAAAAAATCAAGAATTTGTCCTAAGAAACTTACAGTTGTAAACAAAGACATACATTCAAAAAGTTCATCACAACCTTATTTTTAATAGTAAAAATTGGAAACCATCTCACTTTTAGGATATTGGCTAAGTATGATATAGTACATTCACAGGATGATATACTGTGACACCATTAAAAATCAGGTTTTTGACAAATGATATAGAAGGGGAAAACCTCTTGATGTAATTAGGTTAAAAATTAAATATAAAATTACATATACACTATAACACTAAATATGTTTTTAAAAAATACACACAGAAAAAAAGATTGGAAAGAAATATATCAAAATGTTAATATCACTTATCTGTGAGACTAGGTGAGTTTAATTTTATTTTTCTATTTTATCTATTAGTTTTATAGTTAGAAAGGATAAAGAGGTTTCCCTCCCTATTTTACTACCTTTAGAATGAAAAGAAATGAGACAATCACACAAAGGCCAGTTTTCCACCGGTTCATTCAAAATAACATCTTCTTCAAATACTACTACTGTGATATATTTAAATAAGGAGATCCGTTCAAGAATTTCCTTCATTGGTTTGGATTTGGATTTCTTTGCCATGGAACATATTCCAACCACAATCTGCCTTTCTGGTGGCTAAAACAGAAAGAAAACAAAAAATCAGGTTGACTTGATAACAACTCCAAAGTACAGCTATCTTAAATCTCTGTCAGAAGTACATAAAGTATGTGATGAATCAATAAAAGTGACACATTACCCGAACAGGCATTTTTCAAGATTATATTGTTATAATAAATAATAATAATAGTTTTCTACAAAGGTCTGGAAAAATTTTTTTAAAGTTTCAGAACACTGTTACTATTTTCATTCAGATTTCAAACTTAAATACTTCCTTAACTGTCTCTAGCGTTTATTTGCTAAATAACAATTTAGCAAATTGTTAAATTGCTAAAGGAGCAAATAAGGCCTAAAGGGCCAATAGGAGTGAAAATAAGATATTTTCACTACAAAGCTATGCAGTGTTAAAATATTTTTGTAGATTGAGCTTAAATATGAGTTGGTCACCAATGACAACTTAGAAGGAAATTTTGGAGAAAGCCACACTGCTAAACAGAGGTGTCTATGCTCTTTGACACCCCAATCTTCGTACTCAACATTCCTAGTTTATAGTGTTGCTCATCTCTGGCACCCTTGCTACAGCTCAAAGGCCATGATTCAGCCTGAAATTTAAAATGCAGAATATAGAAAACTTATGAGTAGCTCATGGGTTTATAAAATTACTCAAGATTCATTCTGAGGTCTTTGCTTTCAGGTACTTTGAGAGTTTTATCAAATATAAAGCTGTGTCCAGTTTTCCATTTCAGTTCTTCTCTCTTCTATATTTATTTATTTCATATGACATTATAATCTGGGCCCAAAAGTGTTTTACTAGACCTTCTCTTATTATAAATCTAAAAATAAAACAGGGCAACATCTGAATAATTCTTCTTCTTTATGCTTAGCATTATTCCTCTCACTCATATGAAATTTAGAGTTCAAATTGGTATTGGATTTGATGTTACCATCAAAGATTGTAAATTCTAACCTCCCTGGGATCTGCTGTCTTTCACCCTCTGATCATCTACTTTTATGTTCCCTTATTCAATTCTTTCCTGATCAAAAGCCTCGGCATAGCTCATTATGATGTTCCTTAAGTAGATTTCCCTAGACAACAAGAGTACTCAACCTAACGTCTTTGATACCTTAACAGAACAGTCTGGAACAAATCATTTTATCAATCTACAGGTCAAATGAACCAAATCAAGCTCCTCAAAATGTGAACTCAATTTAATTAGTACCAATATTCCAAGAATTATGCTAAGCACTGAAGAGTTACATATACAGAAACTACCTGTCATCAAGCACTTTGAATCTAACAGGAAACACAGTAATCATACAGTACATAGTGATACACAGAATAGAAGTATATAGTCAAGGTATAGAAATGGTATTGAGGAAAAAATGTTCAAGTTTCTCATGGGGAAAAGAGTAAGGAGAGGGGGAAGACTGAACAACATGAAATTTGAGGTTTTGAAGAACGAAAACTGATTCACAAATTATCCAAAAAGGAGGGGTATTTCACAGAGATAAAGAAGTACATACAACAGCAAAGAGGCGTGGTACAAGATGGAATATGTGGGAAATAAAAATCTGATATTGCTAAAACATAAAAGGTAAAAGAGAAGAGAGACAAGTACAGTTCTAGACATAGGAGAGAGATAAAAATCCTTATATGGAAGAAGACTGGACTTGATTTATCAGCGGTGTTCTCATGTGCTCAGAAGAACTCTAAAGAAAAGGGGTAAGCGTAGCAGAGGCAGAATCAAAAGTACTTTCTAGTCTAAGTCAGTTAGAGAAGCTCTGCTTTTATGTTTTAGTTACTGGACTTCTACATAAGACTTTAGATGAAGAAAAGTTTTGGCTGGTATGAGAAGTTTGAAAACCATCATTTTTTTCTAGGGGTGAGGTGGGGGGGGGTGGGATAGATTTTAAATGGGTGACAGTCTGATTTTGCATTTCAGATGTATAACTGCACTGTGAAAGGTGTTGTTAAATAACAGTGAAAAAGAATTTGAAGAGTCATCTAATAGCTATTTTTGGTTCATTTTTACTACTTATATCAAGTATAACAGGTTTTTGTTTTAAAACAAAATTCTTTTTTCAATTGGAAATATAAGAAACACATATTTTAAGTTTGTATTTTAAATAGGTTCTCAAAGTAAAGCAATCTCTAATTGTAAAGGGACAAAAATGATGAGTAATAAAAATCTTGAGCTAACATAACCATAGCAAAATAAACATAATAAATGTGTGTTACTCCTAAAGATCCAGTATGGTTTACACACATACACACACACACCCGTAGATACTTGAGGTAGTTTCTCCTAGTCACACAGTTTAGACTTCTGAATAGTTAATAAAAGGGGTATCTTCAGGTCAGCCACTACTTGTGTTGACAACAAGACAAACTTAATGAAGCTGGTTAAGCAGTTCTTCTTTAATACCTTTAAAATTCTTTATCTTGATGTATTTGCTGTAACACTTCTACATACAAGGAACCCTTTTGATTTATGGCCCTGATTACTCTTTCTCCTTGTCACTTTTTCTACCTAACCCTGTGTTATATTAGACATAGCAATGAAAGACACTAAATTAGTCATTATTAAACAACTTAGAAATCTGACCTCTAATTGTCTTTCTTGAAGCACTATAGATCCAGTAATGTTACTAATGAAACACAGTATGCTTTTTCAGTTTAAAACTTTCCAACAAATTTCTATATGAAAAAAATGTCTTAATAATTTAAGACAATGGTATCAATTCTCCTTCACAGTGATCAGTAAAAAGCCCAGACTGTATTGGTCTTCACTAAACAAACAACTTACAGATTCATCCTCCTCCTCATCATCTTCGTCTGCATGGTGGAAGAAGTGTCGATAATTTCCAGGGTTTATTTCTGTATCCTCAGGTCCAACAAAGAATCTGGGGCCTTCACTCATTTTTATTTCATTTGATATAAATATAACTTAAATGTGATATACTAAAACTGTTTCTAAATAAACAGCATCTGAAAAAAGCATTCTCTCTGTAAGAGTTGACACATGGGTCTGTTGCAGCTTGTTTCTGCTTATACAATCACTTGAAATTGTGATGACAGTTAGTTGGCAAATGTTCATTTGTTCTCAGATATTATTGCTTCATTGTTGATGCAGTTTAAAAGACAAGACAGTGACCTATTGCTTCAGTGAGTTGATATGGCAATCTTTTTACCTAAAATGCAATTAAAAAATTAATTTTGGAGACTGTACTTCAAAATCACTCATGTAAAAATAACTTTAAATGACACTTGTAAAATCATTATCAATAACTTGATGTATACCTTCAAATGAAAAGACATTTTTCCATAAACTTAAGAAATTTAGACTCTCATCTTCAATAATATATATCTTGGCAATTTGACAAACTGATACAAAATAACAAAAAACAGTACACTAAATTCAAGTCTAAAAATATCTAAGGAATTAGGAGAAAATTATTCAAATTATAACAAAATTACACTAAAAGCTAAATCCCTCGGGCTTCCCTAGTGGAGCAGTGGTTGAGAGTCCGCCTGCCGATGCAGGGGACACGGGTTCGTGCCCCGGTCCGGGAAGATCCCACATGCCACGGAGCGGCTGGGCCCGTGAGCCACGGCCGCTGAGCCTGCGTGTCCGGAGCCTGTGCTCCGCAACGGGAGAGGCCACATCAGTGAGAGGCCCGCGTACCACAAGAAAAAAAAAAAAAAAAAAAAGCTAAATCCCTCTGCACATAGCTCAGTAATATCTGAATAGAATGGAAAAGGATAAAATATAATGTGGATTTAAAAGTAATTAACAACTATACACCAATCTGAAATTACATTAAATCAATTTTTAAAAAGGCTTCAATTTGTAAAAGTTCAATTTGCAAACAGGTTTTTTGGGGTACATAACCATTCTTAATTTTGGTCTCACATATAAATCAACAGAACAAGATTAGAATGAAAACAGGATTTCATTATAACAGCAGCTCAAAGTTTTAGAGTCACAAACGCTTTTGCAATATTTTATAATAACCATAAATGGAGTATAACCTTTAAAAATTGTGAATCACTGTATTGTATACCTGTAACTTACATATTATATGTCAAGTATACCTCAATTTAAAAAAATAAAGCCTAAAAAAAAAAAACCTGTGGCAAATCTACTAAAATCTATGGATCTTCTCAGAAAAAATACACAAGTACACTAAATTCTGCAAGCAATTTTATGTGATTGACAGACATCCAAACTTCCACAAAAACAGATGCCCATGAACATCAGTTTAAGAACTATCATACAACAGTGATATAACCTCAGAATATTCCTTAGCAAAGCTGTTTACATGTACTTGGTTCCTTGGTCATATTAAAACTAATCACCTACCAAGATGAAACTACATATCAAATACTTTATTAGATTACTGGTAATACAAGAAATTACTTGATTAAATATTCTTAGGAGCTGAATGATAAGCTAGCTAGAACTGCAAAGCATAATGCCAAAAGTCCTATCCCTAAAGATCTAATTCCAGTTTAATTGGTGGCTCCCTATGAAACATTAAAACTAGTTTACCTTGGGCTTCCCTGGTGGTGCAGTGGTTAAGAATCTGCCTGCCAATGCAAGGGACATGGGTTCGAGCCCTGGCCTGGGATGATCCCATACGCCGCGGAGCAACTAAGCCCGTGCGCTACAACTACTGAGCCTGAGATCTACTGAGCCCACGTGCCACAACTACTGAAGCCTGTGCGCCTAGAGCCTGTGCTCCACAACAAGAAGCCACGACAATGAGAAGCCCGCGCACCACAACGAAGAGTAGCCCCCACTCACCACAACTAAACAAAGCTTATACACAGCAACGAAGCCCCAACACAGCCAAAAGTAAATAAATAAATAAATTTATATTAAAAAAAAAAAAAACTAGTTTACCTAGCCAGGCAACTACATTTTTATGAAATTTAAAACTTTGTCATTAAAGAATAAAAGCAGAAATAATTCATTTTATGTATCAGTGCTTTTTATTCCTATTTCCCTTGCACTGTTTCATACATAAAAGATGTTTGCTGAAAAAAAAAAAAAGGAAGTTTCCAATTGTTGTAAAACTTGATGGTAGTGAATAAGTTGATCTCAGTTCTTCTGTTTTGTATCAAAAGGCAAACTTCTTTGGTTTCTTTTTAGTTTTTAACCCCTCCCATCCACCTAAAACCAGCCCTAATATTGAATATTTAGTACCAGAAAGGGCATGTGTTTTAGAGTCAGATATACCTATTTAAATCTGTCATTACATAACAAGCAACTTATGCTAGTTTCTCTAAATTTCTTCATCTATAAAAAAAGGGGTATCATAGTACCCTGTAACTCTGTGAAGAGTAAGTAAATGTTTGGCATATACTAAACACTCAATAAACCTTAGTTTCTATAGGCACTCTATAAACCAAGCTCCCTATTAACATAACATAAAATCTAACAAAATGAATATTGCTCATTATTTGTTGACCTAAATCACAAATAACTTTTAACCTATTACAGAAGGCACAGTATTAGGTGCTAGCAATATAAAGTCAAAGTAAACATGAACCTTTTTCTTAAGCAGCTTAAAGTCTAGAAAGAAGACAGCCAAGTAAATTAACATTTTCTGTTTTAGTGTGATAAGCACACCAACAAAACTACAATAGAAATATGCAATAATGTCTCACTTTTCAGAACGGCAACAGTGGGAGATGTATTTCAGTGCATATAAAGATATATGTTTACTTATATATATATATATATGCATGTAAGTATGTGTATGTGTACACTTTATGGCATGATTTTAAAATTGTACTTTCTTCTAATTTAGGTGCTTTAATGAGTGATAATAATCCTGTTCTACAGAGCTGAAAATTAATTTTCAAAAACTGTAATTTTAGAGTGTTCATCGTGAAAAGTCTAGAATGCATAAAAATGAAAATTTATAAGTCAGTTAATAATACCATGACCCAGTGGCAGAACTACTGGTTGTAGTTCTTAGTTGTGGAATTATTGGGTTGTATTTCCTACTAGTCCCTTTACTCTATATTTTCCCAAATTTTTGAGCTACTTTATATGTGTATTATGTGTGAGTAGAAATCAGCTTTTGGAAAAAAACGTGTATCCTGCACATTTTTTTCCAAGAGTATAAATGAATGACTGATCTGTCCCCTTCTCTTCACTTAGTCAAATTCTGTTTCAGTCTTCAATGCTGCTTCAAATACATATATGTCTTCAAATACATTTATGTATGTCCCCCATCTGATTATGGGTTTAGGTCTGAAACCATGTCTCATTCACTCATTTGGAGAGAGACGATAGACAAATCAACAAATAAATATATGATAGGAAGACCTCCCTAATATGGTGACATTTGAGTAGAAATCTGAATTAATGAGGAAACCAGCCATGGGGTTACATGACAAGAGCATTCCAGACAAGAAACAAACTCTAAAGGCCCTAAAACATAAATATTTGGCAGATTTCACATGATCAAGGAAAAGTAAGGAGAACATTGCAGCTGGAGCAGAGCAAGCAAGTAAAGGAAAAATGGTAGAAAATAAAGTCGGAGAAGTAGCTAAGATACATACAGAGGACTGAGAAGCCACGGTAAGAATTTTCAATTTTATTAAATGTGATTGGATTGCTTTTAAGAGAACGGGAGAAGAAGAAGTAGAGACAAGCTATATTGACAATTATTTTGAAGGGCTTTGTTATAAGGGTAGGCAAAGGCTTTATTTTTTGTTTTCTCTTCTGATATATGAATGATACTTACAAATACCAGAAATAGACAGAACAGGCTAGTGGTTAATAGTATGGATTCTGGAGCCAAAAACACTTGGTGTTAAATCTTAACTCCAGTAGCTGTGTGACATTGAGCAAGTTAATTAACCTCTAAGAGCCTCAGTAAATTGTACCTATCTTTCAAGTTGTTTTACAGATTAAATTATATTTAGAAAGTTCTTATATCCCACCGCTCAGGCAATACTCCATACCAATTTTATCGAAATATTTGGGAGAAAGGCCCAGGTATTTTTAAGGCTTCTCAGATTCTAATGTGCACCCAAGTTTGAGAACCCCTGTAGAACTCAAAAAAAGGAGGGGGAGTGTAGAACAATGGAAGTACATGGCAAGCAAAACCTGTGTTTGCCATTGTTAGGGGAGCATGCTATTATTACAGGAGATCTGATGATCTGATAAAAAAGGAGACAAAGCTGATGAAGCAGAGTCTTTGTCTTCTTGACGCTTGGCACATCTCAAGTACCCAAAAAATATTCCCTCACAAACCTTTCCTTAACAATTTCCAAGATTTCTTCTCTGAATCATTCATTTTGCCCTTTGGTCACCTCTAACTTTGGCATTATTTAGCTGTTTTGGTTGTGTACATCCCTTCAAAACACGATAAGCTTCAAGAGAACGAACATTTATTCACCACTGCTACCTGGTATGTACTTAATTTGTTAACCCAGAGCCTCGCAACACATTGCCTCACCATGAATGAATACTTTAAGTATGCCAAGTGTGGCAGCTGGAACCCCCGGCCAGTTGCCTCCAACACCACTCTCTTCAGTTTCTCCTGGAAACATCGTACAAATACTATCACTTTCTATGAATACTCTAATATGAAAAAAGTTGGGAAGCAGTTATGACTTTGTGATTTAACAATTATTCTTAACAATCCTGGGATTAGAGATATTTTCCTCGTTTTACAAATGCTTCCAGTACATAGATAAATGTCCATCATTTGATTATAAATGAGGACTTGAAGCTCAGAAAGTTCAAGAAATTTGACTGTAACCACACACCCAATAAGACCTGTAAAAAGAAATCAAATCCAAGTCTGTTTAAACCGAAGGCCATCGTGATCACTTAAGGGCAAAATCAGGACTCCACAGTCCTTACCATAGTATTACACATATTAAATAAATACTTATAAAACTAAAAGTATGAAATAAATGTATTTTTTGTTTCCCCTACCCAAGTGATATGTATACTGTAGTACAAGATGAAATTTTATGGGCATGATAGGAAATCCAGGATATTCTAATGAATTGCTATTTCACCTGAACCCCTGACAAACCAAATATACCTTATGCATTTCCACATTATTTAGCATTTCGACCAACCTACATCCTCCATCATGAATTCCAAAACATATAACTGGCCTTAAAGATATTACATTATTCAAGTATCAAAGTTGAGCCTTTCTTATTTTTAAGATTCTTTGTATAGCAGTAGTCCCATAATAAACTGGCTACATCAGAATTATCTGGGACATCTGTAAAAACTCAAGTTAATAGACCTCCCACAAATTTTCTACAGCAGCATTTCTTAACCAGATAATCTATATTTTAACAAATCAAAGTGTAGCCAGGTTTGGTAATCTGTTTAAATTTGTGCAAAAGACAAATACCTATTAAGGCTGATTTCTAAATTTGAAATTAGTATCATGCTACTAAAGTACCCACACTCAAAGCACTGGTTCTCAAACTCTAGAATGCACTCAAATCACCTGGAGGGCTTGTTAAACTACTAAACTAAAAAGTCTGGAAGTCACACCTTTGCTAACCCCCAAATACACATCAGCACCCTCTTCCATCCTCTATGTTCCACAGCATTTTGGATCTATCGTTACAAATATGTTTCCACTACAGTTACAGTTTTCCTCCCCAACTTTTTATTGTGAAAAATTTCAAATATTCACAGAAATTGAAAGAACAGTTCACTGTAAACACCCATATACCCACCACTGGACTCAACAATTGCTCTACCATTTGAAAGTAAGTTGTAGACATCAATATGTGTCATCTCTAAATACTTTACTATGCATCTCCTAAAAATAAGGACATGCTCTTACAAAACCACAGTATCATTTCCACATAAGAACATTAATAGTTCCACAATACTATTCATATGTAGTTGCATGGGAGCTTTTAGAGAACGAGGATGTCATCTATATATTCCCAGTACTTAATTGGTGCATAGCACTTATTTGGGTGATGAATAAGTGTTCCACCAATTGTTAAGTTTAATACCCTCACAACTACCCTGCAAGTCGTGAGTTTAAAACTTAAACAGCAAGCTTTGATTGCACAACCTGCACCTTCTGCCCACCAGTTTAATCACCTGCTTTAAACAAACCCATGCAAGTTTAAGTATTTTGGTTTCTGAACTATTTAATTCTGCATCAATACTGAAGCTCCATGAAGACAGACGTCACATCTGTCTGCCTTCAGACACCTAAATAGGCATACCAAATATTTTTCTAATGAATACTTTCAGCTACTGAAAACGTTAGTGAAGAAGTTGGAAGCAATGAAGCACAACGGTAGGACAATGGTAATGTAATAGTTAAGTATACAGATTTTGAAGTATGAAAAACCTGCTTTCTAGTACAGGTTTGTTCAAACGTTTACCAGTAGAAAAAATTTACTAGAGCAAGTTAAGTGAGGCTTAGAGATAAGGCTCAGTTCCTACCTCTGTAAAATGAGAATAATAATCTAATACAATACACCTCATGGAATTGTTGAGAGAAGTATATGAGAAACTATGTAAAGCACTTGGCACACATAAGAACTCAGTGAATGGCAGCTATCATTTTTTTTATTTGCTTGAAACAAAACCTTTATTTTTCATGAAGAATTTTCAGTAGCAAAGCAAAACTCTATCCCACTGCAGAGCAAGGAAGCTAGGTGCCTAAGTCAGCAAGGAGGCTTCCTACTTCCACAACTAAGCTTTTCAATACGCTAAAGCCAAGGTAAGTATCATCCACGGGACTCCAAAGGTCGCAAACTCCCAGGAAGTCCTAGTAGATGAGATCCAGCGGTCACCACCCTCGCCCCTTCCCCCTCGAAGCGCGCGAGGATGCAACACTCCAACCGATTAGGGGCGGCAGTGACCTGCAGCCTCCTTCCCTACTCTGGAAAGCTGCAACGGAAGGGGCTTTTGGTCTCTTGTAGTGGAGTGGAGAAGCCGAGGAGCAGAAGGACAAAGACTGAGGAATGAAAATGAAAATGGCCATCTCTACCCACAGCAGTCCCCAAACTCGAGACTGCCTACTTCGGTGGAACGAGACCGCAGCCTGGCGTACCAGCCAGAACCTCGGCAGTTCCCTTCGAGCTAAGATGAAACCTCCGGTATCTCAAACCCAAGAAATGGAAAAGGGAAGTGATGGAGGAGAAAGAGAAAATAAGACACGGAAAGACCCTCAAGGCTGTACTGCCACTCCTCCACACCCACGCTGCCTCTCTGGCACATGCCCCTAGGAGGAGCGCGTGTCTAGTCTCCCCCAGAGCGCAGCAGGAGACAAAACAACTGCCCAGCAGCTGCCGCAAACCTCGGGGGACCAGGTTCCACATCTTGATTCCTTCGGTCACTGGGCCCGCACCTGCCACGGCTGCGGTCGTCACGCGAACTGCAGGAAATGACCACGCCCATTCAGGCCTCGGTTTCCCCTTTAATCCCCGGGACAGAACTGAGGTGTTCATCAAAGAGACTCCAGCTGTTAGCTTGAACCTGGGTCTTCTCTCTTCAATAGCAGCTGGAAGGCCACAGAGAGATACTGTAGGCAACACTACACCTCGCCGAACCCTGGTCACGCCTCTTCCCCTCCCGCCTCGGGTCTCACACTGAAACCTCACCGGGCGGAACGATTTCCGGCAAGAACCAAACGATCCGCCCTAACCTTTTGTGACCGAAGCTCCGAGGCCCCCGTAAACACTCCTCTCTTAACCACACGGGTAGTTCCGCTTCCGGCAGCACCACATAAATCGCGAGAGGACGCTTAAATCTTGACGCTTGCGTTTAGGACCACTTCGGTGAGTGGTCGTTTTGGTGTGTTCACACTTGATGATTTTTTAAAATGAGGCGTGAGCTGACAGTAATTTCAAAACCATTCGCGTCAACTAGTTTAAAGAAGGGTTTAATTGACTTTGTGGAGATTGCGCAGGCGCCCTTGGAGCGGGAGGGCCTTGTTTGGGCGTTGCGATGCCCGCGACAGCTGAGCAGGAAAGGGACGTGTTCCGTTGTCGGGCCTAGGGAGGTGCTTTCTGCGTGTGACCGACTTTTACTTATTGGTCGTTTTCTTGCCTACGCTAAATTACCTGGAGCTTGCCCTTAAGAATTAGTTAACGAGTAACCCAAACTCTGGAAATGCTCCCTCAGAGTAGCAAATTCAGAAGTTGAGTGCTGCCTTTGGCTGACAGTAAAGAATTCGCCTCCTTACTTTATCATAGTTGTCATTTAATCTTTTGCCCCAGATTAAAATCTCCTGTGGCGGGGAGAAATGCGAGTTTAAGGGAGAATCTTGCCCTGTTGTTTTAAAGGAAAATTACTATCTCTGTGGATGTTCTTTAAATGAGCGTTTCTGAACCAAAGTAGAGAAATAATTTTTAAAATTTAAATTCATTTATCACATGTGGCTTCATGTTTATGCATATGGAGATGAAGGCGTTTTTGTTAAATGAATTTGCACGTTGAAGTGAAGCAGATTATAGGGAAGTGTATTGTGTAATTAGATTTCCCAGTCGTTTTCGTTACATAAAATTGTGCACTTCCAGTTTTTCAGAGATTATAATAGAATAATTCAGAAGTAAAATTAATGATCCCAAGTAAATATGTTTATCGAAATATTACAGATTTTAAGTTTTAAAGTTGGGACATATGCGTATTATAACCTTTAGAAGCTTAAATTGGGTTTTGCCCTTGGTGAAACACAGTTAAATCCTAATTTTATTTAAAGTGGTACCTAACTGCCTTTATTGCACACACAAGATAAAATTATTAAAGGAATCAAGTAATAAGTATTTACACCTACAATAAGTATTCATTGATTTCATCTAATGTTGTACCAGGGACATAGTGTAAAAAGCTCAACCAAATTTGATCCTGACAGTTCCTCAATTAGGATTTGTAATAAGACACCTGTACTGCCTTTTCTCATCCCTACATATTTTAATACATGAGTAATTATTTTTTTTAAGAATTCTTGAAAATATGAGCATATCCAAAAAAGGTGTAATGTAATCTTCGTGTTTATAACTCAAACCACTTAATTCTCCCTTGTAAATGATACCTTTGTTTAATAATATTTGGGAATAGGAAGATATTTATCTTTGTTCTGAGTATTATAGCCTAAAGCCATTTGCTCATATTAACTATTCCATTGGATGGTTTCTAGGGACCAAATATTTCTTTTGAAAAGGAAAAAACTATTAGTTCTTTAAGTTATACCTATATATAAATAGCAAACATTAGCAGGAAACTTTTAACCTTCCACTTAGAGGACTATACTTTTTGTGAACTGATTTTTCTTTCTTATTCGTTTTCTATTTCTCCTTGTCATCTGTCTTTAGTGCCAGAACCACAAACTTGTGAACCCAATTAGACTATAAACTCATTATAAAGTATACAACTCTTGATTCTTCTGGGTTTCATGTTTAGCAGTAAAACATAAATAAACATTGCTGTGTAACATTAATCTCGTTCCATTAATGAAAGGAACGAGATTTTAAAATCTTTTTTTCCTTGAAGATAAAGGTTTTGAGACAAGAAAGTTCTTTGCTACTGTGAACAGTTTTATATGGATGATAATAATACTTAAAACATTTTAACAGTAATTATATATTGCATTACCATTTGCAAAGGACTTTTCAAATTCATAATTATCCCATTGATCTTCATAATTGTGAAAAAGGAAAGGTAGGTATTATTTCCTTTTTGTCAAACATGGATACTGAGACAGGTAACTGTCACATGCTAGAAATTCTGACTCCTAAAAGCCGTACCTTCTTAGACAGGCCCTACTTGTAGTACCATATATCAATACATGCAAGTGAAGTAATGTTTGCTGAAGTGAAATAATAGTCACCTTTGGAACGTGTGCTCTTTTTAAATTCAATGCTACCTCTCCTGTCAGGAAATGCAAGTAATTCTTACTCATTTACAAATAGTTGAATGTCCACTGTGTCCTGAATACTATGTGAAACATTAAAAACTAACAAGACCTTCTCATTCCTCATTTATAACCTAAATTATTTATTACAAAAATCACTTTATAACTTTTCTAGCAGAGGCCTGAACCAAGTATTATGAAAGCTGAGGATGACAAATAATTAAATTAGTGTATGTCAGGGGACGGACCATGAAATTTGAAGCAACAGAGACCAAGGTTTAAATTTAAGTCAATGGATGCATTCACTAACTGTGTTGCCTTGAGTAAAGTGGATGATCTCTCTGAACCTCCATTTTCTTATCTCTAAAACAGATGTAAAACTAGTACCTGTTCCATAGCATGTTGTGAGGATCATCACAGTAAAGTGCTGTATAAATGTTTGCTATTATTTTTAAAATCTGCTTTTGTAGTTATTTTTCAAAAATCAGTTCAAAAAATTGTTTCCTCTTTTTATAGTTTTGGCTTTTCCAGATGTCATAAAAAGACTGGTGTATAGTATGTATGTAGCCTTTTGTGTCTGCTTTCACTTAACACAATGATTTTGAGATTCCTCTCTATTGTTAAATGTATTTGTAGTTCCTTTTTGCTGAGTGGTATTCCACTGTGTGGATCTACCACAGTTTGTTTATCCATTCACCTGTTGATGAACTTCTGGATTGTATTCAGGTTTTGGCTGTTATGAATAAAGCTTCTAGAAACATTCACATACACATTTTTGTGTGAACATATACTTTCATTTCTCTTGGGTTAAAACTGTTTTCCAACATGTTTACACCATTTTTTATTCTTACCAGCAATGCTTTTCATGCTTGGTAGTACTTAGTATTGCCAGGTTTTGTTTGTTTTTGTTGTTTTTTGCCATTTTGGTGGATCTGTAGTGGTATCTCATTGTGGTTTTAATTTGCGTTTTTGTTGTCTAATGGTGTTGAACATCTTTCCATGTTTTTATTTGCTAACCATATCTTCTTTGATGAAGTGTCTGTTCACACCTTTTGCCCATTTTAAAAATTGGATTGTTTGTTTTCTTATTATTGAGCTTTGAGAATTCTTTATAAATTCTGGACCCAGGTTTTTCATTATATACGTGTACTGCAAATACTTTCTCTGGGCTGTGATTTCTCTATTTTCTTAAATTAAAACAGAAGTTTTAATTTTTTCTTTTATGGGGTTCTTTCTGTTTGTTATCTGAGAGTCATTGCCTAACCTAAGCTCACAAAAATTTTCTTTTTTGTTGTCTTCTAGAAGTTCTGTAACTTTAGGTGTTACATTTAGGTCTGTGACCATCGTGAATAATTTTAATTTCTTCATATGGTGCAAGGTATGAGTTGAGATTCATGTTTTTTCATATGGATGTTTAGTTAGTTGCTCCAGCATCATTTGTTATAAATATTATTCTTTCTCTATTGAATTACCTTGGCACCTATGTCAAAAATAAGTAAACACCATTTCTGTGTGGCTATATTTCTGGACACTCTATTCTGTTCTGTAGATCAATGGCTGTCATTTTGCCAGTACCACACAGTTTTGATTACTATAACATTAAAGTAAGTCTTGAAACCAGGTAATGTAAAATTTTTCAACTATATTCTTGTTTTTCAAACTTGCTTTAGCTATTCTGAGTCCTTTGGTTTTCCATATCAATTTTAGAATCAGCTTGTCAGTTCCTACAAAAGAGCTTGTTGGGTTTCTGATTGCATTGCATTGATTCTATAGATCAGTTTGTGGAGAACTGACATCTTAGTGAACTTATCCAGTTCTTTTCTCATTGTTAGGGTAGGAGTGACTTTTTTTTTCCAGCTTTCTGCATTCTAGGCAGAAGCCTATATGGGAATTTTTAAATGCTGTTTCAGAAAGGAATAATTTACTTCCATTGTTGAGTATTATAATTTACCAGTCAATTTCAATCTGAATTAACCACTTGAAGTCTTTTTTCTTATCTGGAAAATGGGATATTGAATCACAGTCACTGGGCTTCCTTTTGCTGCTATATTAATGTGTTCTTTAGTCAAGATCTAATTTTTCAGTGTGTGATGTGGTATATTTAAGTTTTCAAAAATCTGTTCATCTTTCCCTACTTCTTGAAGATTAAATGTATTTTAATATCCTTTGCTATATTATAATTGTGTGAAAGATGCAAAAGAATAGAAATAATGAAATAAACTAACTCTCCTGTTAATAATGATTGGTCTTTCAAATTAGAAAGCCTTATTTCCTGAACTTTTTGGAAGTTAGAAGTACACATCATCAAGAATGATGTGTATGTTTTAAGAAGTGTAAAAATTAATTTTACAAAGAGAAAATGAAATAAGAAACCTTTTTCTTCTGTGAAATTACCTCTTGCCTTTTTTCTTTATTTAGGAAGTGCTTAGAAAAGAGATATATGGAATTGACCTGATAGGTGCTTTTTGTTATACACTTAGAGAACTTAGTATTAGCATTGTCATCTGCCAGGTTTTTTTGATTCCAGTTAAAGGAATGTCGAAAACTTTTAGTCTGTACCTCTGAGCGACCTATAATTTATAAATATCAGTGTTATCAGTCTACAACCTTTTAACATCCAAAAATTTAACTTAATAAATCCAATTTGTATTCACTTGTTAAATGCCTTAACTCTGAATTGTCAAGCTGTGTGCCAAGGCTTCCTAGCGCATCATAGTGAATTCACAGGGTGCCATGAAACACTGTAAACTTTCAAGGGAAACACAGGTGTATTCAACATCTATCATATCCCTTGTGGACCACTAGTTCACAGTTTCAACATTAGGTCACACTACATTCCTTTTTTTTATATCTTTGCAAGACTGGTTTTTGGATGTTTGCTGTGGTAATAATGCAGATACTGTACGAAAATCAGTACGGAAGAAGAAATGAGGGTGGCAGTGTCTAATCTAATTCCAAGGTTTGAGAAATTGTACACTGACCAGAGGTGCAGGCATGCCATTAGTAAGTAACTATAGTTACCTCAATGCTATAGACAATGTTTGTGTCCCCCCAAAATTCATGTGTTGAAATTCTAACCCCTAATGTGATGGTATTAGTAGGTGGCATCTTTGGTAGATGATTAGATCCTGAGGGTAGAACTCTCAAGAATGGGTTAAGTGTCTTTATAAGAGAGAGCTCAGAGAGCTCCTGAACCCCTTCTACCATGTAAGGACATAGGAAAGATGCCATTTATGAACCAGGAAGCAAGCTGTTACCAGACACCGAATCCACCAGATTGTTCTTGAACTTCCCAGCCTCTAGAATTATCAGAAACAAATGTTTGTTATTATTAAGCCACCTAGTCTATAATAAATTACCATAGCAGCCCATATGGACTAAGATACCCAGGAGAAGGGAAATGGGAGGGGTATGGTGGGAACTTAGAAGAGAGAGGTTTTTAAGTATAAGGGCAAGATATAGACATCACTGTGCTTTATGCAGACGTTCATGTTTTCCAATGGCCAATTTTTTTCTACCAGTTGCAATTACCCACATCCCTCTGTGTTTTAGTATGGTGTATCACATTGATTGATTTGCGTACATTGAAGAATCCTTGTATCCCCTGGGATAAACCTCTGTGTTTTAGGACCTGTACTTCCTTTGAGGTGTGAGAGTTTGGTCTTTTGCTCCTGCGGGCTTTTTAGAGGCCTGAAAAGGCTTCTCCCCTTTTCTTTTTAATGTCCTTCAGGAAATTTTGCAACCTTTACTGGTCTCTGAAATGGAGGTAACAAAGGATTTTACCTTTTTAAAATAAATTTCATCCTCCTACAGGTACCATGCTCCCAGTGGCTAGGCTGGGATGTTTTAACGTTTTCTTTTATGATTTAGAACATTGGTGGTCCCAAAAGCCATTAAGGGAAAACAAGAATTTGGGGTCATTTATAATATATTATAAATTTTACAGAATATAGACCATAATGATTTAATGTAAACTAAGAAAGGACGGGTCCTTCTATCTCTTGGACTTGGAAGAGCTTGCGTCAGTGTATCCTAGAGATGAAAATAAGACAGAGAAAAATGATTTTTGCCTGTTTTTTGGTTGATTTTTTAAGAGTTAAGGAGAATTATTAATAATACAGAGCTAGAATGACAGGCAGGCAAATGGATAGGTAGACTGACAGTCTATATTCCATACTTAAAACCACACAAGTCTTCCTAAATTGAAAATTGATGAAGGGTGTAAGTTTGCCACAGAATCTTTTGGCAGAGGAAAGGCTGTAGATAGGATGACATGAAAATAAAGGCATCAGGGGGTCTATTGTCACAGATTTCACAGTTAGTTTGAAAAGCACTGAGATTTAGAGCAACACGGAACTGGAAAACAACAGAAGTGTCTATAGGGCAAGGACTGAGTATACACAGGGTAAAACCTCTTGATGCCTTTACTGTTTCTAGTTAGGGGTATTATGACTATATAACATCTATGAAAATTTTTATACATGTCTTCTGATACTCATATACTCATTTCACTAGGATATAAACTTAAAAATAGAATTGCCAAGTCCTTAGGGTAAACATGTTTAGCTTTAGAAGAAACTGTCCGTTTTCCAAGGTGGCTGTACCATTTTACACTTCCACAAACAGTGTATGAGTTTCGGTTACCTGTCCTCACAACCCCTGGTGTTGTCTCTGTTTTTAAATTTAGCCTTTTTAATAGTGTGTAGTTGTAAATCATTTTGGCTTTAATTTGCATTGCCCTAGGGGTAATGATGTTGAGCACATTTTCACTTGCTTATTAACCATTTGGATATTCACTTCTTTGAAATGTAAGATTTCCCCCCCCACTTTTTTTTTTTGCGGTACGTGGGCCTCTTACTGTTGTGGCCTCTCCCTTGCCGAGCACAGGCTCCAGACGCGCAGGCTCAGCGGCCATGGCTCACGGGCCTAGCCCATGGCACGTGGGATCTTCCCAAATGGGACACGAACCCGTGTCCCCTGCATCGGCAGGCGGACTCTCAACCACTGCGCCACCAGGGAAGCCCCTCCCCATTTTTTTGTATTGAGTTTTATCCTTTTCTTCTTGATTTTATAGTAGTTAATTATATATGCTGGGTATGAGTCTTTCATGAGATATATATACATTAAAGATATCTTCTCCCAATCTGTGGATTACCCTTTCCCTTCTTAATGGTCTTTTGATGAACAAGTTTTGATTTTAATGAAATCCAACGTGTTATAATTTTTTTCTTTTATGAATAGTGCTTTTTGTGTCCTGTTTAAGAAATCTTTGCTTATCCCAAGGTTTTGAAGATCTTCTTCTGTGTTTCCTTCCAGAAGTTTTATAGTTTACTTTTCACTTTTAGGTTTATGATTTGTCTGGAATTACTTTTGTTCATGATGTAGGTAGGTGGTCAATATTAATTTTTTTTTCTGATACAGATATCCAATTGCTTCAGCATCATTTATCGAAAAGACCATCTCTTCCCACATCGTATTGATGCCTTTGTTGTAAGTTAATTGACTGCATACATGTGGATTTAATTCTGGACTCCCTATTCTATTTCAGTGACCTGTTTGTCTATCCATAAGTATTGGCTTATGCCAGTACTTCACTGTCTGATTTACTGTAGTTTCATAGATGGTCTTAAAATCTGATCCATTCATTTTTGAGATGTTTTAGAAACTGTGATAAGGTACATTTGTTTGATTTAGGGGTACAACCATTTATTATAAAATGAAAAAAAAATTATGTATTTAATGGAAAGTGAATTAAACTTAGAATAAGCTAATTGTTTTATAGAGATAATTGACCTGTTTTTTAGGTTATGATAGGAGAGAATTAGCTTTGCAGAACCTTTGCTTTTAAAATGGCGTACTGATATCCCAAAGTTATGAAAAGATCGGAAAGATGGTTATTAAATGTGCAAAGTGCTGTATCATTGGGAAAGAGACTTAATAAGCTTTTTAAGCCATAGTTTATAAGCATGGTCTATTCTGCTTTGTTCTAACACTCTCTCTGCAGTAATATTTTCTTGTAGCCTTATCCCTGCATCTTCTAGTGGTCAGTAAACATCTATATTGTTTTTGGAAATTCAGAATTTTAAGCATTTGTATCAATTATAGTTCTAGCAGGAAACAGAAGATATACTCTGCTAGGATTTTAAAGAAAATTTAATGAAGTTCCTGTTTATAAACATATGATGGAAAGGGTCAAAGAAACCAAGATGGCACCTGGAGACTAGCAACAGCAGAAAATAGCAACCACCTCTAGGGCTGAAGCAGCAAGAAGAAATGTTGTTACAGACTTCCAGTGAGAACTAGAGACACAGAAGATGGGCTTCCTGACAGGAGCTATGATTGTAGAGGGTTGCAGCTTAAACCAAGGAAGGAGCCGGGAAATAAACATCCTGACCTCTTTCTTCTGCCATCTGATTTGCCTGCTCGTATCTCCCATTGGACGAGTCCAACCAGAAAACTATAAATGCAGTCTGCAAGGGTCAGTCTGCAAGGGTACAGCAGCAGGGAGAGAAAGGCCAAACATGTATCTGGATCAGCGGGGATGGTGGCAAACAAAATAACCAGCGCAGAATAGTTCGTTTTGACTGAAAATATGAGGGAAAGGTTTTTTTTTTTGAATGTAGTAATGGTTTTCCATATGGCTTAGGTCTAAAATAGAGAAGTTTTGTTTTCGCCAGTCCAGCCAGATTTTTCTTTATAACATAGGGAAAGTACACACAGAACAAAAGTCATTTCTATTCAAGAAAAATTAGCTTACATGTAGTTCAGAAGAGTGTATGAGATCTAGCATAGCGAAATATCTTCATTGCCATTTATCATTTGAACATTTCTAAAATGTATCTTTCTCATAAATGATTTGAGAATTTTTTGCATTTTGCAATGACCATGAATATATTTAGAAGTAATATAAAATTACATTTTCCCTCTTATAAGCTGTCATTTGTTCAAATGTCACATAACAGAACTATCCTATGTTAAGTAACATTTCAGTTGATGGTAATAGAGACTTTAAGCAAAACTTTTTGAAGTGTGCTTGTCATTTCCTTTTTTCCCAGTATGTGGAAATTTTTCAGTATTTCTTTTCACAGGGAAAGAGACGAGATAATGTGTCATGTTGTGTCTCAAAAATAGCATTTGAATATTTTAGTTCATCTACATCACACACTTTTGTGTACTACAATTATCTCTGACACAGATAATATTCCGGGAATGTTCAGTTCACATGTAAGCAGAAATATGACAGAAGGCTAAACTGAAATAGCAACTGAATTAGTTTATCATTTAAATTATATCTTTAAATACCTTTTACCTAGGTTCATGATGGTTCGTAGTGGAAAAAATGGTGACCTTCATCTTAAACAGATTGCATATTATAAACGAATTGGTGAATATCATCCAACTACACTGCCTAGTGAGAGAAGTGGCATAAGAAGAGCAGCAAAAAAATTTGCCTTCAAAGGTAAAATTAATGCCCCCAATTTTTAGTATAGAGTTTATATAGATGTTTCTCCATATGTAATTCCTTGTGGAATCCTGAGAATTTCTGTAGTAATTGGTCGTTGCTTAACAATTACCATTTAAATTGATAATGCCATTCAGTCAAAAGCAAAATAAAACTCACATTGAAGCTAACTGAAGGCCAGTAAGCGTGAAAAGGGCATTTTAAATCATAGACAGAAAATGATACCATGAACAAAACAAAACACTTACCTAAATTAATGTCACCTGCTTTTGTCCTCAGGTGATTCCTACTCTAGTGGTACACTTGTAAACATTCGTGTCACTCTCAATGAAGAACTTATTTGATGCCTAATATTGAAAATGTTGACAAAGTTAACTTACTCTACTTATTTCTGTGGTTCCTCCCTCTCAGTGCCATTAAATAGTCTCAGGATCATATTTATTTTTGAACTCCTAATCCCCCTGAATGAATTAAATATTTGAAAGACAGTAGAATATTTATCTTGAAAGGTTATGATAATTTTCACCTCTTTCTCTTCCTCCTCCAAAGGGGAAGAGAAGTTTGGGATGAGATAAGCAAAGACGTACAATCACCAGATGACTAAATGAATGTTGGTACTATTAATGGGAATTTTGCCTGTAGGTACAGAATCAGGCTTTTCTAAAAGCAGGTCAAGAAAATTCTAAGATAATAAATAAATACCTGCTTATTTTTCCCTGTGTACACCCCTTCCAGTAACTCCCTTAAGCTTAAGAACAGGCATACCTATTACATCTTAGACTAAAGAGGATTCATTCATTCATTTATTTAATCATTTATGCAACAAATGTTTACTGAGTTCCTCCTGTGTGCCAGTCACATTTTAGGCCTTGGGAACATGTTGATGAATAAGATAGATAACTCCTGCCCTTAAGTTGCTTACTTTCTAATTCAAGTAAGGAATGTTCCACTCAGCATGTGCTTAATTAAGCACACTAATAGCTTACTGGTGTATTTTGGAGTTTGAATAGCTACTCATCCACACTGGAGAATTAGCTATTCTCTTCCTGCCCTGATTACTTCCCAGCCGTAGACTCTTTCCAGGTGTCTCCAAAGGAAAACAACTGCCCTGAGGATTAAGGTTTGCCCACTTTCTTGGCTTTATGAACCCTATTTCCTACCCAAATCCTGAAAAACTTAAGAGAGGTGGTTGCTTACAAAAATACAGCTATGATGAAATGCTATTTTGGAAAATTCTATTCCAGAAGTTGCTTGTCTGTACATAATTTATTTGCTAATTCCTGCCTTTTTTAGGAGGTGCCTGCTGCAAGTATTTTTCTAGTTTGATTACTCCCATAGAAGATAATTTTATACTCCCATATTTACCATGTGCTTTGGTGAACAAGCTAGCCCTACTTGTGTTGATAGCTACAAAACTATAGCGGCTAGTTCTACATATCTATTAGTAAGTGTAACAGCTGAGGACCTTTCAGATTGTATGGTAGCATCATCACAAATATTCTATATTAGAGGGAAAAGGATTTAACAAAAAAAACCTCACGGTTTGAAGATAAGGCTATGATTATCTTAAAACTATATAGATATCTAAAAATTTCAATTATATCTTTTTGGTATTTTTTTATTTCAGAAAAAAAGCTGTTTTATGTCGGAAAAGACAGAAAACAAAATCGTTTGGTAATTGTTTCAGAAGAAGAAAAAAAGAAAGTCCTAAGAGAATGCCATGAAAATGACACTGGAGCCCATCATGGCATATCCAGAACCCTTACTCTAGTGGAATCCAGCTACTATTGGACTTCTGTGACCAATGATGTCAAACAGTGGGTATGGCTTATGTATTTAGAATATTTTGAATAATGTCTTTGTAGTATATATCCAAAATTCATGTTTGCTCCAGATTAACTCTAGATATCACTTCTCATTAAGTACTTTTTGTCTGGGTAGTTTTTCTGCAAAACATTTAAAGGGAGTTTTATTTCCCTTCAAAAATCTTCTTTAAAATCACTGAAATATAATTTGAACTAGAACAAAGCATTATTTAAATATTTGAAAATACTCTGTTTAGATAGATTATCTAGAACCAGATTTTCATCATTGAACTATCTTGTGTAGGCAGAATTTAAATGGGGCTGAAATTTCTTTGACCAAAAATTAATCATTACCTCTTTGATGGCAGTCATACAATCTTTTCTTGAGAGGAGAATATGTTCATTATAAGTCAGGCCCCATGTGTGTCTCCTCTTTTGTCCGTATATTGTCTTGACATAGAAAATGTCAAATATGGCAGAAACACCAAACCAACTAATTGCAAAATCAAGTTGTGAAGATAATGAAATTAGTCTGACTTTTGTAACTTTATAACCCATTAGGACCTCAACTTCTTCTAATAGAAAATTCACCTAGGAGTTCTGGGATTCTTGCTGCTAGGTCAGTTGATCCCTACTCTTTCTAGTGTGCTCCATATAGCAAATGATAGAAATTCCTTAGTATGTATGTGAGTGCCCGTTAATAATCGTAATAGTGCATTAAAAAGACTGTCATTTCAGGCATAAAGAATTAACACAACATTTAATTTAACTAAGTATCATTTGTGAGTCTGTGCAGGTATTCCAAAGACCTCAGTTTTTGTATTTGCCTTTAGAACCTGCCACACATTCCTTTACAGACATTCAATGAAATCTTTGTCACATCTTTATCATTTGAAAAATGATTTTGGGAAATAAGGTAATTTGTGATGAGAATTAGTTTAAGTTAGAAAAACTAGAAAATAAAAATTTTGATCAAAAGTAACTATAATGCAAAAAGACTGGTTTAAAAATTTTGTTCAGGACTTGGTTTGAAAGTAGTTTCCAAAGTGTAATTCCAGAAATATGTTGAACAATGGCACCATCCATATGTTGATCAATTGATCTCATCTCACACAGCTCCATGACAGCATGGGCTTTGTTTTTGTTCATTCTCTTTTTCCAGGACCTAGTGGAATTTCTGGCATCTATAAATATTGTTTGAATAAAGTTATATTTTAATGAATATTATTGCATACATGAATGAATGAACTCAGTAGAGTGATAACTTTAAAAGAAAAAAATTTTTTGCTTATAGAAATTATATACTCACATACTGATTTAAAATTATAGCAAACATGTTTTAAGATCTATTCATTTAATAAATATTTATTGATTGTAAACCAGAATTATGTTCCATGTGAATAAAAACCCTTAAGGCAGTCATTGAATAGTAGTAGCAAGTAATATTTGCTTATATTCTGAATAGGTTTTATTTTATTATGAGAATAGTCCAAAAGTTTCTCCTTCAAAACACAAAGTACCTATCAACCATTTCAAAGTTCAGATTTATAAGACTGCTTTTATTATATTGAATATATTAACATTTGTATACCTTTTCTTTATTGTATGCCTGTTTTATAGGTATATGCTTGTCAGCATTGCCAAGTGGCAAAAAATACGGTTATTCTAGCACCTAAACAGCACCTTCTCAAAGTGGAGAATCCATGGAGTATAGTTACTGTTGATCTGATGGGCCCTTTTCATACAAGCAGCAGAAGTCATGTATATGCTATAATCATGACAGATTTGTTCACAAAATGGGTTGTGATTTTGCCTCTTTGTGATGTTTCAGCATCAGAAATTTCTAAAGCTATTATCAATATATTTTTCTTATATGGACCTCCTCAGAAAATAATAATGGACCAAAGAGATGAGTTCATTCATCAGGTAAGACAAACTAGTTAGATCTAGGAGCATATTTTACTCACCTTTCAGTGAGCAGCGCAACTTATATGGTACTTAATAAGTTTAGAAAATTCCTACAGATATAGAGGTTTAATATTGTATAGTACAAAGGTAGTTGGACTGGAAATTAAGGATTTTAATAGTTACTATGCCACTAAGTAATTGTAAACCTGTCTTTAGTTTTCTTGAAAGTAAAATGAGGAGGTTGGACCAAAGAGTCTTTTTTTGCTTCTAGCTTAAAAATTCTGTGATTGAGATGTAGAGGGAGAATTGACTAAATGGAGAAGTACAGTCATGCTTGTGAATGAGAATATTCAATATTGAAAGATACCAATTTTTCCCAAATTAAAATTAATTTATATGTTAATGTATTTCTAATCAGCATTAAAAAGGAGGGAGCATTTTCCCTTGCCCTGGCCTTTATCCGCATTAAAGTTAACCTGAAAGAATAAGTGGACAGGAATACATACAAAAATTCTAAAAAAGGAATATAACTACCATACTTAAGGCATATTATTAAATTTTTATAATTGACAGGGTACTGGTGTAAGAAAATAACCAGACTGTCTAGGTTCACGGCACCTTTGATATCTCAGTCCAAAAGAAATACCTAAAATGATACTTATCAAATAGTTAGGGCTTGTGCCACGGGGTCCCTAAGGTTATCTCCAGGTTTTATAATTCACTAGGAGGACTCAGCAGATGGTCATACTATGGCTAAAATTTATTATAACTAAAGGATACAAAGCAAAATCAGCAGACAAAAGGCTCATGGGGATAAGTCCAGTGGAAACTAGGAACAAGCTTCTAAGACATCCTCTCCCAGTGTAATCACACAGGACATGCTCAGTTCTCCCAGCAGAGTTATAGCAACCCATGTAAATTGTTGTCTACCAGGGAGGCTCACTAGAGACTCAGTGCCTAGGATTTTTACTGGGAGCTGATCACATAAGCACCAAAAATTCTAGATTCTCAAAAGAAAGAAGGTGTTCAGCATAAGCCACCTTGATTGTATAAACAGTTTTGGCACTGTGAGCCACCCTTAATCAGTTAGGGAATGGTGGAAACCCACACGAAATCCAAGGTCCTAGACACCAGCCAAGGGCCAACTTTGTAAGCAGGACTTTCACAGGATAGCAGCCTTAGTTCTGCTATGTTAACTCTTTTTCTGCACAGGTCCAAACAACTTAGTATTTATATCCTAACCACTTAGCCATTTAAAAAAATAGTAGTCATAAATTGAAAGAAATAATATTTTCATTTCATTCTTTTCATTTCATTTCATTTCATTTTCATTTCATTCTTAAATAACCACAGTTAGTTACTAATGGGATATGTATACCTGTTTACCACTGCTAAGCTTTTCATACTTTGGAATCAGTTTGGACACTGCCATCCTCATTTCCTGTTTTGCATTGATTTTTATACAGTCATTGCTTTTTATCATAGCACCTGTCAAAAAACAGTTCTGTAAAGATACAACATCATCAAAAGCAATGTAGTCTGATCTAATGTTGAAACCATAAATTACCTTAAGCTAGTAGTTTTCAAGGTGTCCAACAGATGTTAAGGAGGCCCTTTGGCACAGAGTTTAGTAACCATGTTTAAAATGATAGAGCTGGTATCATAAATGAGTGGAGTTAGGGAAGGATTATTTAATAAATTTAATTTAATTAACAGCATAAATAACAATTTTCTTTTCTAGTTATTTCTATAATATGATTTTAGAATTACTGCACACCAAAATTGTTTTCAGGTAAATTTAAAAATTTTTTTTTTAATTGAAACAAAAAAATACAATTGACTTTTTTTTTTTCAATCTCTAGAGACTGAGTTAACTTTCCAAGCTTAGGGAATAGTGGCATAAATTTAAATGGAAAAATCACCAACTTTGGCTGTTTAAAAATTAGAAATTTATATATGGTAAAATCTCCAAAACGTACAGGCCAAGAAATAGGCCAAAAAAATAAAGCACATTCATGCAGGAAAGGGCTAATGCCTTTATTATAAAATTTCAAACAAATTAAAAAATTTAGTCAATGGCAGAAACGTAATTCACAAGAGGGAATAAAAATAATAAATATGGAAAAATGTTCAAACCTAATAGTAATGAGTAATGTAAATTAAGACCATTTTTTGTTTATCTAAATCAAGAAAAATAGTAGTAATACCAAAAATACCAAATAGACTACAGATAAAATAATATAGCCTTACATTACAGGTAGTATAGCAACTTGAAACTAACTCTTGTAAAGCAGTCTGCCAAAGGTCCAGTAAGAGCCATATATATATATATCTCTTGGTGAACGATCCTATTTCTAAGAATTCTAAGGCGATTATCCAAAGTATAGAAAAATAGCTCTTTTACAATATTATTTACCACAATGCTATGTATATTAACGAGAAACAGGAAATGACCTAAATATCCAAATAAAGAAAGTGTTTCAGAAAAACATCAAGCCACATGATGAAATATTTTGTAGTCATTAAAAATGTTTACAAGAAAAGGAAATAACATGGACACTGATTAAAACATGTTCAGTTAAAACTCTGGGTAAAAGATTTTATTACATACATTATGTATACATACTTTACACAGATAACTATGTAAAAAAATAGATGTAAAGAAACTAAAATAAAAATTTATATGGTTAACCATGGAGTTTTTAAGAGTAATGAGATTATAGGTTTTTCCCCTTAACTTTTCAGTTTATATGTTATCATTATGTTGTTTTTATAACTATTAGTGATTAAAATATACATAATCATCTGTTGTTTTGTGATATAAATTACTAGTGCTTAGCAATAACTAGTTCTCCTAGCCTTCCAAACATAGACGACTGTCCTAGCCTCTTTCAGGTGGGCAAGCCCAAGTAACACATCTGGGCAAAGAAGTTGAATGGATGAATGTGTGCCCCTTTCAGCCTGAGGTATTGAAAACTTCATCCTCAATTCTTCCTTCTCCCAGTCTTATTCTGTCTCTGGAGAATTAACTGCATATTTCAGATATTACCCTAAAGGGTAGTGGATTTTCTCTCATCCAGGATTTCTGAGGCACCTAGGTGCTTTGGAGAGACACCCTGACCTACAGCTGACCTTGTCTGAGCAAGTAGTAAAATTTTTGAGTTAAACCACTGAGCCTTGAATGTGTTTTGTAACTGCAGTATAATATTGCCTACCTTGACTGACATAGCAGTGGTCTGCAAAATGAGGTGTGCAAGACAATCTAGTTTGTAGGATGACAATATTAGAACTTTTGTTTATAATTTTTATCTAATAAATAAGAAAGAAATGAAGCTTTTACTAATAATATATAGAGATTCATAATAGCATCCTGAATCAACAAAGCAGATGATTGTGTGTCGCACATGGTACGGGAAGGCATCTTGGGAAAAAAGTGAGAATCTGCAACATGTGGGAGTCCATAGTGGTTCCCTCACTCATTCTTTTGCTTTAGCAGCAGTAATTAAATTTATGGATATTGTCCAGTTTTTGCCAAACTACCCTTCATAGAATAACTAGGTGGCTTAATTTTCTTGCAGTGAAACAAGATCATACGAATAATAATGCAATCACCTTTCAACCACAGGAAAATGATAGAGCTGACACAAGTAACTTCTAGTACTAGCTCTTTCACAGATATATTAACGATATAAAAATAAATGTGGACTAATCAGATCTGATAGGAAATTGGCCACCAAAACTCAAAATTATCAAGAAATCTATTTGAAATATTGTCTTACTTTCACCTTTATTAATGAAAAGCCTCATCCTAAATGCATATATTACTTCAAGATACTAGGTAATGACAATATGAAACCATTATGAATCACCAGCAGTCTTTCCAGTCATGTTTAAAGTCATATGATGTATACATTATTGGTACTATGTATAAAATAGACAGCTGATGGGAACATACTGTGTAGCACAGGGAACTCTACCTAATGCACTGTGATAACCTATATGGGAGGGAAGTCCAATAGAGAGGGGATATCTGTATGTGTATGGCTGATTCATTTTGTTGTGCACTGGAGGCTAACACAACATTGTAAAGCAACCATACTCCAATAAAAATAAATTTTAAAAATAAAAAAATAGTCATATGATAATCCAAGACTTTGAAAATTTTACCAAAAGTAACAATAAATGTTTATAAGCCTTTTATGAGGTTTAACAAAAAAAAAAAAAATCACATGTGATTAAGAAAATTTGTTCTTTTTGCTGTGATTTATATGGCTTAAATATTATACAGCAGGCATAATCGTGACAAAATAAAATGGGTTTTTTTGTCAGCATATACTGACATAGGAAACACTGCTAAAGTATTAAAATAAGATTTAGAACATTATACACAATGTGGGAGGTTTATTATAAAGTTGATGAAAGTACAGATGTTTCTAACATATCTCAGCTTAGAGCATTTGAGTATTTGCTAAATTGGTTCAATAAAATACACAAAGACCTTTTTATAAACCTGTGAAGAAAAGAGAATTAACATTTGTAAAGGAAAAATTATTTCTTTAATTTTAAAAATATGTCTTATGGAAAGCTAAAATTGTGACCACTAATGGAATGTCTGGTTTGATGGGGAGAAAAAAAGGCTCTTGGGTTAAGGATATCTAGGTAGCATCTCACAAATGGATTCACTGGATCAGTTCTAGGCAACCTCTTCAAGTTGAAGCCTTTTCCAAAAGTCAGTCATTTTTAAAACCATTAATTATGACCTCAGATTGAGGCTGACCCAAATAATACCTATTTTCTGGGATTTCTTTTAGATTACTTTTGATTTAAAAGGAGGTGGCCTAACATATATACAGTGGAATATTACTCAGCCATAAAAAGAAACAAAATTGAGTTATCTGTAGTGAGGTGGATGGACCTAGAGTCTCTCATACAGAGTGAAGTCAGAAAGAAAAACATACCGTATGCTAACACATATATATGGAATCTAAAAAAAAAAATGGTTATGAAGAACCTAGGGAAAGGACAGGAATAATGACACTGATGTAGAGAATGGACTTGAGGTCACGGGGAGGGGGAAGGGTAAGCTGGGATGAAGTGAGAGAGTGGCACAGACTAATATATACTACCAAATGTGAAATAGATAGCTAGTGGGAAGCAGCCACAAAGCACAGGGAGAACAGCTCGGGGCTTTGTGACCACCTAGAGGGGTGGGATAGGGAGGGTGAGAGGGAGACGCAAGAGGGAGGAGATATGGGGATATATGTATATGTATAGCTGATTCACTTTGTTATAAAGCAGAAACTAACACACCATTGTAAAGCAGTTATACTCCAGTAAAGATGTTAAAAAAAAAAAAGGCGGCCTTCGTTAGTACATATATTAGGTAGGAATTGTATTCCACTGCGAGTAACAGAGAACCCTTCTCTTCCCTCCAATATATAAACTCCAATAGGAGTTTATTTTATACTTAGGGAAAAGAAAGCCAGCCTCTCCAGGGTTGGAAGGGTAACTCTGAATGTCATTGGGAACCCATGCTTCTAGCATTCTGTTCCACCATCTTTGAGATGTGACTCTCAATCTTATGCTTACAATATGGCATGCCACAAATTCTACATTTCTGGCAGAAAGAAGGGGGAGGTTAATGGGCAAAAAAAGCTAGAACTAGCTGAGTCTGCCCAACAACTTTCACTTAAATCTTTTTGGCCAGAACTATATCACTACCCCACTACTATATCACTACTATCTGACTACCCCAACGAAAAATAATAAGAAAAAATAGTTTGAGGTGTAAATAAGGTAGGAAAAATAAGTTAACAGGCTTATTCTTAGAAGTTTTCTAAACTCATTTTGACTTATTAGGCCCTGCCCATAATAAATATAACAACAAAAATAATAGTAACATTAAGAGTTATAAAGTGGTTACTACTTGCCAAGCACTGTTTTAAGTGCCTTATAAACATTTATTCATTTAATCCTCGAGAGTCGTGGGTAGGATTTTCCTCATTTTACAGATGAAGAAACTGAGTACACAGAGGTTTGGTGATTTGGCCAAGGTCATGTAGCTGTCAAGTGGATTATGTTAACTGTGTTTGAGAAACTGTCTACTGAATTAAAATGTTATCTGAACTCAGAGTTAGTGTTAAATTCTGTTCTTCCATTTCCTTGCTGTATGTGTGTGTCTGGCAAGGCACTTAACCTCCCAGAGCTTCAGCTGCTTATCTTTAAAATGGAGTTAATATCTCATAAGATTTTTGTCATGTATAATGACTGTAATGTAAAGCATCAGCACATAGTAAGGACTCAATAAATGGTAGTTACTCTTTTAAACAAAATATGTATGTTTTCATAAAGACTGGCTATGGTCAAGGAAAAGGCAAGATTCAAATTCTTTTGCAACCTTTCAATCCAGGGAAAAATAAAATACAGATTTTAAAATCAGCTTTGTTTTTTATATGTTTTTCAGATCAATGTAGAACTGTGTGAATTGTTTGGTACAAAGCAAATTGTAATTTCTCATGCCTCCCAAACTATTAATCCAACTGTAAGTACACCTAGCACAATCAAAACATTTCTTTCCAAACACTGTGCTGACTACCCAAACAACTGGGATGATCACCTAGCAGCTGTTTCGTTTGCCTTCAACGTTACTCACTCGGTATGTACCTTTTTATAATCTGTACTTGTGAATTATGACTATTTCTTGGCTACATAAATGTTTTATTACAAACTGTTGTTTATTTTTCTTAATAGGAACCTACTAAAAATACACCGTATTTTCAAATGTTTAATAGAAATCTTTACATGCCTGAGACTTCAGATATTCTTCGTGAAGTGGATGGTAATAATACAAGTATGTTTGCCAGAATTCTAGGTGCAATTAAAGAAGCTGATAAAGTAATGGAGAATAAGACAACTTCAGCGGGCCAGGTGATTCTATCTAATAGAAAAAAACTCTATAATCTAAAAATCTATAAAGTGATTTTTTTTTAAATTTCAGCATACACTCACATACCTATGATATACCCTAAAACCAATTTTTTTCCATTGAATTCTGCATGTTTTGATTAAACAGTATGTTTATTAGCTATGAAATTCTGAGAGACATTACTAGGAAAACTATGTGTTTTGGAATCAAGGTAGAGCTGAATTCAAATCCCTGGTTTTGCTTTCTAGTTGTTTAACTTGGGCATGTTACTTTATCTCATATTACTTTATTTTCTTTATAAAGTTGAGGTAATAATACTGACTTTGAAATATTGTTTTAAAAAATTAAGTGGGATTCTTGCCTAGCTTTCAGTAGCATCTCAATAAGTAATCTTTTTCTTATAATATTATCTGTATATACCTTCAAGAAACTCTAGCTCTTTCATCCCTTTGTTCTTTTTTTTTGTTTTTACACTTGCAGATGGAGAACAACAGTTTTGATGAACTAAATAAAAGCAAAATCATTGTTAAAAAGAAACCAAAGCAATTAAATCCATTTCAACTAAAAGTAGGTCATGAAGTCTTAAGACAAAGGAAAAACTGGTGGAAGGATGGTCGTTTCCAATCTGAATGGGTTGGTCCTTGTGTCATAGACTATATTACAGAAAATGGATGTGCTGTTCTGAGAGACAACACTGGGACAAGACTTAAAAGACCCATCAAAATGTCCCACCTCAAGCCCTATGTAAGAGAATCCAGTGAACAAGGTAAATATCTGTCACTTCTCTACATTTTTACTTTCTTTGAATGAAGAGAGAAGTTAAAAATATAAGAAATCTCCCCCGCCCCGCACCCCTCCTTTGGTTAGTTTTTCTTTTCCCTTCTCATTTTTATAAAATTTTGTACAGTATTGGAGCCCAGGTAGTCTTTTTTATAAGCATGTGTCTTCTGGAACTGTCAGGTTTGTAAGAGATTTTATCTTGATTTCTAGTGTACTTTTCACACACTTTCCCACAGTTCATGTGGGAGACACTGAACGTGTTTCACAGAAGGAAGAATTATATCTTCATTATTTTCACTTTCAGAATATTTTGTCACTTTTAGCATGAAATGATAGTAACTAAGATAAATAATGCCAAAAACAAACATACTCTCTAGAATTCTGTTGTGAGATAAATAAATTAGGGGACATTTTAAAATGTGATTAATTTTTAATGTTGCATCTTAGTCACAGTCATGGTGGATGCAGGGGAAGGTGAGAGTGGGAGATACTCAGAATGCTATAAAGTGCCATATAAGAAGAGGTAAATAGCACACTGGACAAGGTAATACTTGCCTCAAAATGTGATTACGAATAGTCAAGATATCCTGATCTTCTCTAACCCTTTCTTTCATAGACTGGAGCTAAATGACATGGCTTTCAGATTAAGTCCCACTTTATGTCCTATTTTATGTGCTCCTTAGAGTTTCTTTGGAGTGGATAACTTAGAGGGAGTGAATTGGTACCTTAGCTAGTTAATTTTGTTTATTCTATAAAGAAAGATAAAGCATCAGTATTATTTGAATCTGAGTAGCAGTTAAGGAAGATACAATTTAGTACAATTTTAAACAATATAAACAACTGAGGTATTTAACAGGCTTAAGTAAATAATAATTACAAAAATGATGATAATAGATAACCCTCTTTCTTAGGATATGAAGCCCTTGGGGCTGCTTTGTAATAGCTCAACTCTGTTTCTGATCTGGGTCACAACTCTCATGTTAAAAGCTCTGAGTACCTTCCTTTCTGCTTATGGCAGAACTAGTTGCTCTAGTAGTAAACTTAGCTTGGACTGTTCCAATTCAGAAAGCTCACAGTACCTTCATTCTCGTTGTTAGAAGATAAGCACTTTTATTCCTTGTGCCTCCTCTTAGTTCTAAGCTGCCCTTTATGATTTCTCCTTTCTGCAAGTTAAGTAGGGACAAAAGATTATACAGGTGCATGTTGTCCTTTCTTCTTCTTTTGATTTTCCCCTTAATCTTTGGTGTTCAGGACTTGCTCCCTTCTAATGTGTTAACCTTCCTTAATTAATACAAAATTTCTGCTTAAAATGTTGCTGTATCAGGATCTGTTTCAACATTTTGCAATTTGCTCTTGCTGAAGAATTTCTTAAGGAGACCTAACATTTTGCTACTGCTGAATATTTCAGAATCCAATTGAATAGAACAATTTCTAAACAGAGGCAGTACAATTATTGCCTCATGCTTGAATTCTCTGCAGATTATTCTTCCAGTAATAAAAAGGAAATTGCAGTATTAGTACTAGTGTATACATATAAGGAACCTGAGATTAATGGGTAAAGTTGTTTTTTCTTATTAATCAAAGGAAGTACTAATCTAGCTATCCTAGAGTCTGGTTCTTGTTTACTCTTTGGTCCGTTTTTGTCTGTTTTTCTTATTTGTAGAAAATTCAAAATAAATGTGATTTCTATCACATATTTTCCTGAAAATCTTCACCTCAAAAGCTGATTTTAAAGAGTCTTTGAACTGAATTTAAACCAAACAAAATGTCTTTGAATAGTCATCCCATTCTTTTGACATAAATTTGAATAAGGTATAGCCAAAAGAACTATGAATTTGTCTGCATTGTTTCTCTTACCAGCATTGAGATTTCATAGCTGTATTAAAGTTCACTGTACAAAGCAGATATGCTTCCATTGCGAACTTATCCATTCTTATCTAGAACATAATGTTGAGGGAGCACATTCAGTACTAGGTTGACATTGCTATTTTAAGTAGGCCTATTTGCCTTTTTGTCTAGTTCAGTGCCAGGCACCTTTTCAAGACTAAGTATTTTAACAAGAAATTTTTTGACATACCATAGTGTCTCTTCATAATCGTAATGTTTCCCTTTGAAAGGAAAAATGTTATTGACCCATTATTCTATCTGACATAGATTTTGAGTAGTTTTGTTCTGAGTGGGAATTATTGTGATCAGTTTGTGTCTGCCTCCCCTAAAGGCTTTGGTATGATTGCCCTTCACAATTTGTGAAATGGTTTTTATTCTTTTATAAGTTTCCTATTGCTGCCGTAACAATTTACCACAAATTTAGTGGCTTAGAACAACACAAGTTTATTATCTTACAGTTCTATACTTAGAAATCCAATGTAGGTCTCGTTGGGCTAAAATTGAGGCATTGGCAGGGCTGTGTTCCTTTCTGGAGGCTCAAGAAGATGGTGTTTCTGTGCATTTTCCACCTTCTAGAGGCTGTTCCCATTGCTTGGCTGTGGTCCTCTTCCTCTATCTTAAAAGCCAGCAGTGGGGGTAGAGTTCTTCTCACATTTATTACATCACTCCATCCTCCTATTCTTCCTTCCCCTTCCACATTTAAGGACTCTTATCCTTGGGCCCATCCTGATAATCCAGGATAATCTCCCTGTTTCTCCCTGTTGGTTGGTTAGCAACCATAATTCTATCACTACCCTAAGTCTCCTTTGCCATGTAAGGTAACGTAATCACAAGTTTCATGAATTAGTACATGGCTATCTTTAGGGGTCCATTATTCTGCCTACCACAATTATGGTCTACATTCGCAAAACAAAATAAAGCTTAGTCCCTATATTAATATCAAGCCCATGAGCTTGACTTTATTATTAATACACAGTCATCAGTTGGTATCCACAGGGGATCAGTTCCAGGAGCCCTGTGGATACCAAAATCCACTCATGCTCAGGTCCCTTACATAAAATGGCATAGTACAGTACCCCCAACCTTTATCCCCTACCCCACCCGCACATCCATGGATACGAACCCTGGGATATGGAGAGCCAACTGTAGTTTTAGCAAAGCACCTCCCTTTGGCCTCTAATTATGTAATCTCAAAATTAAAAGTCATTCAGTTCTCTGTGTTAGTATTGGTTATCTATTATGACAATTATGTGTTATGTATCAAATTGTAGTTATTTGTTATTTTATCATAAGAAAAGATGTACTAGTATGGCAATACATTTGTAATAGTTTTAGGATATCAGGCCATGTATAGGATTAGTCAAGACACCTCACTTCACAATAAGAAAATTAATTATTCTGAAACCTTGTACTTTTCTTTCTATTTGAAAAAATAAATTAATCCAATCACTCAGACTTTTCTGAGGCTTTGGTTTTAACTTATTTTTCTCCCTAGGGAAATTTTAATACTCTTAATCTCATTTTTTTTCTCCTTAAAACTAAATAAGAAAAAGTTTGTCAAAACTGCTGATAACACCTTCCTGAAATGTCTTGAAAATACCTCTGCTTCTAAGAAACTGAAGACTTAAGTATTCAGTCCAGTCAAAACCGAAATAATGCTTTCATCAAACATGTCATAATAGTAACTAAATAAATAGAATGAGAAAATTAAAATAATTAAATTCTATCGTGTAATGTGACTGAGTAGAAAAGTCCTTTAATATGGTTTTGTTTGTTTATTTCTCTGTCTTTTTATCTTGGGTGCAAAAACTTATCTTGTTCTTTTCTATATCCCTAACTCAGGACTGTTCTAGATCAGTACTGTCCAATGGATATGTAATGCAAAAACTATGTAATATAAAATTTAAAATTTTCTAGTAGCCATGTTTAAAAAGTAGGTGAAAAAAATGTTAATAATATATTTTATAGTTACCCAGTATATCTAAGATAGCATTATTTATTATCTATCTAAGATAGATTATTTCAACATGTATGTAAGGCCTCAAAAATCTCTTTCTGGTAAGTCTTTGGTAATCTTTTTCGAAGTTAAAGAGCATTTCTCTTGGGTCCACTAGATTTAGAACATAGTAGGAATTGAAACATATTTGACCTTTATGAATGAATGAGAATTTTGTTTTTTCCTACACAAAGAAGGCTTGAAATCTCCAGCGTAGTTTTCAATTGCATATAGAGTGATTTGTGTAGAATTTGCTGAGTATAATCTTTATTCTCTACAGTTTTATCACACTAAGTTACTTTAAAGTTTATTTAAAAGAAAGTGTGTGTGTGTGTGTGTGTATGTATATTCAGATATATATTGGTTACTTTCATATAGAAGCTGTCCTCTTGCAAACAGGTGAGGTTGGTAAAGTCCATTTGTTTCTAAGTCTACTGTAATTAGGAGGTGCTTACACTCAAGGTCTTTGAATGCATTTGCAGGAAATCAAAGTGATAACTTCTAAGAGCTTTACATCCATCCATAGTTTCCCTGTTGATACATGTTTACTGGACATATTTTACTACAATAGACCCGCTTTCTGTATGCAAAAAAATTTTTGAGACAGAAAACTTCCTTCATCAAAGATCTCTGCAAAGATCCAATTTGGAAATACTTTAAATGCTATATTGTAGCTGCTGTCACTAATACATTGCAGCAGTGTACCCTGAACTTATGAAATTCTTCATGGCTTATTAGAAAAATTTCATCAGCAACATTTTTACCATATCTAACCTTTTTAAGTTCTCTTTTAAATTACAACCTATCTTTCTCTAGTATTAACAAGCTAATAGCAGACTTTGATGTTGAAGCTCTAGCAACACATTCTAAAAGTGTTTCAATTTCACTGATCATTTTTTCTTCTTTCCTGCTACTCTTGGGCATAGCACTTCTCATGGGTTGCATGATTTTTGTATCTTTCAGACTTGTTCTCTTGTTCAGCAATACATCCCCTACTAACATACAAAAATCATTTTCTTATCACCTTCAATTACCCATACTATTATTTCCATCATAAGTATGTATATCTTCTTAACAGCATTTTCAATCTAATTACTACTTTTGCATTAATAAGAATTGGTGGGGTTAAACTTAGAAAGCCTCTCAAAACTAAAATACCAACTACACTTTGCCTAATGAAGAAGTAAATGGGCAAAACTAAATGTCCATACAAGCCCAAGTCTACTTATGCCATTGTTGGGAGAGAGCATAGCTTTGTTTGATCTTTTTTTTTAATATTCTTTTTTTAAAGTTTATTTATTTGTTTATTTATTTATTTTGGCTGTGTTGGGTCTTCGTTGCTGTGTTAGGGCTTTCTTTTAGTTGCGGCGAGCGGGGCCTACTCTGTTGCAGTGCGCGGGCTTCTCATTGTGGTGGCTTCTCTTGTTGTGGAGCATGGGCTCTAGGCGCGCGTAGTTGTGGCTCACAGGCTCTAGAGTGCAGGCTCAGTAGTTATGGCACACGGGCTTAGTTGCTCTGCAGCATGTGGGATGTTCCCAGACCAGGGCTCGAACCCATGTCCCCTGCATTGGCAGGCGGATTCTTAACCACTGCGCCACCAGGGAAGTCCTGTTTGATCTTTTGATGTTTGTAAATTTAAAGTTCATAAATGTGTAACTTATAGGGTTGGGATAGATTCAGTTAGCTTTTCACATATTAGTATGAGGATGGGTAGGGTGGAATGATGTTCTGGGATATATTACCAAATTTATCTGCTCTGAGAAACTTTCATTGATCTCTAATCTAAATGGATAATTAATGTTCCTTTTGCTATTTATTGGACTTAAAATTTTAGGATTCTTTAAGGTATTAAAATCTTTAAGAGAATCTGTTAATGTTTTGGGAGAAAATCCAGAAAGAGAAGGCAGGGGTCCAGGAAGTTAATCAGCGGCGGTGGAATAGTTCTTTGTTGTAATGAATTAAAATATTATGTAGGGAGAAATTCTTTTATATAATTAACCTTTATTTATAAAGATGATGCTACTTTGCCATGTGTTTTTCATATTAAGCATTTTTTTTCCTGATAGTGATGATAAATTTGCTCAAAATAGAATGAAATGCTGACAGGGAAGATTCCTTGTCACATTTTAGTATGGATTTAGCTACACCTTAAGAGGTCATGAGCATTTTAATATTAAATTAGACTTAAGTAAGCTAAGCTTTTTAATCTAATTCGTTGTAGCCTGCCTACTTTCACATTCCTATTATATAAGCCTGATTCTAGGAACTTAATCTTCATTTTAGTTTATCATTTCATATTGTGACAATTTAATATTATTGCCCTGATATGGCTTCTATAAAGACCAGAGAATTATCTAAAGTTGTAAATGTAAGTATTTAACAATTCCATTTGTTAAAACATCTTTTGAGATGTTAATTCACCCAGAAATGCTTTGCAGAAGTATATTAAGAATATCATCAATATCAAAAATATAGTTTTATAACTCTCATTTTTAATCTATACCATGATTCTCAGCCCCTCACCCACACCTACCACCCCCTCCACCCACACCTACCAAACACAGGTCAAGAGAATACTCTGTAATGGCCAAATGGGAAAAGAATCCAAAAAAGAGTGGATATATGTGTATGTATAACAGATTCACTTTGCTGTATACCTGAAACTAACACAACATTGTAAATCAACTATACCCCAATAAAATTTTTTTTTAAATCCTGTAAAAAAAAATCCCTTTATATTATTCCTTTTTTTTTTAATTGGAAAAAAAAAGTTTGGCTCTTTTAAAATCCTTGATCTTTCCTGAATTCTGTATGTATGCACTGTCAAATTCATATGTCATTTTATTCATTCTTTGACATATTTATTTAGGAGATACGAGAACCCACCAGAAATTAATCTTGATAGTTAATTTGTATTACTTGGAATTTTGTTCCTCATTTAACATTATTTAATTTTAAAGTGGTTTAATTATAATTCTAAAAGGCAAACTTATGTTTCTTCTTTCAGACAGTCTTTATCTCTTACAAGGTTCAGTAGTGGCAGATCATGACTACATTGGAATGCCTGAAATTTCAGTTGGAGCATACCAAGCAAATATTCTGGTAGAAGATGCAACTATTGGAGTAGTCGACAATGAATTACTGACATCAAGCAAGGATCGTGAACTGTTAGAATATAGAAATGCCAAAATCTCTCCCTTGATAGAAGATCATAGTACTCTTGAAAAGCAGACTTTTAGTCTCTTGGACTCTTCAAACCAAGTCCTTGAGTACTTAAGTTAGTGAACACCAAAATTCATTTAAAGTGATTGTTTAGAAAGTATATCTCCTTGAATCTTGTTATCTTTTCCATTCAAAAAGGTTATTTAGAAAAAGTATCTTGACAAACTCTTAATGACTAAATCCTGAAGATTTATTTTATAACTATTTATTTATCTAAAGTTGTGCCTCATTTGAATGTCAGTGCATATATATATATGCAAAGGAAGTATATTACATAGATGTCATTTTTTCTTCTAAAAAGAGAACAGGCAAAGCATGCTTGCTTCTTAGGAAGTAAACTAAATTCTAGCTCAAAACTTTGTTTGATATTGGTACCATGTTTTCAGTTTTAATTTTTTTTTAATATTCCCCCCTTTTAAAAAATGTTTGAACTACCTGGAATTGCATTAATAAATATTTATTAAATGTGATAAATGAAACCTCTTTCTGTGTCATTGGAACTTCTAAAAACAATATTGTAGGAAAAAATTTAGAGTTGTTTAATGGGCTCCTACAGTGTATTGGTAAGTTCACCTTGTTAGACAGGCTCAGGATTAGGATCTGAAACTATATATTGGTTTGAAAACATTTGTGCATTTCCATAGTATATATTAAAGTCAGAAGCATCCATTAATAAGATTTTTTCTTCAGCCTTAAAGAAGTAAATAATAATTATAAAATAACTGATATCAAAGATTTTAAACTATAATTTCTATGATAGTTATAACTTTGCTCAACAAATATTTGTTATAAAGCACTTTGAAGAATACTGTGGGAAAAATAAATGCTGTGTGTGCCTTGTCCCCAAGAGAGACATACAGTCCAGTAGGGAATATAGATCATATAAGCCATGTACAACAGTAGTTACAAGTTACGTGCTAAGTTCCATAAGAAAAGTGCAAATAATATATTTAGGGAGGAAGAAAAGAAAGAGTTTATTTCTGGATAGGAAACTTAGGCTATTAATGGAAGAAGGATCTTTTGAGCTTGACCCTGAAGAATGAATAGGATTTGATGAGAGGGTCCAAAAAATTAGAGGAAAACAAATGCACAGAGACAGAAAGTATTGTAATGATTTACAGAAAGGCAGGGCTTTTTGTTGTCTACATTGCCTCCAGTGTAAGGTGAAATGGTAAGGTATGGGGAGATAAAGCTGAAGGGGAAGTAGGAAACCTTGTGGAGGGCTTTGAATACTGTTAGGGGTTGAATTGTGTCCCCCTCCCTCCAAATTCACATGTTGGAGTTGTAAACCCTAGTACCTTAGAATGTGACCTTATTTGGAAAAAAGTTTATTGCAGATATTGATAAGTTAAGATGAGGTCATGCTGAAGTAGAGTGGGGCCTAATCCAGTATGACTGATATCCTTACAAGAGGGGGAAATTTGGTCATAGAGCCAGGGAGAATGCCATGTGAAGATGAAGGCAGAGATCGGGGTGATTCATCCACAAGCCAAGGAATGCCAGAGGTTACCAGAAAACCACCAGAAACTAAAGGAGAGGCATGGAATAGACTCTTCCTCAGAGCCCAGAGAAGGAAGCAGCCCTGTCAACACCTTCATTTCAGCTTTGTAGCCTCCAGAACTGTGAAACAGTATCTTTTCTTTAAGTCACCAGGTTTGTGGCACTTTACAGCAGCCCTAGCAAAGTAATATAAATACCTAGTTAAATTATTTTTTATTTTCTGAGACCCATTGAAGGTCTTTGTATAGGGAAGTGTCATCAGGACTATGATTTAGGAAGCTTAATCTGGCAACTAGTAAAGAACTGATTAGAGGAGGAGAGAAGCAAAGCATGGAGGATTAGTTATGACTTTGATGATGAATAATAGGAACCTGAACTATTCTAGTAGCATTAGTAATAAATGGAGCATATCTCAAGATCTACAGAATATCTCGTATTTTTGGCATCAACCATACTGAACAGTGATATTGAAAATAGAAACCTGAGGTGAGGTATTACAGTTACTCATTTAAGAAAGGTTAAATTATGTTTAATATAGGCTAAAGTAAAAGTGATTGGAGGAAAGAAATCAAGGACTCCATCTTATACCACAGACAAATGAATTCCAAGTAGAATTCCAGAAACAAACCTTTAGAAAACAGAAGCTGAACGAAGATGGCGGAGTAGAAGAACGTGCTTTCACTCCCTCTTGTGAGAACACCAGAATCACAGCTAGCTGCTGGACAGTCATCGACAGGAAGAAACTGGAACTCACCAAAAAGATACCCCACATCCAGGGACAAAGGAGAAGCCACAATGAGACAGTAGGAGGGGCACAATCACAGTAAAGTCAAATCCCATAACTGCTGGGTGGGTGACTCACAGACTGGAGAACACTTATACCACAGAAGTCCACCCACTAGAGTGAAGGCTCTGAGCCCTACGTCAGGGTTCCCAACCTGGGGGTCCAGCAACGGGAGGAAGAATTCCTAGAAAATCGGACTTTGAAGGCTAGTGGGATTTGATTGCAGGACTTTGACAGGACAGAGGGAAACAGAGACTCCACCTTAGAGGGCACACACAAAGTAGTGTGCGCATCGGGACCCAGGGGAAGGAGCAGTGACCCCAGGGGAGACTGAACCAGAACTACCTGCTACTGTTGGAGGGTCTCCTGCAGAGGCGGGCGGTGGCTGTGGCTCACTGTGGGAACAAGGACACTGGCAGCAGAAGTTCTGGGAAGTACTCCTTGGCGTGAGCCCTCCCAGAGTCTGCCATTAGCCCCACCAAAGAGCCCAGGTAGGCTCCAGTGTTGGGTTGCCTCAGACCAAACAACCAACAGGGAGGGAACCCAGCCCCACCCATCAGCAGTCAAGCGGATTAAAGTTTTACTGAGTTCTGCCCACCAGAGCAACAGCCAGCTCTACCCACCACCAGTCCCTCCAATCAGGAAACCTGCACAAGCCTCTAAGACAGCCTCATCCACCAGATGACAGACAGCAGAAGCAACAAGAACTACGATACTGAAGCCTCTGGAACAAAAACCACATTCACAGATAGACAAGATGAAAAGGCAGAGGGTTATGTACCAGATGAAGGAACAAGATAAAACCCCAGAAAAACAACTAAATGAAGTGGAGATAGGCAACCTTCCAGAAAAAGAATTCAGAATAATGATAGTGAAGATGATCCAGGACCTCAGAAAAAGAATGGAGGCAAAGATAGAGAAGATGCAAGAAATGTTTAACAAAGAAGAAGTAAAGAACAAACAAACAGAGATGAACAATACAATAACTGAAATGAAAACTACACTAGAAAAAATCAATAGCAGAATAACTGAGGCAGAAGAACGGATAAGTGACCTGGAAAACAGAATGGTGGAATTCACTGCTGCGGAACAGAAAAAAGAAAAAAGAATGAAAAGAAATGAAGACAGACTAAGAGACCTCTGGGACAACATTAAATGCAAGAACATTCACATTATAGGGGTCCCAGAAGGAGAAGAGAGAGAGAAAGGACTCAAGAAAATATTTGAAGAGATTATAGTCCAAAACTTCCCTAACAGGGGAAAGGAAACAGCCACCCAAGTCCAGGAAGCACAGTGAGACCCATTCAGGATAAACCCAAGAAGAAACACACCAAGACACATAGTAATCAAGTTGGCAAAAATTAAAGACAAAGAAAAATTATTGAAAGCAGCAAGGCAAAAGCAACAAATAACATACAAGGCAACTCCCATAAGGTTAACAGCGATTTCTCAGCAGAAACTCTACAAGCCAGAAGGAAGTGGCATGATATACTTAAAGTGATGAAAGGGAAGAACCTACAACCAAGATTACTCTACCCAGCAAGGATCTCATTCAGATTCGATGGAGAAATCAAAAGCTTTACAGACAAGCAAAAGCTAAGAGAATTCAGCACCACCAAACCAGCTTTACAACAAATGCTAAAGGAACTTCTCTAAGTGGGAAACACAAGAGAAGAAAAGGACCTACAAAAACAAACCCAAAACAATTAAGAAAATGGTCATAGGAACATACATATCGATAATTACCTTAAACGTGAATGGATTAAATGCCCCAAGCAAAAGACACAGGCTGCCTGAATGGATACAAAAACAAGACCCATCTATATGCTGCCTACAAGAGACCCACTTCAGACCTAGGGACACATACAGACTGAAAAGTGAGGGGATGGAAAAAGGTATTCCATGCAAATGGAAATCAAAAGAAAGCTGGAGTAGCAATACTCATATCAGATAAAATAGACTTTAAAATAAAGAATGTTACAAGAGACAAGGAAGGACACCACATAATGATCAAGGGATCAATCCAAGAAGAAGATATAACAATTATAAATATATATGCACCTAACATAGGAGCACCTCAATACATAAGGCAACTGCAAACAGCTGTAAAAGAGGAAATGAACAGTAACACAATAACAGTGGGGGACTTAAACACCTCACTTACACCAATGGACGGATCATCCAAAATGAAAATAATAAGGAAACAGAAGCTTTAAATGACACAATAGACCAGATAGATTTAATTGATACTTATAGGACATTCCATCCAAAAACAGCAGACTACACTTTCTTCTCAAGTGCACACAGAACATTCTCCAGGATAGATCACTTCTTGGGTCACAAATCAAGCCTCAGTAAACTTAAGAAAACTGAAATCATATCAAGCATCTTTTCTGACCGCAACGCTATAAGATTAGAAATGAATTACAGGGGAAAAACCGTAAAAAACACAAACACATGGAGGCTAAACACTACATTACTAAATAACCAAGAGATCACTGAAGAAATCAAAGAGGAAATCAGAAAATACCTAGAGACAAATGACAATGAAAACACGACAATCCAAAACGTATGGGATGCAGCAAAAGCAGTTCTAAGAGAGAAGTTTATAGCTATACAAGCCTACCTCAAGAAACAAGAAAAATCTCAAGTAAACAATCTAACCTTACACCTAAGGAACTAGAGAAAGAAGAACAAACAAAACCCAAAGTTAGCAGAAGGAAAGAAATCATAAAGATCAGAGCAGAAATAAATGAAATAGAAACAAAGAAAACAATAGCAAAGATCAATAAAACTAAAAGCTGGTTCTTTGAGAAGATAAACAAAATTGATAAACCATTAGCCAGACTCATCAATAAAAAGAGGGAGAGGACTCAAATCAATAAAATTAGAAATGAAAAAGGAGAAGTTACAACACCACAGAAATACCTTCAAAGCATCCTACGAGACTACTACAAGCAACTCTATGACAATAAAGTGGACAACCTGGAAGAAATGGAAAAATTCTTAGAAAGGTATAACCTTCCAAGACTGAACCAGGAAGAAACAGAAAATATGAACAGACCAATCACAAGTACTGAAATTGACACTGTGATTAAAAATCTTCCAACAAACAAAAGTCCAGGACCAGGTGGCTTCACAGGTGAATTCTATCAAGCATTTAGACAAGAGCTAACACCCATCCT